TCTTCATCTACAAAGTATCCACCATCGCAAAGGTATACATCAGTTGCTTATCCTCCAGAGCAAGTACAGCCTCAGTCGGCTTATTATCAAGAGCAACAACAATACACAGACATTTCGCCAGCATCAAGTAAACACTTGACCTCCAATGAGGAACTGTTTCCACACAAATCACAGCAACAAGTGAAGAAAGAATTTTCACAACAGAAGGAGCAGCCGCAATGGTTACCACGTTCAACTTCTCCTCCTCAAACTACGCAACCACTGAAGCCAGAAGGTGACGTTGGAACCCGCACCAAAGGTGGAGCTGAAACAGAAACTGAAGGTGAAGCAGCCCCTCTGGCGGCAACCCCTTCAGTGGAACTGTTTGCTCCTAATCTTCATTTTAGAAAAGTGTGGGATGACCATCATGGTTCACGTCAGAGAAACCCTTCGTTGTTATGCGACCCTTTGGCCTCAGTGCCACAACCATTTTCAACATCGTCATCAACAATGGGAAGGGAAGGAGTTGTGGGTACCTCGGTGACTCCGCCAATTGGAGGCTTGGCTAATACTAGAGGTATTTCCCCATCGTCAACAGTGGGCCACCGATTATCTATTCAGAGAAGTTTTTCTTCAAACACTATTAACTCACGACAATCAGTTACTTTGCCACCACCTTCATCTATTCACCGTCCAAGTTCGTTACTTGCCAATTCAAGTTTTTCATCACAGTCGACAATATTGCAGTCGCCGTTGCCTTCTGCTAGAAATGAGTCTTTGGCTTCCACCATTACCCCAATTGTGGCACCTATTCCTCATCGGAATAGCATTACTAGCACCACCACCAACAATAACAACAACAATAATAATAATGACAATGATAACAAATCAGCTGGGCCCACTGCAAATTCTGGAGTTGAAGGATCTGCTGCGCCAACCTACTCCTTGCCCTTGACACCAATTGGCAAGGTGAGACCTGCATCAGAGAATCAACATCAAACGAGTTTGGAGTCTCATGTGCAATCGCGCTCACTTCCAGGATCTGCTTCGGGAGGAAGTTCAAGTACGAGGATGGGCCCACCAATTCCACCCACCAAGATTCCTTCCATATCCAGCTCGTTGCTGGATCGATTACGTCCCTCGGTGTTTGAAATCCATGCCATGAATAAGCGGGACACATTGGGCTCCATTAGTGGATCAGTAGGTGGGGTTGTCGGTGGCGGTGGCGGTGGCGGTGGCAGTGGCCCCAATAGTGCACCAGGAAGTATATCAGCTAGCGGTGTTGGTAATGGAGGGTCGGGCTCAGGATCTATTGGATCGCATTCGACGATGCTGATTTTTTCAAACAAGTCATCGTCTATTTCATCTACTCAATCATCATTCTCGTATCCTTTTCAACGTACATCGTCATTTGGCGGATCAATATCATTTGCAACAAAGAGTTCAATATCTATTGCACCACATGAAGTTGAAGCAGATGAGGCGAGTGGTAAATTGAGACCAGCCACTCCTCAATCCCCGGGACACTTTGAAGGACAGTCACTGACAGTAGCAATGACAACAAATAATGCATCTATGAGTGCTACATCAGAAGATAATGGAGCAGGAGGAGCAGGAGGAGCAGGAGATGCAACAGGCATTGCTTCAACGATATTGAAACGAACCCTGCTGCTGAGACCAACCACGCCCGTAATTGGGCACGGACCAACAATGCATAATCCAAGATCAAGCTCACCTTTATCGAAAAGCAGCCATCACTACCACCATCATCACCATCAACATCATCATGAAAACAGTGGAGCCGTTTCGAAACCACCCTTGAATAAGAAAGTTAGTGTTACTTCGTTGCTTGATGACTCAGCCACAAACGCCAAGGCATTGCCCAAATTCTCACAAGCTGTGGCTCATGCCATTGCCAGATCTAGATCTACGTCTCCAACTACTGTGCGAGCTCCTCCATCCCCGCTGCAAGGGCCGCCAGTGTCGCTGTCTTCATCGAGCGTAAGTGCAAACGCAAACGCAAGCTCAAACGCAAGCTCAAACGCAAGCTCAAATGCTCCTACGTTTACCTCGCCTTACAAGACACCAATTGGATCAAATAAACCAAGTGGGATTACATCGGGACACATTGGTGCTGATGTGTCTAGCACTATGGGGTTGGAATCTAAGCAGCCGCTCTATATGTCGTCGCTGATTCGAGAGGAGAAGAATTCACATTCGTCGTCGTCTAGTAGCGAAGACAATGGTAATAATGCGAGTCGGATTACTGCTGAATGGGGGACAAAACGTGTTTACAAAGAATGGATGTTAAGAGGTGTGAGTTTACAAGAAGAAGAAGAAGAAGAAGAAGAAGATGATGATGATGTTGAGGTATATGTCGTTATATCTCGATTCAAATTCGAAGTTTTTATTTCAAATATCATCAGTTTTACTTATTTCAGTTTTACTTATTTCAGTTTTATTTTATTTTATTTTTCATGTGTATATGTGTGTTTTAATATAGAGAGTAATTTTTGCTATACCCAAGCATGCATTTGAAGATTCAGTGTGAGAGTAGCCAGTAGCAAGTAAAGTGTGTGTCACATGATGGAATGAGAGCAAGTGTCCGGGTTGCGTGGGGTATTTTAGTTTTAGTTTTAGTTTTGGTTTTAGTTTTGGCGTTGTTTTGCTTTGGCGTTGTTTTGCTTTGGCGTTGTTTTGCTTTGGCGTTGTTTTGCTTTGGCGTTGTTTTGCTTTGGCGTTGTTTTGCTTTGGCGTTGTTTTGCTTTGGCGTTGTTTTGCTTTAACGTTGTTTTGCTTTAGCTGCGCCCTGGATATCCGGTACCCGAAGATGATGAAAGCAAAAACACACGGGAGTATGTAAAGCGCACACGTTACGTGTGGCATCGCCTTGAGTTTGTGGGCTCAATAGTGGATGCCGAGGCTAAACAACAACTAGCAACAAAACTGAATGTAGAACAATCAACAAAATGTGATGCAAAATGGGCAAAAAATGCATTATTATGTAGAAAATGAGATTGCAAAGATGGTTGTATGCGAGATGCTGCCTCAAAACACTAAAAGAACACTAAACAAGGGCTTTTAAGAATTTTTAAACATGTTTGTTTTGAACACAATACAAGGAGTCGGTGCTGTTTGAATTAGTTTTGTTTTTAGCCTATTCAAGATTTGGAGTTGGATATACATTCCTTCCAAACACTGTATTCGTACTCTGTTCAAATCTTATTCATCACGAACATTGCTACGTGAGTCTGTTTGCCCTCTTTAAATTTTGTTTTCATAAGTCTGTTACTCATATAATTTTGTGTATTCCCAGATCCTTCTGTTTGTTTGCTCTTTTTCTTCTTCTTTTGTTTCATTTATTTATTTATTTATTTATTTTTAGTCTTTTGATTACAATTTTAGTAACAAGTAACATGTAAGTGAACAATGATAATAACAATTATAATAATAAGGACAAGATAGATAGATAGATAGATAGATAGATATATATATATCTAGAAATGGGCCCATTTTTTTTTCATGTATTGTGTATTGGGTGATCTGTTCAACAGTAAACTTTTTCTATTTTATTTTTTTATTTTTATTTATTTTTTTTTTTTGTTCTGCTTCCTTGTCTTCCTCCTTGTTTTATATTCCATCTCTTTTACATAAGGAACTATGGATGGGGACACAGAAAGTAAAGAAACTTGGAAATACATGAATAAGTTCAATCTTCCTTATCTTTGATACTTGATAATCCCCAGTTTCTGTGCAGTTCATGTTTTGGGATGTGTTTGTTTTTTTTTTCACCGTATATGTATCTTATGCTAAACTCATATTTCTCATGTATATGGTATGCACAATGTATTAAAAGTAGGGAAGATGAGAAATAGAATATTATAGCAATTCTTAGTTCATTCTAAATTTTGCAACATGTGGACAGAATTGTTTTTAAACGCCGAAAATGCGAAAAAGACTTTGTGAGACATATTACAATTTGTTTAATTCGTATCAAGACTGATTTTACGAGATGAAGGTCTGTTTGGTGGCACTGAGTTTATGGTTTGGTTCTACTTGTTTAGCCAACTCTTTTCCTGTATTCATTCTGACAACTATCTTTGTAATTCATGATATAGCAGGTACCGGCGGAAGGAAAGTCCGCCAACACAGAAAAACGATACTAGGAGAAGGCATGATTGGAGAAAAACAAGGTGAACTGTAAGACCAAATGTGTGTGAACAACATACAACCTCCTCTATCTATTGAGTATTGAACGTCTTATGTATTCGTTCTTCTATAATTACCACCCCCCCAATTTATACTCTTACTGTATGGAAGCTTTTGGAGTGAAGTCAAGGAACCATTGTTTAACCCAAGCTCTGAAGCAAGTATTTCACATAGTTTTTATGCCTTTCAAAACAGTATCCCTTCTCCCTCTACTTCACACCATCTCAAAATGGTCGTACCTTTTTACCCTTGCCCACTTTCGCCTGATTGAATTTATTGACAGATCTAGATTTCAATGCCTTTATGTCGTCATCCTCATCGTCCTCGCCCTCATCGTCATCAAAGCTTTTTTTGGTTAACGTCTTATCTCCTTTGGCACCAGTGCTAGAACTAGCACCCTTCACACTAGATACTGGCACACCATTCAACTTATCCCTTTTTCCCTTGACCAGTTGCAATTGAGTCGTATGTCGTGATTGATTAAGTTGTTGTCTCGTTTCATTTCTCATCTTGTTCAATAATGCATTCATGGCAACGCTGCCCTTGCTCTTTGTGCTACCATTGCTAGTTGCACCATCGCTATTGCTCTTTTGCTGGCTAATATCTTTAGAATTGAGGAAATCGCCCACTGTTTGCGTCGTTTTAGAACTCAATCCTGAACCTTGGGGGATTACCCGTAGTTTCATGAAATCGTCTTGTGTAGATGAGGCAGTGACTGAATCCGTTTCCGGACTCGTTGTTAGCGCGCCTGTGTGTGTACTTTCCTTTGTTGTAGAAGCATCATTTCCATTGGATGTGCTCGGTTTGAGCCAATTCATCGCTCGTGCATTGTTTTGAGATATACTGAACTGGAACCGAGCTTGTAACTCTTGTTTTTTTTTAATTTCCTCGCGTCGACTAGGTGGCATATTGATGTCTCTGAGTGGTTGATGTTGACCTGTTGAAATTCGTTTCTGCCACTTTTGTGAAGAGCATCTGGTAAAACCTTGTTTCCTTTTTTTGTTTATTTTTTTTTATTTATTTTTTTTTTTTTTTTTTTTGGCTCAAACCGGTCTTGAAACCTGGAAGAACAACGCCAAAAAATTAACATAACTAGCCCCTGTATAATGGGTCTTAGGAATGCATTGCTTCAATTCCGTCATGAAATATGACTGCTATTTAAAGACCCACTTGTGAAAACGTTAGAGGAAAAAAGGAAGAGAAGAGGAAGAAAAAAAAGAAACTGCTCCCAGACAGGGAATTGAACCCTGGTCTACCATGCGACAAACGGTAATTCTAGCCACTAAACTATCTGGGACTTTTTCTGAAAAATAAGCATTTAGAGCCAATCTGTTGGGTAGTTCTGGATCACTATTCAGAAATGAATTACAACCAATATCATTAAAAGGAACGTTAATATCACCTTTTAGGGGGACTGTCAACACCTTTGAACGATTCTGAAAGCTTGGCAGAGTTACTCTTCCAGGCAAAAGAAAAAAAAAAAAACAAACAATAAACATTGTTTTGTAATACAAAGAGATAGCTAGGCAAGGCAAAAGTAGCTACGCAAAGAAGGATTTTGAGTCTACGTAGTAGACTAGCAATATCACTTGGTTTGAAGCTCTCCACTTGGTTGTGTTTGGAATTTCAGATTCATTTGAGTCCATGAAAGCTTTGATGCTCTACCACAAATGGGATTAATTTGATGTTGATTGGTTATTTTTGTAATAGATAGTAGTGAATGGGGACTTCCCTTTATAAAGCTACATCAACTTGCTTACCGTCTAGTATTGCAAATAGGGTAACGTGGAGTTGTATTACTTTTTTTGCGTGTTTCGTTTGTACAAAAGGTGGTGGTTGCAAAAAAAAATAAAAAGGAAAAAATAAAAAACAGAAAATCTCAAATCAAAACCACCAGAATTATTTATTTTAAACTCCATGGTGGTCGAAAAAAAATGCTTTCATTTATCTCTACATCTCATAATCCCAATCAAATCATTCAATTACAGAAAGCTAATGTATGAACTTTTTTTTCGAATAGTAGATACCCTCAACAGTAACCACTTCCATGTGGATGCACAAAATAAATGAACAACCATCCTCAGAGTCAGGTCAACTGTCCGGACTACCTCCCCCAACAAATGAATATTCAAGAAACAAAACCAAAACAGAAACAAAACAACACAGAAAATAAAAAAAGACAAACAAAAGCAAATAAACAACTCCACAAAGGAATACAGTTGCAAAAAGTACATTCAAGTTCAAAGGGTATTGCTGCTTAAAAGACTAAACCAGCTGCGGCGAAAGCAACAGCAACCAAACCAGCTCCACCAACTGCTGCAGCGGAACCTTCGTAAGCACTTGCTTCAGCATCCAAGGTGATAGCAGGAGCAGCAACACTAGTAGAGTTAACAGCGGCTGGAGCTTCGGCAGCTTCAACAGCAGCTGGAGCTTCAGTAGCTTCAGTAGCTTCAGTAGCTTCAGCCTTGACATTGTCAACAGTAACTTCACCAGCCTCGGTGACGGTGATGGCTGTTTCTTGACAGACAGTTTCACAAACGGTCAAGGTCAAAGTGGTTGGTTCTGGGCAGTAAGTGGTGTAGACGGTAACAGTCTTGTTTGAGTAAGCACCCTCGGTTGACTCGTCAGCTTCTTCAGCTTCAACATCACCAAATACAGCACTGATTGACAATGGGATTGAACCTTCGGCACCATCTTTGACAACGGCAAATACGTCTTCAGAGTATCTGTATGGGTCATTGATGTTCTTGGCGGCAGCAAGAGCTTCTGAACCTGGGAAAGTGACTATTCCATCTTCAGCAATGTCAACTGGCAATGGTTCTTCAGCAACGGTCAATGACAAGACGTCACCAGTGAAAGCAAGGTATTGTCTAGCTGGTTGTTGAGCACTCAATTCAATGTAGACAACCCTGGATTCATCATTGTATTGCAAATTTTGAGCAGCACCAAGGAAAAAGTAGTTGACACCAGCACCTTCGTGAGTGGAGTACAAACCTTGTCCGTTGACTTCTTCGTTGTCTGAAGAAGCAAAGAATTGGACTGGTCTAATGGCAGCTAAAGCACTGGAAGACAAGGTCAAAATTGAAGCTGGAACAAAGAATCTCATTGTAGTAGTAGTAGTAGTAAGATTAAGCGAGTGAAAATCTAGTTGAATAAGTAGAAGACTTGATGAAGAAAAGAATGGAAATGAAAAAGCAGATATTGAATGCTATTTGCAGTCTACTTATAGTAGAGCCCAGAACTCCAACTGACAAAGAGATTCAAACATTTTAAAACACGAAGAAACGGAAAACACCAGAAGTATGAATAAATTACCTGAATAAGCTGGAAATCAGGATTCTTTTATTATTATTTTTTTTTTGTATTTGTTTGTATATGCATATTTTCTTGTCGTCTTGGCTGAAATATCGTTTCAGTTTTTTTCCAACCAAGTATAATACTGTTCTTCCAAATTAGTACTGGAAATGCTGCGTGTTCTATTTACTGGGTTTCTTCGTGGTGGGTAATGACTTTGTATATGCTTTGTAACTTCGCTTAAGGGTGATTAGTGTATCTCTAACCTCCAAAGTTTCGCAGTTATCGCAAATATATGACAACGACACAAAACATTCTTACTAGCACCAATCTTCAAATCTGCTTTCCTTCTTCCTTTGCAAAACCACACCACTAACTCTGTAAAAAGAAAAAAAGAGAGTCCAAAGTTAATTCTAGAGTTAAGAAAATAAATTTACTTGGGTCGTTGTTGTTATTTACTTTTCAACCCAGAATTCAACATAAAACACGAAAAATATTTTTGAGCTTGAATGATATTTAGCTTGGAGGCAATGCTACATAGCATAAGGCGGGAGGCAGGCCGAATGAATTAGATAAAATAATAAAGAAAAAAGGGGCGGAGTGAGGTAGGAAAAGGAGGAGGAGAAGGGAGGGGGGGGGGCCGGCGGAGGCTATGCAGCGGGATATAAAAATGAGAGCACCACGATCAATGCCGTTACAAAGCGTGATTTCTATCAAGTCTTAATAATACAGAATATTAGCTACTTTATCAATCCAAGTGCAGCCGTGGCTGGCACAATGAACCACCAGTCTCTACCTCCCTTTCTCAATTCTACTGTATAAACTGGGTACATCACCCCGTAGTCTCGTAAAATCCAACAAAACAAACTTCAGCTAGACTCCCTCGCCCAACTACTTTACTTCCTCCGCTTTACCTTCCCTATGCAAAATAAATCACTCACAATAAAGTGATGTATGCAATATCAACAAAGAATCCGTCCAAAATTAAGTAAAGTACCAAAAAGACCCGTTCGTTCTGTCTGTCCTCAGTCAGTTTTTCTTTTTTTACTCATACCGGCAATGTGTTATTAATACCCGCCAACCTATCAATAGTCGGTGCAACCAAAGGATGACTCAAAACATCACCAATGTAAGGAATAGATCTCAAAAACTGGACAATAGTGCCAAAGAAATCACCAAACAAGCCCAATATTCCAAAACTTTCCAACACAAACCCGACAAATGACCATTTCAACAAGATCAATATTATACCCAATGCAAAACAGACTGTGCCCCTAATCTTTGTTGGACGCGTGAAAAAGGAAATTGTGCGCTGTGGGCCAATTATAAGAATGAGGCCTATTATGAAGAGCAAGTTGCCCAAGGCAAGGAAGCCGGAGTCAAAAAATGTCAAGATTCCAAATAAGAAGAAAAAGATTCCACCTGCTGTGAAACCAACACCAAACTCTAGAAAAAAGGGTATGAGTTAGTAACTTCTGTGTGAAAACGAGGTTTGCGGTTGTGATTGCAATTGCGACAAGACTGTGATTTACATACTTTGTCTTTCGGATAGCCAGATCATTTCTGTATCTTTATTTCTCTTGTGTGTGTGTGTGTGTGTCTATGATTTTGACAGATGTTTATAATTGATAAGGTTGTTGAAGTTGTGTTCCTGAAAGAAATTTTCTCTGTGTGTGTACAGTTTGTAGTGTCGTATCATGTGTTTGTGTGTCGCAATTCTTCATCACATAGCGCGACACCAAAGAAATGTAATTGTATCGAGTGTACTTCTCTTTACCTTGCCTATAAAAGGTAACAATTCGATTTTACACTTGTGGCTGCCTTGCCACAAACAGTCAGGTGCCATAAGGTATTTTAAATGGTAGCCACACAACTGCTTGTGCAAACACAGAGCCAAAGACACTGGCATTTCTTTCACATTTCACACTTGAATTACAGTAAACTACTCAGTAATCGCATTTATATTTCCTCTTCATCGATAATTCTCCATCTGGCGATAGAACCAAACTTCTAAAATTGAAGCTTGGTTTGTGACGCCTGAAACGGAATCTGTTGTCCCCCACCCCCTTCCCCCGTGGGCACTCGTGAACAAGGATAGACAATTGTTGCAATTCATGTGATTTGTAATTTGTGTAATCAAAGTTCAAAAGTGTAATTACACCACAATGTATTCTTCTCCCGTTGGAAGAGCACCCTACCTAAGTTCCCGGCCGTTATGTTCTAATTGAAAGTAGATCAACAGCAATTTTTGTGCTTATTTTTGTGCTTATTTTTGTGCGTATTTTACGTGCCTTTCAAGTGAATGGTCCTCAACTTTAAATGAACAAAGATTGTAAGAACTCGTGGGTGAGTTTCAGAAGAAGTTGCAAATTTCCCTACCATGCAGCCGTTAAGTGAGAAACTTGGAATAGCGGTCAAGCTTTTCAACTCAACTTCAAGTAGTAACAGCTCGCTTGCATCTCAATTGGATAGCAGATTTGCATGTAAATGTTCGATCGACTGGCCCCATGTGCACGTTTTACGTCGGTCCTTACACAAAACCCACCACGTCATTTTTCTGATAAAGCCACCGCCGATATCCCGACAAACAAAACTTAAAATTCCTCCTCCTCGTAAAACATTTGGAATTTCATTCTACACGTCGTCAAACAGAGACACCTATTGTTCCTCAGAATTCACTATAAATAGAAGCACGAATAACTCAACAAACCTTTTGGTTCGAAAATTAATCACTTTTTAGCTTGTTTCTCCCACACTTCCACGCCGGTGTCAAGTATTTACAAAAATGAAGCAATTTCTTATCATTTTAGCTTGTTATTTAGCTCGCACCATCAACGCCGCCCAAACTGTCCTTGACAACAGTTGTCCATCAGACTCACCAACCTCATGCTCAACCACTAAAGAAGCATCATGCTGTTTCGAAGCACCAGGTGGTATTCTTTTACAAACCCAATTCTGGGACTACAGTCCAGCTACTGGCGCCAGTGATTTATTCACATTGCATGGATTATGGCCCGATAATTGTGATGGAACATATGAGCAATTCTGTGACAACTCCAACACTATTGCTAATGACGGAAGTAGCGTTGAGTCGATTATTGTCGATTCTTTTGGTGACCAGGAATTGTATGATAATTTGAATGGTGTTTGGAAAGATATTAATGGTAATGATCATTCGCTTTGGGCTCATGAATGGAACAAACATGGCACTTGCATCAATACCATCTTGCCCAAATGTTACACCAATTATCAACAGTATCAAAATGTCTACAATTATTACAAGATCTTGTATGACTTGTTTGAGAATTTGCCCACGTACAAATGGTTGGTTGATGCAGGTATCACTCCTAGCAATTCGAAAACTTACACCAAGTCGCAGATCCAACAAGCTTTGAACTCGAAATTTGGCGCCAATGTGTACTTTAAATGTGATTCAAACAATGCTATCAATGAAGTTTGGTATTTCCATCACATCAAGGGTTCGTTATTGCAACAACAGTTTATCCCGATTGATTCATTGTCCAATACAAATTGTCCGTCTTCTGGAATCTTGTTCCCACCAAAAGGAGGATCCGGATCAAATCCTACCACCACAACTACCAACTCAGGACCAGCACCAACTGGTGTTCCATCGTCCGGTTACATCAAACTTAGTGATAAATCAGGATGTTTGATTTCCAATGGTAAATACTACACTTCGGGGACTTGTGCCACGTACCATTTTGCCCAAGCGGGAGAAGATAACATCACCATCAAATCATCAAAGGGCAATTGTGGAGTTGATTCATCAAACAACTTCAGTTGTGGATCGTCAGTTACTTCAACTGGATTTGAGGTTGAGAATGGACAAATCGGAGTTGATGGGAACTTCAAGTGGTGTTTGGGAGATTCCACCGGATCGGGATCCACAGCACAAACCTCGATTTACTTGAGTGATGGTTCATGTAGTTCATTCACCATCAGCGTGTCAAGTAATTGAACTTGTGTAGAATACGAAAATTGTTAGATTGATTTTAAATAAAAGAGCCACTTAGATGAAAAACTCCTCCCTTCTACGACACTACTCTACTATTGTCACTACACCACTGCTCATTTTCCAAAAATCCGTTGAGGATAAAATGTATTAACAAGAATATAAAAAAAGTGGGGTCCTTCTATATATGTATATATATATATATATAATAATAAAAAACATGTGTGTTTTGTCAAAATAAAATTAAAAAATCATGAAGTAAAAAAATAAAATAAAATGAACAGTTGATGCATCATTAAAACTTCTTTTGTTAAGAAAAGAAGCACAGTTATTGGGGGTGGTGGTCATTAAAAATGGTGTTGAAAATTTTTAAAACAAAAAAAAAACAATTCGTTTTTATAATCCTCATCGTATGCCAATTGTGTATGCAATGGTCTCTTTCTCTTACACTTTTGAAATATTGTTGAAATTTCAAAGTCGAAATGACACACAGGGCACAATTGTTAGTTTAATATCTGTAGATATCAGCCTTGTATGGACCTTCTTCTGGAATACCCAAGTAATCGGCTTGGACAGGAGTCAATTTGGTCAATCTGGCATTCAAGTGGTCCAAGTGGCATCTGGCGACAGTTTCGTCCAAAATCTTTGGCAACAAGTGGACACCAACGTCAAATGGACCGGTCTTGGCGAATTCTGGGAATTTTTCTCTAAATTCCTTATTGTCGGCATTGAAGAGGGCGATTTGGGCCAAAACTTGGTTGGAGAATGAACATGACATGACGAATGATGAGTGACCAGTGGCACAGCCCAAGTTGACCAATCTACCATCGGCCAACAAGATGACGTGACGACCATTCTTCATCAAGTATCTGTCAACTTGTGGTTTGATGTTGACGACAGACTTGGCATTCTCCTTCAACCAAGCAACATCGATTTCAATATCGAAATGACCAATGTTACAAACAATGGCATCTTCTGGCATAGCTTCGAAATGTTTACCAACAATGATATCTCTACATCCAGTAGTGGTGACAAAGATTTGACCAATAGCGGCAACTTCATCCATTGGAGCAACTTGGTAACCAGAGACAGCTGCTTGCAAAGCATTGATTGGATCAATTTCAGTGATAATGACTCTGGCACCCATACCTTGCAAAGCCAAAGCACAACCTTTTCCAACATCACCAAATCCGGCAACAACGGCAACTTTACCGGCAATCATGACATCGGTGGCTCTTTTGATACCATCAATCAAGGATTCTCTACATCCGTACAAGTTATCAAACTTGGACTTGGTAACGGAATCATTGACATTGATAGCTGGAACCTTCAATTTACCATCTCTCAAAGACTTGTACAAGTGGTGGACACCAGTAGTGGTCTCCTCACTCAAACCAAAACAGTCTTCCAACATCTCTGGGTACTTTTCATGAACCAAAGAGGTCAAGTCTCCACCATCATCCAAAATCAAATTCAACTTCTTACCATCCTTGAACGCAAACAATTGTTGCTCAATACACCACTGGTACTCTTCTTCAGTCTCACCCTTCCATGCAAAAACGGGAACACCAGCAGCAGCAATGGCAGCAGCAGCATGATCCTGAGTAGAGAAGATGTTACATGATGACCAAGTGACCTCGGCCCCCAATGCAACCAAAGTCTCAATCAAGACGGCAGTTTGGATAGTCATGTGCAAACATCCGGCAATCCTGGCACCTTTCAAAGGTTGGGATGGACCGTATTTCTTACGAATGTACATCAACCCTGGCATTTCATTTTCAGATAATTCGATATCTTTTCTACCAAAAGCGGCTAATGAGATATCGGCAACTTTGAAGTTGGTGGCTGGGGCAGACATTGTTATAAAAAAAAAAAAAATAGAACTGGAGTTGAGTGATATGGTACTCTTGTAGATACTTTTGTAATGAAAGGAAAAGAACAAGAATTGGCAAATTGTTGAAAATTTATCCAAGAATGAAAATTTATTTTTCAATGCTTCATCGAGAGAGAGAGATTGAGATTGAGATTGAGACACTCATTCATCTCCCCCCCCCTCGTGTCTTTTTTTATTTTTTTTTTCGATACTGCATATAAGCAGTATACAACTACTACAGTGATTTTTTATACGAGCTAAGGGTAGTGTACATTTGAACAATTAATCTTTACCCAGGTGAGATTTGATTTCACTACACGTGTTCCAACCCATTTTGCAACTTTTACAAACTTGCAAAATGAATAGAGTTGAAAGATCCGTCATAACATCATAATTGATTCTCTATTTTTTTAATACAAAATTCATTTGTAAATAAATAAAATACCGTATTTTCGCCTCCCCCTCCACCACAACCTCTCTCTCTCTCTCTCTCTCTCTCTCTCTCTCTCTCTCTCTTTATACTCACAATTCAAATTTTAACCAGTCTAAATCCTTATAATCAGCCATGGTACTTCCATCAGCACCTCCAGCACCACCATTATTCACCGTAGCAAACGCATCACTTGTACTTGTGAATTGCGTCAGCTTAGGCGCGGATATATTGATCTTCAGGGGCGAGATTTGTGTCGACGCCAATCGGGAACTATCTTGAGATGCCAAACTGGGAATCTCAAATCCATCTACACCACCCACGTCTTCATTATCATCGTCATCATCATTGTGCAAGCTTGTGTAGTTGCGGAAAAACTCCTCATCAATCATACTCATGTGGGAATCAACTGTGTCGGCATTGATTTCAGAAACCATGTCACTCACATTCATAATCAATTCATCGTCGATACCTTGGTGCTGCACCGCTGGTGGTTTACTAGCTCTATACTGTTCCAAAACCTTCCTTTGTTGAGTATTCATATCTTGAATGCCACGTACTTGGAATTGTTGTTGTTGCTGCTGCTGCTGTTGTTGTTGCTGCTGCTGTTGCTGCTGTTGCTGGTGCTGGTGCTGGTGCTGGTGTTGCAGTTTCAACTGAGCTGACAACGCTGACGTTTTAGGGACAGAAGATGGGAGCATTCCCAGCACATTCAATGGCGTAGCAGGTATGGAAGTAGGGGTATCATTAAAACTATTGATGAGCAATGAGTTTGGCGAGTTTAAGGAATTTGGCGTATCTGCAACATCGTTATTATGACCAACACTAAAACCGTGATTATTCACACTGTTATTATTATTACCACCCATATGTATGATTGTCGTGTTGCTGTTGTGCCTTGAGATTTGTGGATGTTGTTGCCCTTGCCCACTATTGAATTCCTGTGGAGTGTCAAAATAGTTTGATTGTGGGAACCGTTGATTGTGCATGTGCATGTTATTCGAAGTAAGTGAGTTTGTAGGTGTAGATACAGAAACGGTGTTTTTTCTAGGTATATTCACCAACGAAGTTCTTCTACTCAATGACGATGATGACACGAGTGAATTGGCTCGTTTGATCGAGGATGGGATATTGGAAATGTTGAAACTATTACCCTGTTGCTGATTCAACGACGCACTAGATGGGAATCCACCCACGCTGCCTCTCTTGGTGAAAGGCGATGCACTCATGACCCCATTTTGTTCAATTGTTGCCGGAATGTTAACCTCAGATTTCTTCCTTTTGAATGGTTGATTTTGGTTAGTGTGGTATGAATAGGATGAGTTTGCCGATGACGTAGCTGATGACGGAGAATTGCCACCTTGTTTAGAATTTTGTGGTATAGGTATACTCCTATTGTTGAATGAGTTGCTATTCAAATTAGTTGAGCTTGAAGTCTTTGGCAAAATGGTTGAATTCCTGAACCTTGTATTTTGTAGTGAGTTGGAAGCACCAAATGAGTTGGAAAATTGATTTGGCAATGACGAAGCAACAGTACTGGGGTTGGGAGCAATGGCAATCGGAGTGTGTTTCTTCAACACTGTCACACCATCGCCATTTCTTGTGCTCAAATACTGTGCTGATGCAATGTTCAAAGTTCGAGGAGCAGAACTAGCCATACCACTACTTGAAGATTTTCTTGAATTTCGCTTTTTGATGACATCGGTTTTCAAAGACAAGGGGCGCGTGGTACCATGCAACTTCAAAAACAATCCACATGCATTACACAATGTGTTGCCATCTGTATCCTTTCTCCACAATGGAGTCTTTTCAGTTTTACAGTTGAAACAGATTGTCTTGGTCACGTCTGCGTCGTTTCTCTTTTTAGGCACACTAGACTCTTCCCTTTCAGTTTTAATCTCCGGTTTCATTTCCTTTAGTTTGGATAGCGATGAAGTCAAGTTTGATTTTGGTTTTTCAGTTTCAACATCTGATGCCACACTTGAGGTAGCTGACGTGCCTGACGCACTAGAGTTGTTTCTTGAAGAACTGCTATGATCCGAGTCGGGAGACTTGTATTCAGTGTTTTTGTGGCCGACATGGTCAATCTCCATGGAGTCCTCACCATTGGATGCTTGCTGCAGCGGTAGATTGGGAGTTGCCGAGTTTTCAGTCGTACGTCTCGGTGAGCTATTGAATATCGGCTTGAATGCAGTAGTGTTTTGTAGCTCATCAATCGACAATGGAGATAGTAGGTCAAAAGTGTCTTCGTTCGTTCCCAGAAGGTGTACATGTCTACCCTGCCGCTGTTGATGTGGTTGTTGTTGCTGGTGGTGATGATGATGATGTGATGCGAGTGCTTGACGAAAGTCTGGTGATATACTTATATTATATTGATCGTTTGACACATTATTCTTCAAATGACTTAGTTGAGTCTTGCTATTTGACTTTCTCAACAGTCTATTTTCCATCCTTGGTTGTAAATTGAGTAATTTTTTTGCTGAATAGAATATGTCAACTAGTGAAGGTCCAGAGTCAAACGAGGAAGCAGCAGCGGAAGCGTGAGATTCAGGCGAGTGTCCTGAGTGGCTGCGTTGTAGACTAGACTGTGGTGGTGGTGATGGTTTATTGTGCCTAACGCGATTGTCTGCTGTAGATGGTGATGATGATGATACGTTTGAGTCCTTTGTTGTGGTTGTGGTTGTTGTTGAAGTGGTTGGTTCTGAATGGCTTTTGCTTGTTGTGAGTGATGGTGATAATACGCTACTGTTATTTCTTTCACTACCAACTTCCATCATCCTATCTCGCGGAAACTATTTGGTGACTTTGATTAAAGTGTAGGAGTGATATATGGTCTGCTGATTGATTCTATTTGTCCTGTTGCTAAAGAAATTTTTTCTTCCTTATTGTGAAGGAGACAAAGATTCAAACAGAGACAAACAGAGACAAACAGAGACAGATGATTTTCAATTTTTTTTTTTTTTTTGCTTCTTCCTTTAAAGTCCACCTTCAATTTCGGACACACAGTAAAGAAAAGACAACAAACAATACAACAGTAAGTGAGCCGTATAATACATCATATATTGCCCAACTGTTAATGCACATTTGTCTTATAGATCGTTCTAATATTGTTTCTGTGTTCTTACAAGGTATGTGTGTGTGTGTGTCAGTGTAAAATGAGTTCCTCTGTATTTTATATGCAGTACACAGTATGTCTCTCTCTCTCTGTGTTTGTGTGTCAGTGTGCCGAGTAAAGATTAGGTCGTGTCTCAAACAAAAACCCAATTTCTTCTTCTCCTTCTTCCGAACCGACAAATTGAGTCGTGTCTCAGAACCCAAACATGTGTCTCTGCTAAAGTTGTCTGGGCGTCTATACTACATTCCATCAAGTGGAAGCTGACAATTACGACCAGTTAACCAAACACATCAGCTGAAGCAGTGCTTTCTGTGGAATTCAAGGACCTAAAACTACATAGCACATCAGCCATGAATGCTGTTGTTCCTTGGTTTACAACCTTTACGCATTCTTTTTTTCGGCAATATTGAGTCACAATACTCAACGCCCACCACGTGACTCAATTTACCACAAAATTTGATTGAACAATAGCAGGCAAATATGTGCAGATCCAACTTTCATCAAGTACAAAATCACACTACAATAGAAGAAGCAAATGGCGGTTGTTGGCGGCTAAACTCAGATGAGAGTTTTCCTTTCAACCGCTTCGAATCTAGATACACACGGCATGGCTGGAGAACCTTGTTGCAAATTGACATTGTATACACGATCTGAAGTTTCCATTACAACGTTATACAAGTACTTAGTCCGTATTAATAACATCACCACTTTCAGTACTTCCACTTCCATTGTGCTGATGATGATGCTGGTGTTGTTGCTGTTGCAGTTGGTGGTGGTTATTAGAATTATTCAGCCTCGAATACTTCCCACCACCATACCTACCTTTTCTCTCACCCTTGTTGTCCATGTTCGATGGCGACTCAACATGTAATCTATACTCAAACCCAACTCCACCAACACGTTCATTTGACCCACTATCCACCGTCTTTATAGAGTCTGCCCCGAGTAAAATCTCATCGCACTCTCTAATGACTCGCAATATGGCATCACATATGATACGCCTTGCCTGAAACGGAGTCAAGGGCTTTTTAGCATCGACGCCACTACTCTGTTGTGATTGCTGGGACTGCTTTTTGAAATTCAAATTGGAGTTCCAAACGGATATGATATCCTCCTCTTTACGTACACTCAACACAATGCCACAAATATCATTATTCAAGACATTTTGCAAATCAGGAGCATGAGTAGCAGGGATAAAATTCCCCGTCAAGATCTTGATTACTATCCTCTCCCAAATCAACGCTGACCGTTTCCTCATTTTCTCAACAGACAATTGTGCCGATGGTCCATCGGTGGCAACATTTCTTTTACTTGAATGATGATAGTCTTGTGTTCTTCTGCTGAACCGAAATATCCATCGTCCTCCTTTAGCATTCAATGGATCTTCCCACACGGGATTAACTCCAATTTTGAAAATAAGAAACTCAGTACCGACATTTAAATTGAAACTGGTCTTGATTGATGTCAACATCGTCCACATTTGCTCAATTGAGGCAATATGAGAAATGGTTGTGGAGTTATTGTTCAAATCTGTAAATTGTAATCGGTTGGTAGTTTGTAAATAAGTATCAACACCGGGTTGTTCTTGCAGTTGCAGTTGCAGTTGCAGTTGTAACGAGGTCGAATCATCATCTTTGGTAGTGGTAGTTGACGCGACTGTTTCAGCATCTTCAGTCGTGATTGTTACTGAACCTTGCTGCTGCTGCTGTTGCTTCTTCTTTCTCAAATGATGCCATACTGTCCAACAATAAGGTAATACATGATCATTTTCTGATACTGTTGCCAATGCTTCTTCAGTCAATTTAGCAACGTCCAACTTGGGCAAATTTGCCAACTGCTGCGATGATGTGTGGTGCTGCAGTTGAGGTTGCAGCGACTGCCCACTGCCAAAATTCACACTGTCGCTTACCTGACTGCTGTTACTGCTTTGATGCTGATGATGAAATTTCGATCTCGGTGGAAAACTCGTTTGAAAACTTTGCACTGGCGTTGACGATGGCGACGAGCTTGCAGACGAGTCAGCATTTTGGTTCATTATTCTATTGAACAAGGACTCTGCCCTTTTTAAATTATCAGACATGATTGAATGTTGTAAGGTGTGTTGTTAAGTTTATGCCAATGAAAAATTCCCAACGTTTTGATGATGATGACGTAAAGTAAATGAAAATATACAGTTAGAATTTAGTAGTGACCATGAATTTTTTGAAACTTAGTGATCCTCTTTAAGTAGTGTACATTAATTGCAAATAAATTATTAGACTAACTGGGTCTAATTGGTTGGGTATGTAAAGCTAATACGGAAAATGATGTGCCGTAGATGATTTTGATGAGATTGAAAATTGCAAAAACAGATGGAAGAGAGAAAAAAAAAAAAAAGAAAATTTCTTCACTCTATTTTATGCTTACACGCACTCGACTTTTCTGCGCTTTTGCTTAAATTTCTCACAGACTAATTGCTGAGGTAGAGAAAGGGCTAGATTCAGGTCAAATGACCTACCGGGATTGAGGTTAACAAGCACCACAAACACATCTCGAGTCGGTACAAATACTCTGTGTCTCATTCAATTTAAAAATTCAAGCGACATGTTTTCTAGATTTCCCATACGATATGCTTTTCACGTCTCTACAATCTCTGGCAATATTGAATACATAAAATTCTCTACCTAATTACCCCCCTTAAGCTTTAGCATAGTAGTGCAAGTATCCACCCAAGGTCTTACATCCGTTAATGTAGTTACTGACGTCCAACTTTTCATTAATGGAGTGAGCACCGTCATCACCTCTTCCCATTGGCAACAACAAGACATCAACACCCAATTCCTTCTCAAATGTCAATGTGATTGGGATAGAACCACCCTCTCTGGTAAAGTCGGGTACAACATTCCACACATCCTCGGTGGCCCTAGCGGCGGCTTGGAAACTTTCGTTGAATGGATTAGAAACCCAGTAGTTACCATCGTGGATCAATTCCACTTTAAACTCATTGGGTGAGTTCAATTTGGCAAATTCTTGGTTGATGTGCTTAAACACCAATTCATCCAATTTCTTGGAGTCAATGTCGGGAACAGTTCTGATGGAAAACTTACCCACAACTTTCGATGGGATAACTGTCTTGGCACCAGCTCCAGAAAATGCACCTTCGATACCATGCAATGATAAAGATGGGAACCTCCATCTATGTTTCAAAATATCCTTCTTGTTTTGATGCAAAGCGGTGTTTGAACCCGATGCTGCATTCAATTCTTCGACTGAAAAGGCAATATCATCATACAATTTATCCTCCTTCTCGGTTACTGGCGCAACCATTTCATCAACTCCTGGAATCAAGATCTTGCCACTTCCATCAACTAAAGTAGACATGATCTTAATCAAGTCAGTCATTGGCTCAGCAATGATTCCACCAAAGATACCACTGTGCAAATCAGCACCGGGTCCTTTTACAATGATTTGATAGTAGTTGCATCCCCTCAAACCATAAGTCAATACTGGTTTCGTAGTTCCCAACCAGTAATTGTCGGAGATTGTAACTTGTTCAACATCTTTGAAATATTGCTTGGCTTCTTTCGCAACCAACTCATCCAATCCCAAAGATCCACTCTCTTCCATACCTTCAAAACAAACAACCAAGTTAACCGGCAACTCCCAACCCAACTTGTTGTGAGCCTCAACAACATTCAACCATCCCATCACGGGTCCTTTATCATCAGTCGAGCCTCTACCATACAAAATATCCTTCGTCTTATCATAATGCATCGTGAATGGTTCAGTACCCCATCCATCTTCTTTCAAAGCAGGCTGAACGTCATAATGTCCATACACCAAAACCGTCTTCTTTTTAGGATCAGAGCCAAATCTACCCAAGACGATAGGGGGCAATTGCAAATTGGCATCTTGGACTGGTGGCGGTTGAGTGCCCAATTCCTTGACCTGGATATCTTGGAATCCCAAGTTTGTCAATTCTTCAACGAGGAATTTTGACATTTCGACAACCTTTGGTCTGAGCAGTTCATCTGATGATACTGAGGGGATGGAAATGGCTTTGGATAACCTGTCAATGAATTGAGGTTTCAATTCATCAATGGTTTTGAAGAGTGGTTCTAATGGGAGTTTATCGTACTTTTCTGACATCTGGCGACGAGGAGGTGGGGGGGAGGATCTAGTGTTGTGATAGTCAGTTGTGTCTGATTGATGACAATTGATAGGATTAGTGTGGACGGGTTTATAAATTTTAGAAAAAAACTTTTCCTTTGTACGGCGTTTTTCCCTCGCTTCCTGGAGTTATTCCCTCTTTTTTAGCCGTAAGACTAAGCGGACCCCAAAAACAAACGGAAAACGCCATGCAAGTGTATAGTACAAGTGTCTATAAAAATAAGGTGAATGATACGTAAGGACTGTAAAGAGGAGATATTTAGACCCTACATCTACAAGCCATACAATCTCTTGCCGAAAATAAATCACCCATAAAAGAAGTCCTGATTAATCACCTTCAAGTCACTTTCCAATTTATCACACTGTAAGCTCAAATCTTGATGGAGGTCAGTCAAAAAGCGAACCATCTCCTCGCGATCAAAACTAAATGAATCAACACCGGTTTTCACGGCTGCCATTACAAGCTCAATATTAACGGATCCCAAGTCTCGTATCAACCCATAACAGCTTTGCAAGATTCTTTCCACTGAGCTCTTCATTGATCGGAGCACTTTCATATTCTTTTCCCGATCGAGTGAAAAATTGAACGGGTTAACTAGTATGAATGGTAATATTTTCACCTTGTAGTAGAATGCATAAATTTTATCTGCTGTTTGTAAATCATTCAACTCAAGAAGATCTTTGATATTGTCTTCGATGATAATGTCGTTAGCTATGTGGTAGATCAAGTTTTGTTTAGTAAACCTGTGAACACGTTGTCTGTAATCACTTCCAAGCAAGAATTGGAGATTTAACTCGTGAATGACGGGACAAAGTCGCTTGTCCGCTGCAAACGTCACATTTATTAATTTAATAATATTGTGATGCAACTCCAAATCCATTTTGTTGACTTTTTCCTTGTTGTTGTGATGAGGAAGACAGGTGTGAATTCCAGAAATGAGCACCATCAATTGCGTTACGAGATCTTGAGCATCATCTACTTTTGCACATAGTAATGGGAAATTGTCATGGATAAACAGCATTAATCCTCGCAATTCATACTTGTTTGCATTGTAGTCAGAAATTACCAATAAAAAGAATCTAGCCACTGTTTCAAAGTCCACGTCTGAGGAATGGAGATACGTCATAAACACTAGACTCAATCTCTGTAATTGAAGCTCTAGTCCGCTTGACTTGTGCTCTATTTTCAAAACTAGACCCGCATCACTTTTGATTAGCCGCGGGTCTAGTCCTATCTTGATTAGCAAGTCCTTGAACTCGTTTTCATTGAAAACAGGGTCGTCATTTAGTCGAATTAAAGAGGACAAACTCTTCAAATATCCAAGATTGGCCAGAGTCATACTCCTCAAAACAAATGACTTGAATTGCGACTTAATTTTGACATAGCCAGCTTGAGGATTTCTGGCAATCAAAAATCTCAACGATTGGCTAATTTCACTACCCAAATCATAATTCAGCAACACAGTTTCGTCAAATATCAGACTCTTTAAACTGCAAAAGTATCGAGAAATGCCGTATCCATCTACACCGCTCTCGTCTTTAGCAAGTAAACTTTCCAAATAGGCCTTATCGCGTTCCAAGTCGTATTTCCTCCCCTCTTCTTGATTCAACTCGTCCAATAGCCGTTTCATGCGTGATTCTTTCTGCTGCTTGCGTAGCTCCTCAAATCTCTTTTGATCTGCTATCTTTTGGTTCACTTGTTGCTGTTTCTCATACACCTGATGACTCTTTGCACTGGTTTTGAACACTGGTGGCACATCGATATTGAGTATATCATCGTCATCAGAGTCGTCAAACTTTGATTTGTTGAAATATCGCTTTTGACATGTATTACTCAGTAGAATCACCCTTTTCTTCCTTGGCTGTGGTGACGATTCAGTGGCGGAGCCATTACATTGACTAGCTCCAGTGGTTTTGTACAGAAAAGATTCTGACTGTGATTCTTGAATATTATGGCGTCGCGTCGATCGTGAGTAAGTCTTTTGTGGTTTTGGTTTTGGTTTTGGTTTTGGTTTTGGTGATGACTTGCGCAAGTTGAATATATCAAAAAGGTCATCCTCTTCGGAGCTAGTCGACTCAATCTCGTCCGAGTCCATTGCAACTGTATAAAGAGATTAAAGTAGATAAAACTAGCCAATCTCATCAATGGTTCTCTTTGGCGCGTCAAATAAAATTGTGCATTCACGTGACTTCAATGCAAACTGTGTACTCTATGATACAGACGACAGCCATTGTCATAAACTCAAAGTAGCAAATGGGGAAAGAGGTATTGGAAGTCTTTAAGTACATGGTTTAGCACCGTGATGGATAGTTCCCTTTCAAGAAGTGCTGTCAAACATGATAAACTTTATTCACTAAGGGAACACTACACTAGAGTATATCTTCTTGTGTTTGCATTGAAACTTGATTTAAATGCCGAGGAGCACGTGTATCGGAGAAAAGAAAGAAAGAAAGAAAAAAAAAATAATTGTAACGTATTGTGCAACTTTATACAGCTTTGTGGACGCCGTGGAGAGGTGTATAAATAGAGTCGAGTGACTAATTTATAGACAACGTCATAATCCTGTCACTTTAAAATTTACTTCAACCAGTCCACGATAGTTGACACAAGTGACTCTATCTCCTTATCAAATACCGTGCATTCTCACCGACAAAGCTGGAGCAGTATCCGCACATTTCATGAACAAGTTGTCATCACGTTTACAATACCACAAAGAATAATAAAAATGACAGTTGAACAACAACAACAACAAAAGCCAATACAGCTCCAGTCTCAAAATGGCAAGCCAGTTACATACGTGAACCCGGAGCTTACTCCAGTCGAACAAGCCAAGCCTGGTCGTAAAGTTGATCTTCCATTCGGATTCGGTCCATTACCGGAAAATCAATCCAACAAGACCATATTCTTCTTCGATATCGATAACTGCTTATATCCCAAGTCCACACGTATATTTGAAATGATGCAAGAAAAAATACATGACTATTTCAAGCACAACTTGAAGTTGAATGACGAAGATGCTTCTAAATTACACCAAGATTATTACAAGACCTATGGTTTAGCCATTGAAGGATTGGTTCGCAATCACCAAGTGGATGCGTTAGATTACAATTCCAAAGTGGACGACGCATTGGATCTACACGCAGTATTACGATACGACAAACCGTTGAGAGACACATTGTTGAAAGTGAAGCAGTCAGACAAATTTGATTACTTTTGGCTTGTGACGAATGCGTACAAAAACCACGCCTTGAGGGTTATTAGTTTTCTTGGAATTGGCGACTTGTTTGATGGGTTGACGTATTGTGATTATGCCAAGTTCCCCATTATTTGCAAGCCAATGAAAGCGTATTTTGTTAACGTATTTGACTTGACTCAGTTGAATTACGAAAATAAGGAAGTTTTGGCTAAACAATGGTTTATTGATGATAGCGAACTCAATGTTAAAGCAGCATACGATTTGGGGGTGGGTCATGTCATTCATTATGTCGAACACGATGAGGACATCGCCAAGTTGAAACAGAAAACTGATTTCAAAAAGTATTACGAATTAGGATCCCCTGGCTCTAGGATTCAAATTTTAAGCAAGTTTTCAGAATTACCGAATATTGTAGGTGTATAGAATGATAGAATAGAAATTGAATGGGAAAGTTTATTCAAAAGCAATCACAGTAGCGTCCATAGGTTGGTCAAAATGATCGAGCCAATCATGCCAACTTGCGCGAATTTCAACGAGGGGGAAATGTGGATCTACTCGTAGCTGATCTCAAGTAGTTGATTCCCGCGTTACCAAAGTCTACAGAATATTTACAGAATACTTGTTGGCTGACACGAAAGACTCTGATCTCTTCCGTGAAGAAAACTATTTAGAATACCCATAGATTGACTACTAGATACAACCTAACAATACCAATGTTATCGATACGTCTACTTTAAGAGCATTTATTAATCAAACTCTAATGTCAATAGCTCTTGTGTTGAAAAGTCTTTTATGTCGTCTTTATTAACCACCAACTGATACTTCATCAACTTGTTTCTTATACCATTCAATTCTAGCATCATGGTCATCAACAGTTCATCATTCAGCCACACGTAAGGCAAGCTTGTAATCAAAAGGATCAAAAGTAGGCTTAGTTGATCTAGCTTATGCCAGCGTTCCACAAGTTCTTGGTACCGTTTACGCGCACCCTCATTTTCTTCCACCTGTGCTTTCTTTTGAGAAACGTACTTTATCTGGAGCTCTTTAAACTGTAGTTCCAGTTGCTCAATCTTCTCCATTAGGGGCTTTATCTCGGTGTAGATAATGTCAAACGGGTTCTCCTCTTGGCGTTCTTCACAACGCTTCTTGTTCTCAAGTTCTTGTACTCTGAATGCAAGACCATTCTCATTGTACAACACGCCCAAACGATCTGTGATTTTCGTCTCAGAGGTATTCAAATTGGCATGATGAATGGCCTTGAGCACTGGGGAAGACATGAGCAAAAACCGATTTAGCAAGGTATCAGTCTTGATCACGTCGTTTTGTAGTCGAAGAAACTGCAATAGCTCATCCAAGTCATCAATATCCATTTCCCCTTTGATCTTTGCAACTTCCTGAGACGGGTTGTCAACATTGGCAAGCTCTTTCAACTTGGTCAAGTACATTAGCCGGTTGAGTTTGTGGGTGAGTTCCTGGTAAGCAGTGTAGTACCGTTTCTCCCAATTATGTATGCGACTCCATGACGTGAAATCTTCTTGCTTCTGAACCCTGGGAATGCCGTGTTCATGAGATAGTATCGAAGTTGCTTCGAGAAAGTCGTCGCAAATTTTACCCAACTCGTCTGACATTGGGCCTGGTGTGAGGAAGCAAAGAATGCTACCAAAACAATTTCCTCAACAAAACAACTTCACCACCCACTTTAGTACAATCTTTGCACCCCCCATACACACACCAACATGTCCATTGACCAGGCGCTCGTCAAAAGAAAACTTCTCAATGTTGCCACAACAGGCAGGTTTGCCACTTTCACTCCCGAAGAGACAAATTACCACACAAAACAACTCAGGTCGTATCTCCTAAACCACCAAGACAAATTAGATTCCATTGAATTGTTTCAGCTTTTTGAGCTAGACTTCTACTTGTCTCTAATCACAGGTCATGACATTGAAGCAAAGGCAGTGCTTGAAAGATTGAATGACCAATTCGGTGACAAGGTCTCGTCGCAGCGCATCAAGCTACTCAAATCAATCTACTTTGAAGCTACTGGAGACTTGGAAAGTGCGGGAAAAGTATTGAGTGAGGACCCAGATGAGCTACTTTTGTCGAGGAGACTCACCACGTTGTCCAGACACGACGGTGTTAAGTACATCAATAACCTTATCTACTATTTGAATCTTGCTCCCAGTGATGTTGTTGCATGGTGCGAGTTGGCAGATGAATATGCCAAATTGAAGGAATACAAGAAGGCCATTCATTGTCTCAAGAGAGTGCTTTTGAATCAGCCAGATGCTTACACCTTATACGACAAGATAGGTCTGCATTATCACCAGTTGTCACTTGAAGCCCAGGCCCATAAGGATAAGAACGAGCTTCTACAATCAAGTGTGAAGGAGTACTTGAGACTGCTTGAAATATACGCAGGAAACCGTTCCGCTTGGGAAGGGTTGTACGCATCAGTAAAGGATTTGGAAGACGGTGCTGAAAAAGAGAAGTTGACCCAGATTTGTGAACTCGAGTTGGCCAAAACGTAGGTTGACTATTGCAGCTGCGGTTACAGTGATTGACCATGTGTGTGGGAGGCAAACCTGCTGGTGCTTTTGCAATGATATATCCATAGAGGCTTGAGCCAGCTCTTTTTAGATTACATGCTGTCATTTACCACAAAATCTCATGTCTCTTGACCTTTCGATCTTAGGGTGTTGCGTATCCGCGGGTAAGTTCTTAGCAGCGTGGCAATCTCAAAGTAATTAGGCTTTCTGAGACTGGTCATCCATTTTAAAAATTTTTTTTCTGGTCTTGGATGTAACCCACTTCTCCGTGGGATTCCATGGGTGTCACTGCTTTTTTGGCACCCAATTTTGTATACGTAGATGGATGTATGTATGTGTGTGTGTGTGTGTGTGTGTGTGTGTGTGTGTGTGTGCGTGTGTGTGCACTGCGACTAAAAATATAATCAACTGACTATACACAAAAGCTTACTCCCCAGAAAGTTTACTGCATTCAGCAATCAGCAATCAGCAATCAGCCAATATATTTCTGTCTAGAAGCTTTCCATGATCAGATAAGAAGAATATAAATAGGGGGACAAATTGCCTTTCAAATTGGAATTGAAACTCTTGTTTCTCTTTCTTTCCTCTACATCACACTCCATTCTATCAATTCAACACCAATAATGAGTTCAAAAGCTTCTTGTTCCTGCTGCTCCAATAGCTGCTCCTGCGAAAACACTTGCAAATGTGAAAGCACTGACAAGTGTACCTGCCAACCAAAGTAATTGAGATGTCTTTTGCTGAATGGTTGACTACACGCCCCAGCTGGATTTAGTGATTATGTATGCTTACTTTATTAATATAAGCACATTTGCGAATTGAGAACTTCACTGACTGTAGAGATGTTTTCCTCTCAGGAGACATTGCGTTGGATTCATAAAGTGAAACTCTCCCTTAATGCACCGTTGCTGTTAGAAAAAAAAAAACTCCGACCCAAATGTCCGCTTCAACTCCCGCCCCCACCCCGCCGCAGAGAAAAATCAAACGATCACATGACCAATTGGAATGATCCACGCAGTTGGGTTTGAAACAATGTGGATGGCCTAAGAGTTTCAAGCTCGCGATTAAAAGTCCCGCTGTATGAGACGTTTCTTGGAAATAGGTTGTTGGCAGCAAGCTAGTGCATTCAATTCGTGAAGACCTACGAAGTATACACCTTTGTCATGAAACAAATTATGTATTTGAGCTAGCTATACACCTATGGGTTACCAATATACGGCTCAAAGTCCCATTTCGACTCACTTTGAGCAACTGCTGCATTTGCAACCACCTTGTTCTTTAGCACAAGTACATGAAGTACCGCAGCTACAGCTTGACGTTGTTTGATCGTTGTTGGAAGACATTATGGGGTATGATTATGCTCGTGTTGGTTTTGGTGTGTTCCTGATGTTCAATCGAGTTGTAGTAGCTGATATGACACTTACTATAAGAGGGAATGTTCACTGGCATTTATAGCGTGTGGATGAAAAATTTATCCTTGTGTGGTGTGCGTGTGTGTGTGTTTTACAACAGTGTACGGCGATTTCCTGATGAGGAAACTAAACTCTCTACATGCAGGAAGTATGACCAAGCACACTAAGTCAAGATATGATATGCTACTGAAGAAGGCACAAATCTTTCAATTACAACTAGCGACAAGCATTCTGATTAAGCATTAATGTCTCAGCAAATATCTCGCAGCCAAAACACCTCATACTGTGAAAAAAAGTGTTTTGCGGCAATTCTGCGGCAATTCTGCTAGAAAAGGCACTTTAAAATCAAATACAGCACATAACACTACTTACACAGACTCCGCATCCCTTACTGCTTCCTGGTTTAGATACGCATTCAGAAAACATCTATTAGTAAGCTTTTTCTATGTACATGGCTTTCCCCCCCTACCTACACCTGGAACAATCTCTTATTGATCACATCCCAATTCAAATGATCCCACAAATTATTCAAGTACTCATTCTTGCCAGTAACTCCGTAATCTTCAACATACATATAATCCCAGTAGTTGATAGCCAAGATTGGCAAATATTGCTCATCTTCCACAACATCTTCACCACTAGCTCTCTTTTGTAAGTTTGCCAACCTGTTGAAGCTGACTTCATCGATGCCACCATTCAAGTCCAATTGTTGACGCTTACCAAAGTAGTAAGGCACTCCATCATTGTTGCATTGGAGAAATTGCAAATTCTTAGTCTTGTCTTCAACAAGATAAATCCATCCTTGTCCATATGCATTTTCAGCCATGGTTAACATTTTAGTTCTCAATGCATCAACGTCCAAGATATCCTGATGTATTAGTTTTTCCATTAAAAATCGAGATGGTTTGCTCAATTTCGAGTTTGATTTATCGGTCAATTGTTCGAAAAAGAAATGATTCATGTGTGACATGGCGGCGTAATGGAAAGTATGTTGTTGCGTAGTTTGTTTGGCAGTATTGAGTAGGATCTCAAATGGCTTCTTTGTTTCATTGGCTGTTCCGTTGGTGAGTAATGTTAAATTGGTCAACAAGTATGTTTGGTAATCTGTCCATGCAGCGGAATATCCTTGGGGAGACAAGAGTCCAGGTATTCCTTGAGCTGACCACGTCTCGTGGTTTGCCAATCTGGGCAATGTATGAACGGACCGGAGCTGTCTAAAGAGTGAATTTCGGCTTGACTTGAACATATTGGGGGACTCTATCTATTAAAGATCTAGTAACCAAGTTCTTGAAAAAAATTTTTATTCTTTTTTTTTTATGGTGGTGTATTCGCATAGAAATATCGAGTCTGCAAAATATTTACTCAAATACAGAACATGTACATACATCTATGACGCCTCTACTATACCCTTTTCAATAGTCCGTTCAACAATAGGGAGATTCAAACTAACCCAGTTCTGGTCCCTTAGTAATTTTTTTGGGTCATTGTTCACCTTACCACTGCTTCCACCGCCACCACCAGATGCAGCAACTTTCAATACATCATCATAGTCACATTCTTGCAACTTGTACTCTCGTATCACTTCATTTGAATCAAAATCAATAAAAATTCGACAGTCTCTAATCCTGAATATGACATTATCAATCCTTAGAAAGAACCGACATAGTAATAACAAGCATGTAGGCATAACTCTAATCTTGATCGAAAGCATACTTATCCCGTTGTCAGCCAACTCGTCCTCGTACAAGATCATTTCATCAAAGAATAAGATAGGATCAGGGTTCATTAATCGATTCACGGGGATTTCCAACTTCTCATCAGCGACAAATTTGAATCCACGCGAATGACCCACGTAATTTGGAGAATATGTCCAATCATACGGTTTCACGGCATCCAAATCTGTCAAATCACTCACCTTCTCACTCATTTCATCACCTGCACTAGAAGAGGTTTTGGCATCACCACCCCTCTCGTGCTTCTTGCGTCGATTCTGACGCAGTTGGAGCCATTCTTCATGATAGCTCACTTTCAAATGACAATCATCTTCCAAAGTATCCAACGCATCTATCGAATTAAACCATATTTCATGCCCCTCACCTTTCTCTCCCTTGCCAGCATCACCAGTGTATCTAATCCGAACAAAGTTGTTTCCAAAGATCATTTCGGGCAAGGGGAACTCGAATTTGGTGTCACCTAGATGGTCAAGCTCAGCTGAGGATAGGATCGGTTTCTTGATGGTGTATATCTCCCAGTCATTGATTTTTATCGATGGTTTGTCCTGTAAGGGGAACGACAGTTGTGGGGCGGGAATAATGATACTTCCGCAATGTTGACACTGGGGGTTCTTGCACTCCGCGCCGTCGTGATCCAACGGTATGCTAACTCTTGGCTGGGTGATGGGTGCTTTAGACTGTTCCAATACCACAGGAGAGTGCACTTTGGGAGACTTTCGAGACTGCAGTTGTTGTTGTTGTTGGAGTGGTTGTTGGAGTGGTTGTTGGAGTGGTTGTTGGAGTGGTTGTTGGAGTGGTTGTTGGGGCAGTTGCCTTGAGGGAGGTGCCCGACCTCGGGTATGTAGTTGCACCATCTCTCTGGCTGCATTTACATGTACTGCGTCAATACCACGACGTGGCTGTGTTGGGATAGCAAAGTTCAGCGGACGCGTAGTTGGCTTGTCATTCTCTTCGCCCATACTGGAGAGTGATTAATCATACAAGACAACACACTGATGGCCCAAGGTGATTCCAATTCTTTTTTTTTCTTTTTCTTTTTCTTGCCTACCGAACAAACGCAAAACCGCGCAATCGATACATTTACAAATCCTCGTCTATACTGTACGTTGTTTATTCTAACTTCCTCTCTACTCACTACCGGAATCTTCGAACTCCTTTCTCGTATCATTGTGCTCTCTCAACCCTTCTCTAACTGCCAACACACTATCAACAATAACCGCATCAACACCAGCTCTCATTTGGATCTTGGCCAATTCAGGATCATTATTCTCCACACCGTATGTAACACACACCAACCCCGACAGCTTGACAACTTGCGCCAAACGAGGCGTTTTGACTAATGCTTCAGCAGCTGATACAATTCCCAACAAGTTCCACTTCTTGGCGAACCTAATGGCATTTTGTAATGATGACGCACGGATATCTGCCATAGGGGCGGTACCACCTTCGGTAAGGAACAAGATTGGCATGGTTGGTTGTTTCAATGAAAGTAAAAGACACACATCCGGATGGAATGACGAAAATACAATATGACGGTTGTTTGTATTTTCATCGTAAACAACTTTGAGGATAGTGTCCAAGTACAAATTCAAATCAACTGCAAGTTCACCCATACTTTCTTGTTCAGCTTCATCCAACATGGGATATTTCAATTCGATATTGAACCCGACATTCTGTGGCAACTTCTTAAACAATTCCTTCAAGGTGACAAAGTTGGAAGCGATGGAGCTTCCTCGAGCATTTCCCTTGTAACCTTTACTTTTCCAAGTCTTTGTCAACTTCATGCGTTCGTCAAATTGATTAGCGAAGTCTTTATCAACAATGTCATCCTTTTGAATTCCATTCAATTCAAATGTGGACTTTGCTCTGGGCTTCGATCTCACCAAAACTTCGTCATCAACTGAGCGAACTGGTTTTTCGCCATTCTTGTTCAAGCCAAGAAACTGCTCCAAAGTTAACAAATGCATGGGGATATCAACCCCCAGTTCAGCAACTGTGAAATCATGATACACAACAGGAACAAAATCTTTAGTCAATTGAACATCAAACTCAACGTAGGAAGCACCCAACGATGACGCAGCAATGAATGACTCAACGGTATTTTCACCCAATTGCAATGATTGTCTACCGCTGACGTTTTTACCTAATCCACGATGACCAATGACTCTGGTAGATACCAATTGTTTCCAATAGGTGTCGGATCTAGCAATCGACATGGCGTGGTGCTTAAATGGCAAGATTTGCAAATATTCGAACCGAATGAGTCCCAAAATATCCAAGTTTGTAGTTTCCAAAATAGGGATGGTGATGTTGTTGTTCAAGGAACGTAAATGAGGCCCAACTTTGGTATATGCGTCTTTCAAAAGAGCGATAGCTCTGCCCAACACTTTTTTGTTGACTTGATAAGTGGGGATCAAGTCAAAAGTGATGATAACATCGTCGATTGACACATTGTTGGTGAGCTTGAAGGAAATTGGGTCAGTGGCACTTCCATGATAATCCTCCAAGGGCAAATCTATAACTACTGGTGGCTCCACTTGTTGATTAGTTGATTTGTAACGACACGTAATCGACAACGACAAAGCCGTGTCCAATTCAGTTGCAAATGATTTCGCCAACGAGATCTTGTTTAACTCAACTGGAGGACGATCATCACGTAAATCCGTTGTACCCAAAGTAACCAAAATCAAACTCTCCTCTTCACCAAGATACCTATGGCCAAATGATTTAACAGCCTTAACCCGTTTCCTTCTCTTTGGCGATGTAGATCTGGACACATTGCCGGATGATGAGTTCTTCAACTGCTTGTAAAATTCATTAACGGCATTCTTGTGCACTTCAGGTAAACGATCCATGCTAGTAGGAAGAGCACTAGCATCATCCTTGGGGCGCAATACTGGACTTGCTGCTTCACTAGGCACACGCGTGACATTATTCTCTGGGTGATATGTATCATAAAGCAAAAGCTTTGGATCACGAGGCACCAACAATTCAGCGACACCCAAGTGACCCCTCAAACACGCGTGCTCCATAGGTAACCATCCAGAGTTATCAACAATGTCGTAATTTGCATCAAATTCTTTGAGCAATTTCACAATCTCGCTGTATCCTTCACAAGCGGCAATAAAGATGGGAGTCCATCCAAATACTTGTTCCCCAATTTCAGTGTTTGCATTGGACTCTAACAAGAACTCAACTACCAGGGCAAGATTCATCTTTGCAGCAATGTACAAGGCTGTTTCATTCTTGTGGTTCTCATCGGTATAATCAATGTCAATACGACCATCGGTGATGAGGGAGTTCAAAATGCGGCTGGAGTTTAACCTCACTGACAATAACAACAAATCGGGACATGTCAATTTCCTAGGACTATTGAACTTGATCAACACTTCAGTGGTCTTTGGATGTTGACCAATGATTGATAAATGCAAGGGGGTAAGGTACTCTTGATCACCCCAAATTTCCATATTATCAATAGACACATTGCGGTCAATTAGATTCCATTTGGTGCAATAATCCAACAAGATGGTTGTCACATGAACAAGCCCATATTGAGCGGCATAATGTAATGGTGTTCTATTGTAGTGGTCCTTAGCTATCAAGAGCTTCTTATCATCCAACTTGTTCAAAATGTACAACAATCCACTAGTGTTGTTGATGTTGTTGCTATCGGCACCTTTGGCACCACCAATCAACCAATTTGGCTGATCTCCCGGAGTCAATTGTTCTTCCTTGATGAATTGGTTCTTACCAAGATTGATAACGTTGTGATGGAAAAAGTTTCGACCATTGATATCTTTCTCATCGTATAAACTGTTTAAATGCTTCCAAATCAAATCAATGCACTTTTCAGCATTCAAGAGGGAGGCTTTGTTGAGCAAGGAGATGTTGAATTTTTCAGTCTTGTTATCCAAAACAATCTCTTCCAATGCCTTTGAATCATCAACTTCCAAAATCGACTGATATGATTCGATATTGTTTTCTACTTTTAACGTTTCCAATTTGACTTCACTTGATGAACCCATAGTTCCCAATTGTAACAAGATACGATGGATAATTTCCAAGTTGTTTGCAACTTCAGCTTCATTTGCAAATGGTAAAGCATCGATTCTTGTTGACAAGTAAGCCTCTTTGTTATTACGTGAAATATCAATCTCACTAACGTGCCCACCACCCTCATTCAAAATTGACGACAATTTCTTATCCAATTTCTTCAAAATCTTGATGAACCCACGATGATTCAACTCACCAAACCATTTCAAGTTACGAAACAACATTCGTAACTCAATCAAGATATTAACAATTTCATCCAATTCCTCTTGACTTTCAACTTTGTGAGTAACAACATTGTCATTGTATCCCAACACTTGAATGATTTTCGTTAATCTCCGCTCATACTCCTTGTACTTTGCATTGTAGAACCCATCAACTTTTTCAATACTTCTATCAATCTCGAAAAAGAAGGAGCTCAAAGTTTCCAGAATCAATTCAGGGGATGTGGTCTCATCTACATCAGCTTCCTCCTTGACAGCGTCGATTGATTTGATGATTTTCTTCAAATGCTTGTAGTTCATGTAGTAGATTGACCATTCTGGAATCTGATGAGATAGGTATGTCTTTCCAAACTTCATCGTGTGCCAACTAGTGAGTCAAGAGAGGGAAATCCGGGAGGTAGTGTGTGTGTGTGTGTGTGCGTGTGCGTGTGCTGTGTTATCTTTCAATCTGTTTGAACTCGTGGACCAGTGTACTCTAGCGAAAGGAGTCGTACACTTGCCAAAACCGAATTACTCGACTTATCCCCGGAGTGCGTATATATGTGACGAAGATACGTGAGTTGATGCAAGATCTGAGGAAAAAAAAAAAAGAAGAGGGCAGTGATTGAGATACGTGTAATCAAATTACCCATGGAAAGTAAAAAAAAAAAAGGTTTTGCAATCAAGCATTGTAAAAGTATTGTAGTTTGTTTGTTAGTTTGTTAGTTAGTGGGCAGCGTGTGACAAAAGATAGCGAGGAGTATATGCGAGACAACGTGGGCATCTCTCTTATTGTTATATAGTGCAACCTTATATACAGGAGGTGGATGAATTATACCGCTTTTGCGTTTTACTTGTAGTTCTACATCAATGCACGTGCTACACGAAACATGCCAGATATCAATGTGTGGAAACAGGTTAGTCGTTTAGATCTCACTACAGTACACTGCTGCAGGTTAAAAGGCAAATAATACTGGTCTTCTGCGGCCAACACCCGGAGCCCATAACAGAATACGTATTACTAAAAGCTTCATCGAAATTGGAAACATGAAGCACTGGGAAACCACTGACACCAAGTGCATCACTACAATTATAATCTCTAGGACTCATTCTGTAATTCACTCACTTGCCATTCGGTTTCAACTGAAAGCAGATCAGTTGTCAGCTCCTTAGAAGTCGCTTTCAAGTGCCGCTGAAGAGATAAACACAGAAATCATCTAAAGTACACTCTGTCTTCTCCATCTTCTTCTGTTGTTCCAATACAACCGTCTACTTTCATAAAACGTGGGGTATATCGCTTAGTACAGTCACCCAAACAGTAACCTTCACCGAGATGTAAAAGTCTGGGAAACCAATGTTACCTTGTTCGCTTTTGACTGTCGTTTACAGACACACCACCACGAGGGAAAAAAAAAAAAAAAAAAAAAAACTCCGTTGCCACTTAAATAACATTGACGTTTATCTGATTTGATTCCAATTTTCTCGCATTCTATTGCCATTAATGGATTAGATTATCATCCAAAAAAATTTTTGAATTCCCAATCTTCCTTGATTTATATAAATACGTTGCCAACTGTCTTTCTTCAACCTTGTTCAAAGCTTCCTCTTTTTCATCTCTATACTTATTCGCAAATGTCTATCGATTACAAATTTCACCCAAACAAAAAAGCCACCATAATAACAGCACCATTTTCTGGAGGTCAACCAAAAGGTGGTGTCGAATTAGGTCCAGAATATATTTTGAATGCTGGTTTCCAAAAACAGATTGAGTCACTTGGCTGGGCTACCAAAGTAGTAAACCCCCTTGCTGACGTATCGCTTGAAGAGAAGAAATCAAATATTAAGGATGACCATGGTGTGAAAAATGCTGCTATTGTTAGTAAATGTTGTCAATTACTTTTTGAAGCTAGTAAAGAAAGCTTGAGTGAAGGAAGATTGCCTTTGGTTGTTGGTGGTGACCACTCTATTGGTACTGCTACTGTTGGTGCTAGTCTAGCCCATAACCCAGATACTTGTGTTGTTTGGGTGGATGCTCACGCTGATATCAATAGTCCTAAAACTACTGATTCTGGTAACTTGCATGGATGTCCTTTGAGTTTCTTGATGGGAATTGATGAAGAATCTTATCCTCCGGAATATAGCTGGGTTCCACGTGTATTGAAATCCAACAAGTTGGTGTACATTGGATTAAGGGATGTTGATGAAGGTGAAAAGAAGATTTTACGTGAACACAACATTGCTGCTTTTTCAATGTATCACATTGACAAATATGGTATTGGTAAAGTTGTTGAAATGGCATTGGACAAAGTAAATCCCAACCGTGATTGCCCTGTCCATTTATCTTATGATGTTGATGCTATTGACCCTTCATTTGTACCAGCCACCGGGACTAGAGTCGAAGGTGGTTTAAGTTTAAGAGAAGGATTGTTTGTTGCCGAAGAAATTGCGCAACTGGGATTGTTGCAAAGTTTGGATATCGTGGAAACTAATCCAATGTTGGCAGAGACCGAGGAACATGTGTTGGATACCGTGAGTGCAGCTTGTGCCATTGGTAGATGTGCTTTGGGTCAAACTTTACTATAGGAGACTGTACATAAACAGTAGTTAAAATAATAGAGTAATTCATGAGGGGATTGAATAGTTGTAGAAGGTTTTTTTTTAACAGAAAGAATGTCAAAGAATTTATCAAATAACCCATTGTACATATTTTTGCCAGAGAAAAGGGTTTGTATACTGTACAAAAAAAAAAGCCTCCACAGTTTTTACTCACTGCGTATGTGTCGTATGCACGGATCCTTAGAATTGCTATGGAAGAGGTTAGAAGAAGTTGAGAGAACTTTCTGTACTCCCCCGTGGATAGTCCCTAGCAACAGTGTATAGTATATTTAATGAAACTATTTAAGGGGCCCAATTTGACCAAGTCTTGCCAATTGACCATATCACTCGATTTTCCAACTCTTCTAAACCTCAAACTTTCAATCTCAATTAAAAAGAGCTCACTTACCCAAACAATGTCTTCAGTTATTGTTTCAAACGTCCCAACCAAGGTTTCTCCAGCTGAACTCATCAAGTTCTTTTCATTTGCCGGTCACGTTACCGATTTGAGACCTTTGAGCGACAACAAATACCAAGTTGTATTTGAAGATCCCAAGGCGGTTTCCACAGCTCTTGTCCTCAACGATGCTGAATTGGACAACACTTTTATCAGAGTTGATGAGGATTTGGAACTTACTGATGGTGAAACTGGCGTTGCTCCACAACAAGGTGGTGTTGATAAGCAAAGACAAGAGGATATCCAGTACACATTGAGCAATGCTTATGGTCAAATCAGACACAAACATTCGGCCGATATCCACCAAGAGGATAAACCCAAGTATGCAATTTTGGCTGATTTGCTATCTCACGGATACAAGCTTTCTGATAATGTTGTTAAAAAGGCAGCTGAATTGGATGAAAAAAATGGACTTTCCAAAAATTATCAAGATTTCATCAAGTCATTGAATGGGAACAAGGAGAAATGCCCGGTTATTAGAGGTGAAGAGAAGATTGGCAAGGCTTATGAGAATTCAAACTTGAAAAAGTATTTTGATAATGTGAGTGGAGATATTGCCCATTCAAAGGGCGGTATTACCCTTAGCCAATTCTATCAAAAGGTTGCTAATGATGTCAATTCTATTCGTGATCAAGCAAAAAAGTTGGCTAAGGAGAGGGAACACGCTAAGGCTTAGCTTTGTGGGATATTTGCAAGTTTTATAATTGAACCTTTTTTGTGGATCATGTTTTGCCTCTGTAGGTAAGTAAGTCAACACTGTCACGAATTTCTCTACAACTTTTTGCATCCCCTTTAAACTCGGTGAATACATCTCAACTATTTGGAGCTTGTGGCGCAAGTTGTATAGCAACCTACAATTGCCTGTGACACTGTTTCATTACACAAAACCCAATAAGTAGCCACGCCGCACATACAATCGAGGCGTCATTATCTACATAAATAGGAGACCTAATTGCTCCTTTTTTTTTGGAAACACAATCAACCTTTTCCTCAATTGGCACATTATCACAACTTAATTTCAATTTCAATTTCAATTTCAACTTCAATTTCTGCAATGTCTGTTATAGCTTCCNGTTACAAACACAACACCAACAAAAAAAAAAAAAAAAAAAAAAAAGAGGAAGAATTTCAGAGTATTCTTTGCCCTTGCCACCACCCACTATACTAGTCAACGAGTGTCGATGCGTGTTCGACTTCTTCAACAGTTATCCACTACTGCCAAACACACTTCCTTCTGGAGAGACACCAAAGAAGCCAGATTTCACATTCAAAAATATTCGCAACATGACTTGTTTCGCCTCTACCACGAAATTCATTCATTGTTATGCCTTCTTGATGACTTATTCAAGTGCCAAATCCTCGATATAGAGACCATGTTTGAAACGTAAGTGAAAAAAGACGCCTATACCATGGGAGCGCTAGCACGTACTAACATCACTCCTCCCCGTGTTAAAACAGTCATGAAGTATTGAAGAGGAGTATGGGAGGTGATACATCCCGAGAGTTGAATTTACATTTGCGCAAGTACCTTGAGTTTTTAAGAACGATAAAGCCAATCAGTTACCTTAATCCTTACGTTGTGTCGTGCAACAACTACCATATTATTGCTTGTTCGGAAAGTGTGGGTGGTTGTGTTGTGGGTGGCGGTGCTGGCAATTTCGCGTATTCGCGAGCCATGGGACATCATATTACGTCCTTGATTCGCATGCTTGAGCAAGTGATTGATTATTATCTTGAGTCAGAATCGTTTTCGTTTCATGACGTTGATTTTATGGTGTAGGGGGTGTTTTGTAGTTGTGAAATTCAAAAGTATTGCGTGAGATGAGTAATGGCTATGTTGGTGAATGTGTTTATCATGACCCAAGTTGTCGAGACTCGACATAGTTCAATTCAATAAACGATCCACCTCTTTTATCAGCGGTGTCGACTCTTGATGCTTCTGCAATGCGTCTCTTGTCATTGATACCTCGTTGCCCATCGTGATCGTTGCCTGCACAGTCATCTACCACTCTTTTAGAAAACTCGTATCGCTGGAGCTCTCTTACTTTCTAAGCAGTCTTCTACATCGACTTGCCACTTTTGATCCATCGTGTTTGTAACACATGCTTGTAACCCCTTGAGCAACAACTTTGAGTGGGAGACACTTTGAACATTAGCACCTTACCGCCACTCCCACTGATCCTGCTTCATCGGATTGGGACTGGCATCCTTGTGTACTGGGTATATAACTATTCTGGATTCTTTTGCAACCAAATTCAAGGAGAACAACTTATCTCTAAACATTTGACACCTTTCAAACCAGCCGATACACTGGTTTGATGTTATCTCTTGAGGTTATCTCTTACTGAATGCACGTTAGTGACATCTAGAGATAAAGCCAACCGAAACGTGTTCTTGTGATTAGATTCTACTAAAACACCGAGGAATAAAAACTTTACATCACATTGTGTGCAATTGTATTCCACGGAAAAATTAATTCCATGTGTAGCAGAAGCAAACATTTGATTGGTTCTCGGTAAAATTTTTATCAAATATTCTTCTTTTTTTTTTTTTCTTTTCTGTTAATAGGAGGAAAAAAAAAAAGAGTCATGAGTCAATTCCAAATTTGTGGGGGTACCCGTTTTTTGGCACAAAAGTAGTACTTCAGCACGAGAGGCAGCCGGGTAGTTGTGCCGTGTTTAAGATCACATTCCATAAAGTATCCACCAGAATCAAAGCCACTGTCCTTTTAAGGTAAGTGGTCGACTGATGTATTAGATAGAAAAGAACAAAAGAAAAAAAGTCTGTTGCGTCTAATGCGACGTGTGCTCTATTGTCGACCCGGAGGTACGGATGTTGAACGACCAAATTGCAGACACTTCTGGTGCGTGAGAGAAGGTAGTGTCTGGTGCTTCAATACAATTGTGTTTTTTTTTACTTCCCCAGACTAATGCGAGTATTACACAAAACAAATTGGACAAATTTTTCACACTATTCAACAAACAGAGTTATTATTGAACCATTTGACCCCGGGTAAATAACAGCATCACTTAATGTATATATATATGTATATATATGTATAATACATTGGATTTCAAATAAAAATTTACTGGAAGAAAAAAAAATATCAATTTCGATTTCACCCTCAATTACACCTTCTTTTCTTTCCTTCTTCAAGCAAGCAACGTAGAGAAAGAGAGAGACAGACAGAGGACTTTGATCTTTTGATTCTAACAACATATTCCATTTTATTTATTTCAAATCAACGATTTTACAAGCAAAACCTTCACATTCATTCATACATCACATATTAATCATATACAATGGCTGCATCTACTGAAGTAAAAAAACAAACCAAGAGAGGAGCAACTGACTTTGTTGCTGGTGGTGTTGCCGGTTTATTCGAGGCTTTGTGTTGCCACCCATTGGACACCATCAAAGTTAGAATGCAATTGTACAGAAAATCAGGTCAAAAACCACCTGGGTTCGTCAAGACTGGTATCAACATTGTCCAAAAGGAAGGGTTCCTTTCGCTATACAAAGGGTTGGGAGCCGTTGTTATAGGTATTGTCCCTAAAATGGCCATTAGATTCTCGTCGTATGAGTTTTACCGTTCCTTCTTTTACGACAAGGATGGTAAAATTACTGCAGGTCAAACATTTATTGCTGGTGTGGGTGCAGGTATAACTGAATCCGTTATGGTGGTTAATCCTATGGAAGTTGTTAAAATCAGATTACAAGCTCAACACCACTCCATGAAGGATCCTCTTGATATTCCAAAGTACAGAAATGCTCCTCATGCTGCTTATGTCATTGTCAAAGAAGAAGGTTTCAAGACCTTGTATCGTGGTGTGTCATTGACCTGTGCTAGACAAGCTACTAACCAAGGTGTCAATTTCACGGTTTACTCCAAATTGAAGGAATACTTGCAAAAGAAACAAAACACTGAAATGTTGCCATCATGGCAAACTTCCGGAATTGGTTTGATTTCAGGTGCTTTGGGTCCATTGTCCAATGCTCCTTTGGACACTATCAAGACCAGATTGCAAAAGTCAAGTTATGCTAGCAACGAAAAAGGATGGGTTAGAATCGTCAAGATTGGTAAGCAATTGGTCAAGGAAGAAGGTACCGCTGCTTTGTATAAAGGTATCACTCCAAGAATCATGAGAGTTGCTCCAGGTCAAGCTGTTACTTTTACAGTTTACGAATTTGTCAAGGAATTGTTGACCAAAGATTCAGTCTCGTTGACTGGAAACAACGAACAAAAGAAGTTGAAGTAGGACGAAGACGCATTTAAGATAGAGAGTTTGTATATTATAAAAACAGAAAAACTGAATAAATCATGTACATTTTTATCTCATCGGTGTAGTTGGCACATGAGACCACCTTCTTTGCTGACTATCGAGGCACCGATTTGATCAACGATGAAATTTTTCAGATGCATCCGGTTTCCCGAGATTCAATCGCGCACAAAAAGAAAACTGAATTTGCACAACGGACCCGATCTCGGGATAGAAACCTCTTCCAGCTTCTCACCGGTCCATAGAGTACGGGTCAAGCCTGCTCACACATGTACGACCGGTAACTATCTAGATCTGAGGGTATGATAGAAATGTGGCGTAGTACCGAACAAGACGTCGCCGTGAAGGGTTTGCATGTACCCCAGATTTCGAAACTAAAGACCCTCTTATTGGCCATTATACACTACACATTAAAACTGAACTATCTAACTCGGCTTCAGCTTCGGCTTCGGCTTCTCTAGCATTACAAACACTCACCTTGAGAATACGCTTCCACACTTAGAAAGCTTCACCCTTTGCTCTGTGAATGGAAAAGATGTGCGACTGCACAGCATCACCTCTAGCAAAAGTCTTTCCACAATATTTACAACTAAATGGTTTTTCTCCAGTATGGATTCTAACATGAGTTGTCAATCTATACCTCTGGTTGAAAGAGGCACCACAGTGTTCACAAACATACGGACGTTCACCTGTATGGATTCGAATATGTCTGGTCAAATCAGACACTTTAGCAAATGCCTTGTGACACCCTTCGTATGTACACTGATGTGTCTTGATTTGTTGTGTAGCGGGATCGCGTTTCCTTCTTGGGCGCGGCTGTGCAGTCGTTGTTGCTGCAGTTGAGGTACTAGCTGTGGATGGCTGATGATGCGGATGTACATGCGCATGCGCATGAGCGTTGGCGGTTGCGGCAGCTAACACGGCAGCTTGTGCTGCTCCATTGGGGTCATTAGGATCAAATACTGGTGTGTGAGCGTCATGGTGTTCTTCTTGATGATGTGGTGATACTCTTCCATGATGCTCTGTGTTGATATGGTCCATTAACTTCTCGTACGAAATGAAACCTTTACCGCATTTGAATGCGTTGCAGTGATGAACACGAACCTCCTTTAAATCAAGAGGCTGTTTCGAATTGTCTGCATCGGCAAAGACGTTGACATTATCATCCACTACATGAGAGTCAAACTGTTGTTGTTGATGTTGGGCCAAATGTTGCTGCAACTGCTTTTGCTGTTGACGAGCATGTTGTTGGGCTAGTTCGTGCTGCTGCTGCTGCTGCTGCTGCTGATGCAACAAATGCCTATGGTCAGCATCGTCTGGTAGACCCAAATTGTTGCCAGAAGTTGACGCATTCTCTGCTTGAGCAGCGGCAGTAGCGGCGGCGGCGGCAGCAGCAGCAGCGTCTTTCAAAGCTTCATCAACAACTAAATCATGATGAACGTGTGTTTCATGAATAGTTAAATTAGTTTTTTGACTGAACCGTTTACCACAAGTGCTGCATTCGAATTTTTTAGGTTGGCTATGGGTTCTTCTGTGATTTCTTTTATCAATGACGTTTTTAAATTTTTGGTCGCAAATTTCACAATTTAAGGAATTTGGATCATCAATATCCTTGAAAATTGTTCTCGTTTGAGGACGCACATCTCCTGAGTTAGAATCCAACTCTGACTCAGTTTTGACTTTCTTATTAGAACCGCTGTTGGCTCTTCCACGTTTGCCTGATGAGTTGTACTCATTGTGACCTGCATCGTCATATTCCTCGTCGTCGTCGTCGTCGTCGTCTTCTTCTTCTTCTTCGCCAGGGACGGGGGCAAAATCGTCGTCTTTACCACTGTCGTCCTCATCGTCTACATCATCGCCTCCTTCGTGATGTTGGTGTTCTTCGTCGTATTCTAATTTGATTTTGGTAGCATCGTCGCCATGATTGGTAGTTGCGGCTTGAGTATTTGCATCTTGTTGTAAATGCTTATTGAGCTCATCATCAATTTGCTGATTGATGGCGTCCTCGTCAGCATTGTCAGTTTCTCTTATCTTTTCCCTTAAGGAAGCTCTTAATTCACGTCTTTTGGAAGCTAATGTCATGATGGTTTATTTAGAGTTGTACTTTCGCAAACTAATTTAATGGTAGTTCTACTGAAATGGTAGTTGTGGGTTTTTGGGAATTGTTGTGAGTTTGCATTTTTGGGAGATAGAGAGAGAAAAAGAAAGAGAAGAGGAAGAAAAAAAGGAAGAAAAAGCGACGCTACCGACTATTAAGTGTCACCACTAGCATGTTTACGACATACAAAAAGTAGACAATGAAATCATCTATAAGAACCTACTTCAGCAACAATCAGAAAAGTATACTATTTGCAAACGCAACTCCTTTTCTTTTGAAACTACAATAGGGCCACCCATTTCACCTCATTATCATTAATATGAACAAACTAAAGTCAGCAGGATACTTCACTTGGCAATTGCGTGCGCAATGGCACTCCATTTCGCATCTTCATACGTCCACCAGATTACAACTACCTCGATTTTCCTTTAACAGAACAAGTCCAAGCAATCGCACTAGAGTTACCACCGAGATTACTCCTGAGGAAGTTCAAAAATTCAGAGAGGCTCAACAGCGTGCCAAAGAGAGAGGTTCGTTCGACCAGAGTTCCTCGCCCTATACTGCCAACGATGAATTTCCTTCTTATCAGTCACAATTTTACATCCCCAATAACACCAATGGGATTATAACTCCTCAAGATCCCATCTACGATATACTCTCGGAACCCACTTTGGTCATTGAAAGACAAATTGAGTTTATGAATTTGTTTATTGGGTTTGAACAAGCCAATAATTATACCATTATGAACTCTAGTGGACAACCAATTGGATTCATGAGGGAAAAGGATATTGGATTTGGCCGTACTTTGGGTCGTCAATTTTTCCGGTTGCATCGTCCTTTTGATATTGATGTTTTCAATATGCAAGGAGAACTAGCCTTGAGTATTAAGCGTCCCTTTTCATTCATAAATTCTCATATCAAGGCGTTGTTGCCTGGGTATGATCACAACAATGAGATGATTTACGAAGTGATTGGGGAAAGTGTACAAAGATGGCATTTGTGGAGACGGAAGTATAATTTGTTTAAATTAGAGGACGAAAAGACGGATGATTATGAACAGTTTGGAGATGTTGATGCTCCCTTTTTATCATTTGATTTTCCTATAAAGAATGAAGACGGTAAAGTCATTGCAAGTGTGGATAGAAATTGGGTCGGATTAGGTAGAGAAATGTTTACAGATACCGGGGTGTATATATTGAGATTCGACCCTCAAAGTTTCCAAGGTATGGAGAGCTATTATGGAGATATCAGCTCGAGTGGAGTTACAATGGATCAAAGAGCAGTCATTTTGTCATGCTTCACTAGTATTGACTTTGATTATTTTTCTCGACACAGTAGCGGACATGGTTTGTTTTCATTTGGAGGTGGTTACGATGAAGTATAGACATGCATAGACAAATCTAGTTTCTCTTTATTGATGCAGCAATCAACTCTTGCGTTTTATTCCTGCCCTTTTGTAGCAACGCTTCCCATTCATCATCCGACTTTTCTTTACTGATGTTCTTCAATAATTGCACAATCAACCCGGTATAGTCATGTTTTCTCAATTCATTCTCTCGTTGCCATAGCTCTCTTTTATCTAGCTGAGTTGCAATCTCAAGCTCATCACCTGCAGCTCGTGCTTGCTCTAACTTGTTGTTTGTTATTGCTAATAAGGAAAACCTTAGTTCACTCGCGTCGTATGCATTGATTCGTTCTTGTATAATTGATGGTAATTTCTCAACAAACTCCTCTTGACCCTTACATTCGCCATGAATTATAGGGTATTGCTTCAATCCATCCAACTCGTATACTTGACCATTTTTCAACACGTATCCAACAAAATGAAACAATCCATCGTCCTTGTCGTCATAATCCTGTGGAGGGGGTTTGTCATCCTGGGCAATCAACGATGGTGTCAGGAATGAATTATGTATGGCTCGAATGAGCTCACTATTGGATAAAGTCTCCCCAATCATCTCCGAATCAAACCCAGCGACAAACAGCTTGAAATTGCCAAGTTCATCTCCCAAGTTGACATTATCAACGTTAAACAACACGTTGAGCACTGCTTGTGTGGCGCACGCGTTTTGAATCACTTGGTTGGCAAAAAAGACGCCACGATCTTGATAATTGGAATCGTATTCCCCAGTTATTGGTTTGTTTAAAGTTGCATGCTCTCTGTCCTTTCTACCATACTTGAACAAAAAGATGACACCGTAGATTGGTTGCAATGCTCGTAACGTGTCAGAATCAATCGAGTATAAATCATTGATTTCAACATTTGCTACACCTAGTTTTTCAACAAGTTCAGTGAACACGCCCTAGATGAGTTAGTAAATAATCCAAGTGGCACCACTTGTGAGTTAACATACTGCATCAGAATCTATAGTGTTCCAACCACTGTCAGACATCTCTATTGTGCTGGTGGTAGAAATGTAGTCGTTAGTAGTCTGAGAGAAAAAAAAAAAGAAGAAAAAAAAAATTCCAACAATTGATTCCAGCAACGCTTGATATAACATCTGTACCACTTCATTAATCCCACGCACACGGCATCTGCACAAACATTGAGTATGAGCAATAGAGTAGCCGCGTATAACGAAGCAGTCCAAGCATTTCAAGCGGGAACTCCAGTTGTCAATTCAGCTATAACCACTACAACCACAGTTTTCACATTGTTCTTATTGCTCCTATCATTTGGTTCTTTATCATTCACATTACTTGGAGATATCAAAAAGAAGAGCTTGTTGAGTTATTTGATTAGTGCCATTGTTGCTTCATTGAGCGTCGGTTTCAGTGCTGTGTACGTGATGAACTACGTGGGTGTATACATTTGAGTCAATTTTTATAAAAGAATATACACAGGTTGTATCTTATCTCAAACTCCTCTAATTACGATACTTGTCTAATATTACTCCGAATTCCCCTCCTTCCCCCGGGAAGGATGTTTCGAGTATCCAGTTGTCACCTCTCATTTCCTGTGTCTCACCATTCCCGATCAACGGCGTATCGCGCTGATTTAAAATTCAAAAATATTTTTGCAACACGTCAACCACTTTTGCCTCGCTTCCCTATCGCTGGCAATGTACATATCATACCTACTATCGTTCCTTCAAGTGCTTCTTCTAGTCTCTGCAAGGGCACAAGCAGATGAATATGCAAATGATCCAAACATATTCGAATTGACGTCATCTAATTTTGATAAAGTGATACATGGCTCAAATTACACATCAATCGTCAAATTTTATGCACCTTGGTGCGGGTATTGCCAACAATTGAAACCAGTCTGGAAAAAATTGGGCAAAGCCATTGGTGGAGGCTCGAAACTTAGTGTCAATGTGGCAGCAGTCAACTGTGATAAAGATTATAACAAGCCCCTTTGTGCTCAATATCAAATCAGTGGATTCCCAACTGTCATGGTATTTAGACCACCCAAATATGACAAGTCCAAGGCAGTTGGAGGTAGAAAACTGAGACACGCTAGTGAAGCATATAGCGGACCACGCACAGTTAAAGCTATGCTGCAGTTTTTAAGCTCGAGGTTGAAAAATTATGTTAAGAAGTTGCATAATTTGGATAAAGATTTGGTCAATTGGGTTAATAACGACACCGACAAGGCGAAAGTTCTACTTATTGCAAAGTCGAATCTGATTAGTCCGTTGTTGAAGTCTTTGGCGATTGATTTTATAACCAAAGTTGACTTTGCAATGTACGGAAAGTACAATGACCAACCAAAGACTATTGAAATTGACGGCAAGCTGGTGGATGTGCCTAAGACTGAGTTCTCAACCTTGCTCTATTTAGATAGAGACAGTGGAAAGTTATTACCCTACGATGCGACTGAGAAACTAGACGACAAAACTAAGATATCAAAGTGGGTCAAAGCCGTTACTCAAGTCGACCCCGTCGAAGGACCATTATCTAATCGTGGAAAACGGCTTCTCAAATACAAGAGTAAAAAAAAAGTCGAGCATGATGAATTGTAAGTAGATGTCTATTAAGCTTTGCCAATGTTGTCCATCATCTCTAATAACAAGTCTATATCTTCAACCTTTTTCTCATCCTTTTCAACATCCTTAAGTTTGTTTTCACTTTGAATCCAGTTGACAACTTGATCTATATATAATTTCGAATTGGGCACAAAATGCCCACCAGGATGTTTCAATAGATCAGACTTGTTCTTGGTGATGTTGTACAATGACAAACTTCGATCTTCAGCAACGACCGTGTCCAATTCTCCATAAACATGCAAATATCTCAATGAATCCAGGTTCGACTCGTAATAGCTATCGTATTTGTCGTTTCCAGACTTCTTACTGGTGTCCAATTTGAATCCAGAATACAAAATGACAAATTTCAATGGCAGAGTGTCAAATAGCTGAGCAAATTTTTCAGCCACAAGACCAGCAAATGCTGCTCCTTGAGAAAATCCAACCAACCCAACAATAGGTAACTTTGCATCGTCTTCGTCTTCTTTACCCACTTCTCTATCATCATCATCTGGAATTATCGTTCCCTCGTGAATATATCTCTTCAAAGATTTGATTGAGTCGTCCAAATTGATCCCATCGTTGGTTTTGCCCAACTTCACCCACCAGCCGCGATATGTCACATCATTCTGTTCAGACGAGCCAAATTTCGATAATGAGTCTGTTGTGGGCAAGTCTGCGGGGGTCAATATATATGGTGCATTCAAATATTGACATTTATAACCTAGTTTGGAGATCTTTTTCCGCAATGCTGAAGTCTTGGCATAAAAGAGGGAGGCGTTTTGAGTGTAGCCGTGAAGGAATAGTATCTTTCCTTTGTATGTTTGTTGTTTGCTTGTTGTCATGGGAGGAAAAGTGGAGCTAGTGGTGAGTTATCAATAGAGCTGGGCTACAGAATTGTGGCTTCATCAAATAAAATTTCAGATGCGAAATCCTTGGCGGAGTTGTCTTACAACACAGAACAAACATCAAAGTAATACACTTACACACTAGCTACACAAATTCTCCCCACACTCAAGCGGTCTTTTCAGTTGCAGTGGATCCTGGGATATTGCTGGTAGTTCCAGATCCAACAACTGTTTGCTTTTCTTTTTCTTTCTCTTCCTTTTTGATCTTGGCCAATCTCACTGCCTCCTCATGAACATCCTTAACATCACCAGCGAGACTTTGATAATACTTGTGGATCCTCTTTCCCAAAGGTGAGTTCACGGCACTGTCAAAGTACTTTTGCAATCCGGAACTAGCAAATGTGTTTTGTGCCCTCTGCAATTGCTGATTCACAGTAGATTCTGGATCCTGCGAGTGCACGTACTTTTTATCCAATGACGTAATGAAGGATTGAAATCTCTCTGAAACCCCATTCTTCTTGTCAAACTCTAATCCACGTTCAATAATTGGATCCGACAAAACGTATCCATCCGCCAACAATTGCGCCAAGATTGCATACTTTGGTTTCTCCTCTTGCTCAACGTCGTCGTATGTCTTGTCACCAGTCTTGATTGAGTCGTTCTCAGCACCACCTCCAGTGGCAGCTCCACCAGCACCTACAGCACCGCTCAATGTGTCCTTGATGTCCCCTTGTTGCGGAGCCAAGGGCTTGGCTCCATCGGTGATTTCCAAATCCTCCTCGACTTTGATGAACGAGTTTTCCAATTCAGCGTCATTCAACAACAATGCAGTTGAGACGGCTTTTGGTGAAGCAAACACAACTTGGTACTTTTTAGTCTTGCCATTGTCCTCAAGCGGCACCAAGTCGGAGACTTTTCCGCAAAAGGAGAAAAACTCCGACACTTTTGCAGGTGCAACGTGGGAAGGAATGTTGGAAGCTATAACAGACATTGCAGAAATTGAAGTTGAAATTGAAATTGAAATTGAAATTAAGTTGTGATAATGTGCCAATTGAGGAAAAGGTTGATTGTGTTTCCAAAAAAAAAGGAGCAATTAGGTCTCCTATTTATGTAGATAATGACGCCTCGATTGTATGTGCGGCGTGGCTACTTATTGGGTTTTGTGTAATGAAACAGTGTCACAGGCAATTGTAGGTTGCTATACAACTTGCGCCACAAGCTCCAAATAGGTACTTTCCTGCAAAATAGAATTGTATCGCAACTTACTTAAAGATTTGATCTTCTTGTATTGATTGATAAAGACAAACTTTACTACGTAATGACAAAACTCAGGTTTTAATTACGGCTCGTCCTGAATTTCTCGTACCAATTTGTGCCACTTTCAACGCTTCGTTACGAATCTCCCTGACATCAGCATGATCAACACTCTTGTAAAAAGGGCTAACCTTAGAGTCGACAGACTGAGGAGTCGTACCCATAGCAACACTAGAATCATCAAAGTATTTCTTTAGCTGCTCACTTTCATAAGCTTTTTTCATATCACCTTTCAAACAGTAGTTGTTAAGAGAATCAATAAATGCTTGGTATTTTGGAGAAATTCCATACCTCTTGTCGAACCTAACTCCGCGGTCTATAATAGCATCAGCAATGTCATACCCTCCTGCAATTATTTCAGCGAGTACAACTGATTTTGGTTTGTATTCTTGACCAATATCAGCAGTAGGGACAGAATCCCAACTCGAGTCACTAGTATCCAGACCAAACACTCGCCCATGAGCAAAGTCCAAAGTGAATGCAATGTCTTCTTTACGTAATTGTTGTAATGTCGGCCGTCCATTGTGATGACTGGCGAACCCATTCATTTCCAAGGGCCGTTCCTGGAACTTATCAACTCGGAGGAAGTAACCATGCTCTATCTCCACATCATCTAGCAAAAGAGCAGTGGGAACAGCTTGTGGCGACATGTAAATGATTTCGTACTGACGTAGATTCTGTATTGTATCCCGTTTCATTGGAACAATAGCTGAGATGGTTCCAGCATATTGAAACAATCGTCTGAGTTGAGCAGTTGTGATGTGGCCAGGAACTTCTGATACAGTAATTGATGACATTATTTGACCCAAGTGTAGACAAGTATGTAATAAGTGGCTTGATTTTGATGAAGTGAGACTTAATCCATGTTTATATAATTGCTAGATGTGGAAGGGGTAGTTACTCGTAAGGTTATAACGTTTCAAGTGTCTTGCGTTATGCCCGATCCGCGTTGCATTCCTTTATTATTTTTCTATTGTGGCACGTTTCCACAATTTCCGAGATAGGACCATCTGCGAATACTTCATAGGTCCTAATTGGATAAATTAGGTCCAGTTATGGTAATCTAGTATGTATTAGCATTTTAAAAATAGAAAAATGATTACCTAGTTCTCTAGTCACTAGGTAAATATTAGGATTGTGAATTTTTACAATGTATAAAAGCACAAAAAGAGGTCAAACTCGGTCTTGCAGCTAATAATATGATGCGCCAGCGTCCACAGATCTGAAATAGCTCAAACTTTTAGCACCGCTTTGATCAAAACTCGTTTGCAGTCAAGCTTTTAGAATGACAAGTCAATTCCGAAGTTCGCAAATCCCTCTTGGTTATATGCACTCCCAAACATAAAAATGCTGGCAACGGCTGAAAGAGAATATGAACAAGGATAGGGTGCTATTGTTGAATAAAATACGTTCATATCTTCCTATTTCTTCGATTTAGTAATGATGGCGTTACCGGCAAGAATGAGTACTTGAATAATTTGTGGGATCATTTGAATTGGGATGTGATCAATAAGAGATTGTTCCAGGTGTAGGTAGGGGGGGAAAGCCATGTACATAGAAAAAGCTTACTAATAGATGTTTTCTGAATGCGTATCTAAACCAGGAAGCAGTAAGGGATGCGGAGTCTGTGTAAGTAGTGTTATGTGCTGTATTTGATTTTAAAGTGCCTTTTCTAGCAGAATTGCCGCAGAATTGCCGCAAAACACTTTTTTTCACAGTATGAGGTGTTTTGGCTGCGAGATATTTGCTGAGACATTAATGCTTAATCAGAATGCTTGTCGCTAGTTGTAATTGAAAGATTTGTGCCTTCTTCAGTAGCATATCATATCTTGACTTAGTGTGCTTGGTCATACTTCCTGCATGTAGAGAGTTTAGTTTCCTCATCAGGAAATCGCCGTACACTGTTGTAAAACACACACACACGCACACCACACAAGGATAAATTTTTCATCCACACGCTATAAATGCCAGTGAACATTCCCTCTTATAGTAAGTGTCATATCAGCTACTACAACTCGATTGAACATCAGGAACACACCAAAACCAACACGAGCATAATCATACCCCATAATGTCTTCCAACAACGATCAAACAACGTCAAGCTGTAGCTGCGGTACTTCATGTACTTGTGCTAAAGAACAAGGTGGTTGCAAATGCAGCAGTTGCTCAAAGTGAGTCGAAATGGGACTTTGAGCCGTATATTGGTAACCCATAGGTGTATAGCTAGCTCAAATACATAATTTGTTTCATGACAAAGGTGTATACTTCGTAGGTCTTCACGAATTGAATGCACTAGCTTGCTGCCAACAACCTATTTCCAAGAAACGTCTCATACAGCGGGACTTTTAATCGCGAGCTTGAAACTCTTAGGCCATCCACATTGTTTCAAACCCAACTGCGTGGATCATTCCAATTGGTCATGTGATCGTTTGATTTTTCTCTGCGGCGGGGTGGGGGCGGGAGTTGAAGCGGACATTTGGGTCGGAGTTTTTTTTTTTCTAACAGCAACGGTGCATTAAGGGAGAGTTTCACTTTATGAATCCAACGCAATGTCTCCTGAGAGGAAAACATCTCTACAGTCAGTGAAGTTCTCAATTCGCAAATGTGCTTATATTAATAAAGTAAGCATACATAATCACTAAATCCAGCTGGGGCGTGTAGTCAACCATTCAGCAAAAGACATCTCAATTACTTTGGTTGGCAGGTACACTTGTCAGTGCTTTCACATTTGCAAGTGTTTTCGCAGGAGCAGCTATTGGAGCAGCAGGAACAAGAAGCTTTTGAACTCATTATTGGTGTTGAATTGATAGAATGGAGTGTGATGTAGAGGAAAGAAAGAGAAACAAGAGTTTCAATTCCAATTTGAAAGGCAATTTGTCCCCCTATTTATATTCTTCTTATCTGATCATGGAAAGCTTCTAGACAGAAATATATTGGCTGATTGCTGATTGCTGATTGCTGAATGCAGTAAACTTTCTGGGGAGTAAGCTTTTGTGTATAGTCAGTTGATTATATTTTTAGTCGCAGTGCACACACACGCACACACACACACACACACACACACACACACACACACACATACATACATCCATCTACGTATACAAAATTGGGTGCCAAAAAAGCAGTGACACCCATGGAATCCCACGGAGAAGTGGGTTACATCCAAGACCAGAAAAAAAATTTTTAAAATGGATGACCAGTCTCAGAAAGCCTAATTACTTTGAGATTGCCACGCTGCTAAGAACTTACCCGCGGATACGCAACACCCTAAGATCGAAAGGTCAAGAGACATGAGATTTTGTGGTAAATGACAGCATGTAATCTAAAAAGAGCTGGCTCAAGCCTCTATGGATATATCATTGCAAAAGCACCAGCAGGTTTGCCTCCCACACACATGGTCAATCACTGTAACCGCAGCTGCAATAGTCAACCTACGTTTTGGCCAACTCGAGTTCACAAATCTGGGTCAACTTCTCTTTTTCAGCACCGTCTTCCAAATCCTTTACTGATGCGTACAACCCTTCCCAAGCGGAACGGTTTCCTGCGTATATTTCAAGCAGTCTCAAGTACTCCTTCACACTTGATTGTAGAAGCTCGTTCTTATCCTTATGGGCCTGGGCTTCAAGTGACAACTGGTGATAATGCAGACCTATCTTGTCGTATAAGGTGTAAGCATCTGGCTGATTCAAAAGCACTCTCTTGAGACAATGAATGGCCTTCTTGTATTCCTTCAATTTGGCATATTCATCTGCCAACTCGCACCATGCAACAACATCACTGGGAGCAAGATTCAAATAGTAGATAAGGTTATTGATGTACTTAACACCGTCGTGTCTGGACAACGTGGTGAGTCTCCTCGACAAAAGTAGCTCATCTGGGTCCTCACTCAATACTTTTCCCGCACTTTCCAAGTCTCCAGTAGCTTCAAAGTAGATTGATTTGAGTAGCTTGATGCGCTGCGACGAGACCTTGTCACCGAATTGGTCATTCAATCTTTCAAGCACTGCCTTTGCTTCAATGTCATGACCTGTGATTAGAGACAAGTAGAAGTCTAGCTCAAAAAGCTGAAACAATTCAATGGAATCTAATTTGTCTTGGTGGTTTAGGAGATACGACCTGAGTTGTTTTGTGTGGTAATTTGTCTCTTCGGGAGTGAAAGTGGCAAACCTGCCTGTTGTGGCAACATTGAGAAGTTTTCTTTTGACGAGCGCCTGGTCAATGGACATGTTGGTGTGTGTATGGGGGGTGCAAAGATTGTACTAAAGTGGGTGGTGAAGTTGTTTTGTTGAGGAAATTGTTTTGGTAGCATTCTTTGCTTCCTCACACCAGGCCCAATGTCAGACGAGTTGGGTAAAATTTGCGACGACTTTCTCGAAGCAACTTCGATACTATCTCATGAACACGGCATTCCCAGGGTTCAGAAGCAAGAAGATTTCACGTCATGGAGTCGCATACATAATTGGGAGAAACGGTACTACACTGCTTACCAGGAACTCACCCACAAACTCAACCGGCTAATGTACTTGACCAAGTTGAAAGAGCTTGCCAATGTTGACAACCCGTCTCAGGAAGTTGCAAAGATCAAAGGGGAAATGGATATTGATGACTTGGATGAGCTATTGCAGTTTCTTCGACTACAAAACGACGTGATCAAGACTGATACCTTGCTAAATCGGTTTTTGCTCATGTCTTCCCCAGTGCTCAAGGCCATTCATCATGCCAATTTGAATACCTCTGAGACGAAAATCACAGATCGTTTGGGCGTGTTGTACAATGAGAATGGTCTTGCATTCAGAGTACAAGAACTTGAGAACAAGAAGCGTTGTGAAGAACGCCAAGAGGAGAACCCGTTTGACATTATCTACACCGAGATAAAGCCCCTAATGGAGAAGATTGAGCAACTGGAACTACAGTTTAAAGAGCTCCAGATAAAGTACGTTTCTCAAAAGAAAGCACAGGTGGAAGAAAATGAGGGTGCGCGTAAACGGTACCAAGAACTTGTGGAACGCTGGCATAAGCTAGATCAACTAAGCCTACTTTTGATCCTTTTGATTACAAGCTTGCCTTACGTGTGGCTGAATGATGAACTGTTGATGACCATGATGCTAGAATTGAATGGTATAAGAGACAAGTTGATGAAGTATCAGTCGGTGGTTAATAAAGACGACATAAAAGACTTTTCAACACAAGAGTTATTGACATTAGAGTTTGATTGATTAAATTACTGGACTCTGTCCATTATTATTCATCTTTCAATAAGTTAAACACTTTTATTCCAATAGAGTTGGGAAGTTGTTTGTGTCCACTTTCAGAGAAGCTCCTGGGGAATTTTACAAGACAACATAACTCTGCCAGTTACGCAAAAGTCTTGAGATCACTCAACTTTTACGAGGTTGTTAGACCCAATTGTAATGTTCAAAGAGAATTGAGCAAAGTTAGTCTTGTCCTGAGAGCTGTTTTATATAGAAGCTCATGTAGCTCCAAGTCTAATTGCCTGTTATTGCCTTGACTTATGGCATCCACGTTAGTTTGCATGTTGTTTGCTTATCATATCACGTGTTTTCGGATAAGCACTTGCGATATGAGTCAACTTTGTTTATCAAACGTGACGTGAGATGGAAATAAATTGAAAAAGGTCCAAAGAGCGATACCGGAGGGCAAAAAAAATAAAATAAAACAGGAATGACTTTTGGATTGTCGCTACCGCCTCCTGGTTACGGCGAATTACTGTAGATGACCGACGGAAATTAGAACGCGAGGTGAGTTGTTTGTTTGTGTGTATTCAGTGTGGAGAGGGAGAGAGAGAAAGAGAGAGAGAGAGAAAGGTGTCATGCGTGTAATAGCATAATAGATAAGAAAAGTGTTGACTCATAACTTTTGTTTTATATGCAGTACGTTTATCGCCCATTTCTTTTTTTTTTTTTCCTCTTTTTCTTCTTTTATTACTCATGAGACACACACACACACATACACACACAGTAGAGTAATACGCACACTTTCAAAACTCAAACCACAGTACATAATCAGTCACTCATCATCAACAAATATATAAAAGATAGAAGTTTAGGGTTAATATATATACACACACATATATATATATATATATATATATTACTACTACTGCTGCTTATTTACTTCTTGCCATTCAGACACACGTTCTCACTGTTTCTGCTTACACTCCAATCTCAAACTTCAACAGGCAGAACTGTTCAGAATTTCAAGTATTTTGGCAGCCACAACTACAACAACCACAGTTAACAACACACTTTCACTTTTCCTACTTATTTACACCTTACGTTACACATATACCACAGCTCAGATGTACCCACAATACCTTCACTAAGTCACTTTCCACTGCCTTTATCAGATCAAGTTATTTTATTTTTTTTTATTATATTCAGTTGTGTTGATATCGATCTAAGGTTCGTTACTCATACGATTTTACGTCATTTATTTTAACAACGAAGCAACGAAATTTTAAGCTCATAACGTTATTGAGTCGGTTACTATTTAAAAGGTAACTTATAATTTATCAGCTTTTTTATATCATCAGGAGTCATCATTTTGCAAGGGTTTTTTGCAATTCATTTTTTATTTTTTATTCATTTTTATTACAAGATTGCCTTTTTCTTATTACTTACAGGCGTTTAAATTATCAGGTTTTACAGGGGGTTGAAAATACAATCAAGGGGTCTTGCTTGCTTTTCATTATTATTTCATTTCAAACTAGTTTCTATTTTTTTTTTTTTATTTTGATCAACTATGCAATCTCCAATTTCACCATCTTGCAAGAAGGAAGAGCAACTGCAACTGCAAGTGGAAAAAGTTGCTCAAATTTCGCAAAAGACAGAAGGCGCTGACATGTTAACACCACCAAATTCGTCCTCCTCGACTGAAACAGAGTCGACATTGCTTACTAAACCACTTTCCCCAACCGCTTCTGCTCCGAACCATCACGACTACTACTATCAAGCACATTTGAGTAAAGCACAATTCAACTCAATTTTGGTCAATAGTGCCACCAACTTACTCAAAATCTTGTACTCAAAGCAAAAACAACATACTTGCGACACAGTTAAAACCAAGCAATTCATCATTGAGATTCTCAAACGGTCCAAAACATCTATCCAATCGTTACAATTGGCATGTTTTTACATATACAAGTTGATAATCACCACCAAGAACTCACAGTTACCCATCAAATGCCAGCATTTGTTTCTTGGATTGGTCATTATCGCTTCCAAGTTTAATCAAGATTACAACTACTCATTCAAATCGTGGTGTAAGATCATTGGATTGGATGAAGATGCTAAACATATCCAACACTTGCGCAGTGTTGAAATTCAAATACTTGGGTTATTAAACTATGAATTGGGGTTGATGGGCGACAAGTATGAAAATTGGTGTAATATTTTGTTCATTTTTGGCTATGATTTCATAAAGTACCAAATTATCAAACAAAGTTCTACAATGAGGGACGATATTTTGTCCAATGACTTGATTTGGGATTTGGATATGGTGTCATATACCGACAAATTGTCGAAATGGTGGCAATTTTTCAACGATTTGAACATCGATAATTTGAAATTTGTCAAGATTAGATTTGAAACTTACTTTTCACAACAATTGAATCAAAAGGTGTTTATTGTTCAACAAGAAGCTGGTAGAAAGAGATGCAGAGACGATGTAACTGTAACCTTGTTTGATCATATCAAGAAGATCAAGGTTTAAACAAAGAGAACTCAAAAACACAAAACACAAAACACAAAACAAAAAACAAAAAAATAAAAAACAAAAAACAAAAAACAAAAAACAAAAACGTATACAGCTTGTCTATATACAGTATGTACAAAGATTATATCAAGTAGAAACACCCATCAGTACCCCATTTACCTCTCGCATTCACTGGCATGAACCCGTCTCCTTGCGAATTCGCATTTTGTTGTTGCTGCTGCTCTACTCCATTCAAGTAGTTTGTAGATTTACCTATGGTGTACCCCCTCACCAATAAATTCCCTACTCCATCACCACTCAAGTTGTTCACCTTCATTTCGAGTGATTGGGGCATCGCCCCAAATTGGCGAGTATACGTACGATATTCATAGTAGTCAGTGGTTAGTAAAGGGCCCATGATGTTGTAAGTGTAGTATTCGCGGATGACGTGGGAGTTTGTGAGTATACGCAAGTGGTTGAGTTGTGATGACGTTAGTCTGGGGTGGGAAATGGAAGAATGGACATAGGCTAGTTTTGTCAGTGAAAAGATCCCCATTTTGAGAAATTGCAATTTGATGTTTTGTATCCATGATAAGTCAGTCAATAATGTTTTCGATTCGGGAAGGCACGTTATTTCAGTGTTGAACCTGGGTGTTTCATCAATGTGCACCTCCATTTGGCATACAAATGCCATCAACAACTTGACAATGGTGTTTGATACACCAGCAAAATCGGAAGATGGTACAATTGTCATTGATTTACCCGTGGCGTTGTACTCCGCTGGCAAATGCTTGATTGAAGATGCAACAGCGCTAATTAGATTCAATTGCGTGAATTTGACAACGACGTCAATTCCCAACTTCACCACTTTGTGAAACTCGATGGCTATTCCCTTATCTTTCTCCACTGAATACACATTGTTAAAGTCGTGTGATTGCTGTGGTGGGGGGAGTTTGATCTCGGAGATGAGTGTACCGGTTTCGGGCTTTAATTTGGCATCGTAAAATTGTAGCGGGACTTGCTTAATGAGACAGATCAAAACCACAATTACCCAGTGTGCATCGACTTGGTGATCCACTGGTATGTTGATTGCATCATATTTGAAATTATCCCACTGCGATATGTAGTAGTTGATGGTTGCAAATTCAACAAACTTACCCCTGATATAGATACCGTTAGCTCTTCCTCCCTCGACTTCTCTATTTCCCTTCTGCTTCCTCATTGCGATCTCCCAGATATCATTGCAGTTCCCCCTGCGTATCTTGTAGTGGTCGTATCGAATGTCAAGGCCAAGACGTAATCCTGTTGGTGATTTGGTTGAATGATATATAGGCGACTCGTTTGGTAGACGTGTTGGGTCAGGGTATGATTGTTGTTGTAAATAAAGATCAGGAACAGTTTTGAGGTAATTGAGTAGTTTCAAAATAGTGTATATAGTTGCTAGTGACACTAGAATTATGGTAACCGCAAACATTGGAGGGGAACTATGGAAGCTGTACAAAGCGTGTCTCTTTTTTTTTTTTTTTTTTTTTCAGTCTCTTCCGTTGGAGTTATAGAGAGAAAAGAGAAAGAGCAAAAGAAACAAGGGTGTGCAATGAATCGCGCGTTCTTTGTTTGTCACTGACGAAACACGAAACACGGAACACGAAACACGGAACACGTTACACGTCACACTAACCAATCCAATGAAGGAGTATCGAGTGTTGTTCTACTTACTCATCTCTTGGGTGATTGTGTTCCTTATAAATGAGAAATATGTACCTTACAAAACAATCCGACAATGCAAATGGCCAAACCTCAACCAAAATAGCAAAGCTGATGCCACCACGCAAACCAACATCTTACTCATTGCCGATCCACAACTAATTGACAATCACACATATCCAGGTCGCAACTCTTATTTGCTTAGTCTATCGCAACACACCGTTGATCAACATTTGAAACGCAACTATGCCCAATTAACCAAACTCAACCCAAACTCAACGATTTTCTTAGGGGATTTACTAGATAATGGACGTGCCTCCACCGACGAGTACTTCAACAAGGAAGTGGCCCGATTCAGATCGATTTTCCCACAAAATAGACAAATGTATACTAACCTTCCCGGAAACCATGATATTGGATTTGGCGATTTGATACGAACTGAAGTACGTGATCGATTTAGTGAAACTTTTGGTAATCCAAATTTGCAAACTAGTATTGCTGGGGTCGAGTTTATTCTTGTTGATACTACCAGTTTATCATCGACTAAGGATCAGATCAACCAAGCTGCGCTTGGGTTCGTTAATGGATTGCCAAAGAAGAGCATGCCGCGGATCTTGTTATCACACGTGCCGCTTTCTCGTCATCCTGATACTAAATGTGGCCCATTAAGAGAAAAGCCAAAGTTTTTGGCCTTGGGACGAGGATACCAGTATCAAAATTCACTCACAAAGGAGATTTCCGATTTTTTGCTTGATAAGATTGAGCCCGATTTGATATTTTCGGGAGATGATCATGATTATTGTGATATTGTACATGATCAAGGGACTAGGGAAATCACGATAAAGTCCATGTCGATGGCGATGGGGATTTACTATCCCGCTGTGCAGTTACTCAGCTATGTCAAACTGCCCGAGGGTTTAAAGTACCAAACCAAGATTTGCTATATGCAGACGCCATATATCAATGTGGTTGTATACATTGTTATGGCGGTTGTGTCAATTGTGGTTATACTACAGCAAAATTTGCGCTTGAAAACGGGCAATAATTCAAGTTGGACGGTTTTGCCGTTGAGTAGACTGAAACGGGAGGAAAAGAGCAAGATGGGTACTGGTGGGTGGAGAAAACAAATGTGTTTGGATGTGGCAAAGGAGATGGCCTTTATGGGAGTAGTGGTGATTTTAGTTTACAAATACTTGATTGTTATATAGTTTATATAGAATGGACTGGGATATTTCATGCGTATGTTAGCTTCTCTTACAACATGGCAATGGCAAGGATTAATCCAATAGGCATCAACAAGCTTGAGATAATCAATTTGTTGCTGGCATTTGATCTATTTGAGGCATCTCCATCTCCACTAAAGCCTGAATTGGTTGAAGAAGAGCCGGTTTCGGAGCCAGTTGCTGATGATAAGGTGCTGTCGGAGCCAGAAGTTGAGCAGATGTAGTTATGGCCCTCAATATCACCATCGTCGTGTAATTGATCAAATTCAGAGCAATCGAAGTCTTCCGAGGTTGAATTCAATTGGAAATCACCTACAACTCTCAGCAAACTGCTCATGGTCAAATTAGAAATGTCTCCACTAATGGCAACTGCACCTTCAACTGTCTGCAACCTTGGAAAAGTATTTGACATGTCATGTAAATCGGAATTGTTGAAGAAACTCAACTCGCCGCCGATTTCTCTCAAGTTTGAAAAATCAAGAGATGCTAATTCATCATGTGCAAACACTTGCAAGCTTGATCCAACATAAGACAAATTGGAGAGGTTCAATGCGTTGAATACGTTATAACTGAATTGCAAAGTGCCATTAACGTTTTGCAAGTCATTAGCGGAAAATGCCCGCACTGATTGAATGGTCAAGTTGGAAGCCCATTGCAACTCATTCAACTCTACCACGGCATCGTCATTGTTGAAACTTAAAATCAATGCATCAGAGACACTTTTCAAATTTGGAAATTGAAGTTGGGTGATGTTTTTGTTATTGTTGATATTCATGTATTGGAGAGTGGTGAATGTAGTCAATACGTTCAAGTTGCTCAACGCAGTATCAGACAAAGTGAATCTACCAACATCCTCAATCTCTTGATTCAACATCAAGTTGGCAAAAGAAGGTAATGAAACCAATTCCAAGTCTCTAGAGTTTTCCAATTGGGACAAATCAATCGTAATCAATTGGGTCATGTTTGTGATTGCCAATTTACCTTCGATACTGGTCAATTGGTTCAAAATGACCGAATTAAGAGATCTGGCGTTTGTGATGGTAACGTCACCAGCAATTTCTTCCAACTGGGGTAAATCAATCGTGGCAAACTCATCACCCGAGATGGTTATATCTCCATCTAAAGTTGAACATGAGGCAACTTGTTGAAGTGCGGTGGCGTTGGTAATGGTGGCGCTTGAGAACGAACAAGTGTTTGAGGTGGATCTTGAGTTGGAGCTGGTGGCAGTGGGGGAGCCAGATCTGGAAGAGGCGCTGGAAGCAGATGCCGATCCAGATGAGGTAGACGATTCATCAGCGGCATATGCGCCAGCGGCTAAAATAGCAAATAAGGTAGCAGAATTGAACTTCATTACGTGACCAAGACTTTTGATTGAGAAAGGAAAGAGTGATTTGAGTTTTCAGTGACGATGGTGCCCGATAATGAGTGGGAGGTGGTTGTATATATGGTTCAAATGTAGATTCGTATTGGTGGGATCTAAAATGAGTCTAACCACTTAAACGAAAGCCAATGGTGGAGAAAAAGAAGGATGGCAAAATAAAAAAGAAAAACAAAAAAACAGAAAACAGAACAAAGGGAATTTTGACTAAGGAAAGTAACGAGGGAACGAGTTGACTCGTGCTTGATATGAATGTGGAATCTGTCGAGTTCCAATATTTTATTTTGTGTTGGATGGTGAAAAGGTGGAAGAAAGGTAAGGAAATTATTTTCTTGGTTGGAGAAAGAAAAGAAAATATCTACCAACATATATATACAACGGCTAAGCACATGATTCCAGTGTGTTCTTCAATTCTCGCTTTTGCCTTTCATTTTACTGCAGAAGTTACTCTAGTTGGATGGTTTGATTACTGTTTGGAGTTAAGTACAGAGGTAAGCAAGCATATGGTTATGCTTTGGGGGTGGGGAAGTGGGAAAAAAAAAAAAAAGAGAGAGAGAGAGAGAGAGATTGTTCTCGTAGTGCGGTGCAGCAGGTTGGAAAATACAAAAGAACGAATTTTGACTTCAATCTTTTTCATTCTCATGCGTCTTGAGTTATTTATGTTTGTATTCCATTGACTTACGGTGGTTAACTGGTTTAGTGTTTTGTTTCAATTTTAAATTTTGCAACTTTATTTTTTTTTTTTTTCTTGAATGTTATTTCTCAAGGCGCAGTTTAATAATTTCTCGTACTTTTGATGTCTTAATGTGGTAGTCGTGATCAGGTGCCATGATTCAAATAATTATTTAAATGCATATTCCTCTAGTAGCCAACGCAAGGTCCAATAGAAAGCCATGATTTTCAAAATACATGCTTTGGGGAAAGATCAAGAAATTTTTGTACCGATGCATGCATTTCAAATGTACAACAATGGATGGGCATAATTGTGCCGGATAACTGATACCCCTTTATTCTTGCCCCCAATGAGCTTGACAAAGCTTGTGACTAAACTTGACATTGTTTTTTAAGTACCGTTTGTGAACGAGAATGTAATCCTCATTTAATTGATTGACTATCTTCCAGGTTTTTAAACCAGGGACCATGTGAGCTCTTGGGGGTTGATTCTTTGTGGGGTGAGATTGTCAATAGCAGAACAATATTTGAAAACGATGGATGTGAGTAATAGACGCGGGAAAATCATCAATTTTACTCGACCATTACAAACTGGAACGGATACAGAGATTGGAAAGATATCATCAGAAGTGAAAGTCGTGTTGCCAACAGTTAATTGTTACGAGTATTACTATTAGTGTCTATGATAAACCATTATTGATGTTATATAAAAGTTACCAAATCTATATAGGTATTCTAGGAATTCTTCACTCAAGTTTGTACCGCCCCCCCCCTCAAACACTCGTTTTCAATTAATTAAGCGTGATTGCTTTGTTCCTGTCTTCTGTGTCGCTTCTTACTCCTTCCATTTACACTTTTTGTTGTAGTTGCTGCAAAAAAAAAAGTGGCAAAAAAAAGGACTTTAGGACGAGGCGCATATCCTCGTTCCACAAGCAGAGCTTGAGTGTTAGTCTGATATAAATGACCTACCTTCTTTGTGTCCCGAACTAGAAGGATTGGAAGATGCAACACATGCAACACTACTCCTCGGCAAAAGATTCAAGCATATGGAGGCTCAGGTGCTTTAGCTTGTAGATATATAGACTGATTTCCAAAACGCGTCTCAAGAGACCTAATCGCTGCATTCTTCTTTTGAGCTGAGCATTGCACTAGTAGGCAATCTGCTTAAGTCCCTATATACTAAGTACCGAGGGATTTGGGTCCCACTTTCAACTGCAGCGAAGCTTGAGTGGCTTCGGCATTCCTCGAAAGAATTTGTTGAAGACTTTAGGCAAGCACAAAACAAAAACTATCAATGTTCATATTCTGTGCACTCAAACTACTTACATCCAGTTGCAAAAGAAAATGAGATTTACGGTTTAGACACACACACACACACTGATGTGCCCAAACCTTCCAGCAGTACACTTCAAATATGGCTCCATAAGCTGACAAGGACGCCTTGTGTATTCTTTATTTGTTTCTCTCATACATTTTCCCAATTGGGAAGAAACATAAACAACAGAAAATAGAGTGAGAAAAAAGAAAAAAAAAAAAGAAAACAACAGAAATTGATTGATTGGAAACAACAACAAAAAGAGAAGAACCACGAGTAGACTAACCATAGTCATTCCCTTGAACTCTACTTGATTTAACTCCAATCCAGCAACCAAACTGTATTAATCACCAGTCCACTCGTTTTCATTCATCCACTAAAACCGACATTAGCCTTGCTACACAGAGTATGTCACAATTGGAGCCACCAGTCGCGTCCAACCAAGATTTGTCACGATCACTGAGTCAAGGTACAGACTTCTTTAAGAACGAAAGTGGTATGTTGCAATCATAATCTGATGATTGATAGAGCTGATTGTGGTCTATTCTACAATCAATCATAATTCCTCTCCTGATAATTAGTTATACTAACACCCTTTTTTAGAATCTGTCGATCTATTGCTTCGAGAAATGAGTGCAGATTTGGAGAGTATGGCACCTCCAACCACATTCGACCCGGGCCACAGGCGAAATGAAAACAGCTTATCAATGTCGATCAATACTTCACCAACCAAACCACTAAAGTTTCCGAACCAACACACATCTTCAAAGGATCCAAACTCAAGTTCAGACACATACGCCAGTGATCAAGATCAGCTTCACAGTAAAATATATCCAGCTTCACAAAACGATCTCAAATCATCATTGGATAGAAACTTTGATATTGACACTTCGGCTGATATGCAAGACACCATTCAAATACTGGATCAGTATAAATCTCAAGTGGATATATACACACTGCAAACACCTACAACATCCGCAGTCAACCTAACAAACAAACAAACCTACACGAATTCATCGCCTAATAAATCAATAATGAAGAAACCTGGAACAAGCTCGCCCAAAAAAGTTGCATTTACCGCAACTGATCCAAAAATTTATCAGTATGCTCAAGGACAACAGGAAACTGGCAATGAACCACAACAAAGTATCAACCAGTTGGCGCTTCAAAAACCAATTACCCACGTTTGGGACCAGCCGCATCCACCTTCCGAGGATGAAAGTTTAGCTTCTCCACCGCCACCACCCCCTCCTCATACAAGCAAACCAACTTTTGCCCAACTCTTGAATGGCGAACGAGGAAGTCCAGAAAAGGGGAAAAAACTTCAAGCCGTACCATTACATGAAAAGGTTACCCCAGAATCAGATGAAGAATATGATTTGGATGCTCGATTACAGGAGTTGGAATTGGCGTCAAAGAACAAGACAACTGAAAATATTCATCATTTATCACTCTCTTTACAAACTCCCAAGTTTCAAATGGAGAACCCATTGGATTCTTTACAAAAATCACCAGATGTACAATTACGATCGTCTGGATCGTCGCAATCTTCTCTTCAATCGTTGCGGGATGATAACAGAAGTTTGAACTCAGTGCCAGGGTCACCTACAAAAGCCAACCGCGGACTTGCATTGCGTGATGGTATCAAAGGATTATCTGATGCCGCTGTGGAATCAATGTTGCCCAGAGACGAATCTGAGGACGCCTTGTACATGAACCTTTCCAATAGCAAACTAGATTTACATGCACAACCGGAATCGCATTTGGATTCTTTTGACAATTCATACGATCGGACTGAGCAGTCGATTATGAACTTGCTTAATAGTGCCTCGGCATCTCAAGTTGGGCTTCATAATGTCCCACAAGAAAAAGAAGTGGTAATAAAAAAGGAGAAGGTGCAACATGAGTCGATGATAACACAAGAAAGGGATGAGGTTCGTGTGAAGATAGAAAAAGACATTAATGGACAAGACTTTGCATCTGAAGAAGAGCAAATTTTAATAAAACAAGAAAAACTTCGAGATGACGAATTGCTTGAGCCCCAAGTTCGTGTTGTTGTAAAGAGGGAGTCCAATGAAGCTTTACAACTGCATGCTCCAACTGGATTTGGTAATCAAGTGCGGGAACGCGAGTCAAATGATACAACACAACGTACACAAGACGCCATGAACAGAGACCACCATTCAAGATTGAATAATGATATAACGGGTCGTGGTGAGTCACAGCCACAAGAATGCATGGAGAAACATCGGCCACATACTGCCACCAAACAAACATCTCACAACGAAACTTTGGAAAATGCAAACTTAGAGGAGGAGTCCATGATGTCAATCAGATTTCACACAGACAGTGGTTGGAAACTAGAGGATAGTAATGATGGAGATCGAGAAGATAATGACGAGAATAGCAAAGTTCTTGATCAATCAAACTTGCTCGAGGATGATCCTTCTCACACTTCGTCGAACGAAGAGTTTGCAGACGCATCGAATGAACTCAGCCAGGCCCTTGAAGGACCAATGCAGGGAGGTGTCAAGAAGGACGGAGTTCTTAAGAGTTTGGCACCACCAAGAGCCATCGATGAAGCTATTGACGCAACTCACGGTCCAAAAGATGGTGATACCATTTTGGCCAACTCGTCGAATATTGCTGATGCAAATGAGGATATTACTTTGCCACCGATCGAAACCAACAATTACTCCTCCTTAGAAGATGTGACTAGGAATATGGACTCGGTGTCTAGTTTTGAGCAAATGTTATCGGCAGAGAAGGATGTTGTGAAGCCGAAACCTGACAACTTTTTATCCATCTGGCATAGTCAACGCAACCAGAAAAAGAAGCAGATGCACAAGGTGCCTACACAGCAACTAATAGCTGCTTACAAAGAGGATCAAGACCAACTTAAGCGAGCAATGTCAACTGATAAAGTCAGAATCCCCTCCTCGTTGAGTGGGAAAAAAATCAAGGAGGTGAATGTCATGTCGAGGCGAGTGGTTAGCCCTGACAATTTTGATGATTTACATTTGTCGGGATTCTTGCCTGAACTTTCTAGAGATTCTGGGTTTAATGATTTACATTTTACCAATCAGTCGAGGGTTTCTTCGGCACAGCTTAGTAATTCTAACGTGCTTTCAAACATTGACAATAATCCGAATGTTGTGGAACCACCACAACCTGGATCTTACAATAGTCAAAGGCAAAGTAGAAGATTATCTTCTTCCAGCAGCGGCCATTTACAAAGAGCTTCAACTGCCGGTTCAGCTGCCACCCCTGCAAGTGGTGCGAAACGGTCGAGATTTAGAGTACCCACTTTTGAAATCAAACGATCCTCCTCCGTGCTATCTCCCAAGAACATGTACGACGACATATTTGAGGATGTTGTACCCAGAAAGCCGCCAACTATCAGAGCTGAAGGTATGAAGACTTTGCCAAGTATGGATAAAGATGACGTCAAGCGAATTCTCTCTACAAGAAAAGGTATGACACAGGATGAATATGCTAATGCCAAGTTTGTTGAACAGAAACCGAAAAAGAACTCAATTGTCACTGAAGCTGAGCATGGAGATCAACATATTCCACAAACTGCATCCATCCATGATGCAAATACCGATTCTTCGCCTCGTCTCCCACCCTCATTGGGTGCCGGTGCCGATGTCTTTCCTTATCTTGTGGATGAGCTTAACAAGTCTCCAAGTGAATTGATGTCAAAAACCCAGCCTGGTAATGCAGATTATCCAACAAGGACTGGTTCAGTACTTGTACACAAGAAATCGGCATTGCCTGAGCCCGAGTTTGAATTCGACACTTCACCGCATACACCGCATACACCGCATCACACTCAGAGTGGAGTTGATGAGTTGGATACTGCTGTGTCATTGAACTACTTGCACAAGGAGAATTTGTCACCAAGATCGACAAGGCAGGAGCTTGACTCGAAGCCTGCTGCAAAAGAAATACCACAACCCTCATCGTTACTGGAGCCCGTAGTGGAGGCTAAATTTGACCCAAATGTGCGCCCTGTGGTTGCCAAGCCAAATATTTCTTCTGGTGCACCTTCGACTCCCGTTAAGAGAATCCTGAAAGATTCTCACTCTCCAATGTCAAAGAAGAGCTCACCTAGAAAGAGTCCAATTAAGATTGGCTCACCTGTCAAGCTTGTGAAAAAGAATGGATCAATCACTGGTATTGAGTTGGCTGAGAGACACCAATTCCATGATCTAGTCAAAGTTGCAGATGATAAACCGAACTTGCGAAATGATGAATTAGTCAATGCCAAAATTAGAGACAACGTCAATCAAGAAAAGTGGGTTCCCGAACATAAATCGAATATGCCAAGTGCTGTATCAGTTCCATCTGAATTTTCGGATTCCAAGAGTCAAACACATGATGGGGTGCACCAGCGTCACAGATCTGATCCGAGGGTTATTGATGATGAGCATCCAGATGTTGCTTGGCAGGAGCGTGGTAGGTTATTTTTCCGTGTTCTTGGATTGAAAAATATCAATTTGCCAGATATGAAGTCCCACAAGGGTAAATTTACCATTTCGTTGGATAATGGTGTTCATTGCGTCAAGACACCTGAGTATGATTTGGATAAGAGTTTGGTTACCATTGGTAAAGAATTTGAACTCATTGTCGGTGACTCTTTGCAATTTATCATGACGATGAAGGCCAGTTACACTAAACCAAAAGGTACATTAGTTGAAGTCAGAGAAAGGAAAGTTGTTAAATCCAAGAATAGAATTGGTCGTTTGTTTGGATCGAAGGACATCGTCACCACGACTAGGTACGTTCCTAGTAAGGTTGAAGATACATGGGCAAACAAATTGGCTACTGATGGATCATTTGCTAGGTGTTATGTCGATTTCGCTCAATTTGAACCACAAGTGACAGGTATAGTGCAAAGATTTGATTTGAGTTGTTTCAACGAGTGGGAAACCAAAGCAAATGGAAACAGTAACGGTTCCCAATCCAATCAAAGGTTGAAGCCATACAAAATTGCTGATTTGGAAGTTGAAATGTTTTTCATCCCCCGTTCCGATCCCCATGAGGTGTTACCAACTAGTATCAAATCGGCATACCAGTCATTAGCTGAGTTGAGTAAAGAGTCGAATTTGACCAACGAAGGATACTTGTATCAAGAAGGTGGAGATTGCGAGATTTGGAAACGCAGATGGTTCAAACTTTATGCAACATCATTGGTTGCCCATTCGGAATTCAGTCATAAGACGAGAGCCAAGATCAATTTGAACAAGATTATTGATGTGATGTACGTTGATAAGGAGAACTTGCATAATTCGAAGCATCGTAATTTCAGCGATGTTCTTCTTGTTGAGCATTCATTCAAGATTAAGTTTGCCAATGGTGAGATTATTGAATTTGGTGCTCCAAATGGCCACGAAATGAAGCGGTGGGTTAATATATTGGAGAGCATTGTACAACGGAATAAGATAAGAAGGCAGCCTTGGATCAATGTGATGATGAAGCAACAAATTGGACAGTGAGGAGCGCTGAGGTGCTTGTTGAAGTAATGTATAGAGAGGCTAGATAATGTAATATAACGAATTAAATTTAATTACAACAAAACGTAATACAGTTTTGGATAGAACTATGTATAACATTACTACTTTGATGGTGGAGGTGGAGGTGGTGACATGTTGAAGTTGAAATTTTGCATGTTTGGCATTTGCATGCCCGGTGGCATCTGCATTCCAGGTGGCATCTGCATTCCAGGTGGCATCTGCATTCCCGGTGGCATCTGTATTCCCGGTGGCATCATCATAGGCGGCATACCTGGAGGAAACATGCCCATTGGAGGTTGTGGCATCCCATTCTTGCCAGGTACGGGACTGTTCACATTATTACCACCCCTTCCAACTTCAGTGCCAGGCAAGGGTCCACCGGGTCCCTTCATGATTTGCGCCATGATCTTTTGTGGATTGAACTCGCCTCGCAATTTATCTTGTTTATGACAGTATGCATTCCATGTGAATTCGTCGAATCCGAAATTGAAGTAATCAGAAATATCAGCGCCGGGAGCTCGCCATGGTTTCATTTTGAAAATTTCCAAGTCTAATTGAGTTAGTGGTTTACCCTCGAATTCGGGATTGGCATTGACATCGAGTTTTGATGTGGAAGATGCACTGGTGCCGGTGGTAGTGGTTATTTGTGTTGATCCAGGTTTTGGTGTCCCCGTGGAAGATTGTGGTGCTGCTACTTCTGATAGTATGTCGTTACCAGGAACAGATGGTTTAGAGGCCGTGTCACCTATTATGATATCAATGTCATCATCATCATCATCATCGTCGTCGTCGTCGTCGTCGTCGTCATCTTCTTCTTCTTCTTCTTCTTCTTCTTCTTCTTCGTCATCCTCAACTTCTGCTTTGGCCTTATTATTCACACCTTGTTCGTCTTCTGGGTTGTAGTCATCCTTGGCGTCTGTGTTGTCAGCAGTCTTCTCATTATCGTCCTTCTGGAGCAGTGCAGTCACTTCTGATGTTGATGTTGTCTTTTGTTTCTTCGTTGCTGGCTCATTGTCTTGGTCGTCAGATCCGTATAGGTAATCGTCGTCATCTTCTTCCGGTTTAACCATTTTGTAAGTAGATAATAGCAAAGCCACGTAGGTGTATACAAGGAGCAATCAATTCAGATGTGAAATCAAATGTTTACAAACCTCGTTGTTTTCTTTTGATGCTTCATCCAATGTCGTGAGAGATTGTGTTCACGTGACTAAAATAAGTCTGCGACACGACACTGCACATCTACTCTATTATTATAAAGAGAGAAAAAAAATTTTTCATACAAAAAGCCTAAGCAGAAGTGTTTCATCCTCACATCATCAGTGGCAAATAGAAGCAACAACAACAACAACACCACCACCACAACCACAACCACAACCACCAACAATACCGTCGTCATCAACTTTATCCCGATTAGATTCATTTTTATGCTATATTTCAAATCCCCTCTAACTAACACACCTACTCCATCAATCATAACTCTTCAACATACCATTATACCGCCGAAATAAATTACTAAAGTCTCCAATATGTCATTTATAAATATTTGTCGTGATAACACCGACCCTTTCTACAGGTACAAGATGCCTCCTCTCCAGTCCAAGACCGAAGGTAGAGGAAATGGTATCAAGACGGCTATCGTCAACTTGGGTGAAGTTTCACGTGCTTTGAATCGTCCACCAGCGTACTTGGTCAAGTTTTTCGGGTATGAATTGGGAGCCCAAACACAGATCCAGACCGATCGTTACTTGGTCAATGGTGCCCATGATACTAATGAGTTGCAGGATTCATTGGATGGATTCATTAATAAGTTTGTCCTTTGTGGATCTTGTAAAAACCCTGAGACGGAAATTGTCCTCAAGGGTAAAGATTCATTGGAGCGTGATTGTAAAGCTTGTGGGAAAGTCACTTTGATTGATCCAAAACATAAATTGTACTCGTACATTGTTAAGAACCCGCCTGATAACAAAAAGGGTAAGAAGTCAGCCACTGCGACTGCCAATGTTGTCGGTGGAGGAAAATCGATTTCTGATATCGCTGCTGGTCATGATTCCAATGATGCTGCCAATTCTGCTGGTGCGAATGGAGTTGGCGGTGACCGTGCTGATGGCGGAGACGGCGACGACGAGGACGATGATTTGTTGGCCAAGAAGATTAATGCTGAGGCTGCCATGTTGCAAGATTTGAAAATCAAAGATGATGAATGGGCGGTGGATATGAGTGAGGAGGCAGTTGCTGCCAGAGCTCGAGAATTGGAGGCGTTTGACTCGTCTAACTCGTACGAACAGTTGGGCGAATGGATACTCTCCGAATCTAACAATGATGTTTCCAAATTACCTTCTGATGTCGAAATCTACAAGAAGATTGTTGAGTTGGACCTTGTTGAATCGCCAGCCACGCTACAAGTCCTTGCACAAACTTTGTTTGATGCCCAAGTGCTAGATCAAATTGAACCACATGTGGGTTTGTTGACGAAGCTCATTAATGGCGACGAAGAATTTGAAAAGTCGTTGCTTGGTGGGTTGGAGAGGTTGATTGGGTTGCTGTACCCTAATGAATTAGTTGCTCAAACACCCAAGATTTTGCATGCGTTTTATGATCGTGATTTGCTTAGTGAGGAAGTCATCATCAAGTGGGGGTCCAAGGTTTCAAAAAAGTATGTTCCTAAAGATGTTTCCAAAAAGGTTAGAAAAGCCGCTAAACCTTTTGTTCAATGGTTGCAAGAAGCAGAAGAGGAGGAAAGTGACGAAGAGTAGATTCATGCGATGTATTCAATGTATAGGTTTGAATTCCATGTTTATTTCAAATGGAAGAGGAAATTTACAACTGGATGTTACAGACTCTGTAAAACAATTGAGAACTCGTCGATAGATTAATGATTACTTTATTATCCCCAAATTTATAAATAATTTATATATACATATCACTCCTCCTAAAACTTTTGATAATTATTCTCCATCATATATACCCACTCTATTCAAACTCTTTCATTTCGTAAAATCATCCTCTACTAATCCACCATGGCAATGACTTTTCTTTCATTTGCAACATCTTACATGTACAGGTTTCGTTGTTGCACCGTTGGCGTGCCCGGATTCGAGTTATATCCCATTGCAGCACTACTCAATGACAATTGCTCCAATTGTTGCATGACTGCCATTTCCTGAGGCAGAGGTTGTGTGGGCCCTGTCCCTGGTGGAAATTGTGGTTGTTGGTAGTACCGTTGTTGCGCTTGTTGCTGCTGCTGTTGCTGTTGCTGTTGTTGTTGTTGTTGTTGTTGTTGGTGGTGGTGGTGGTGTTGGTGTTGGAGCTGAGCTTGTGCCATGGCTTGTTGAGTATAATATTGTTTCATGTAAGCTGAGGGTTGTTGCGTGGCGTATTGTTGCTGCACAAGAGGCACGTACGGATATGACTGCGGTGGGATCTGTTGCATAGGAAACTGCTGATTAATAGGTTGTTGAGAATGGAAATTCGCAGCAAGAGGTGGCTGCTGATGCTGATGCTGATGCTGATGCTGATGCTGATGCTGATTATGAGAATGGAATGAGTCATTCTTCAATGACCCATTAGTAGCATTCCGTTGTCCTCGTCTGTTTCCAGTGCCATGAAGTCCGTGGTTCCCCACTGGTCCACCCGAAGTTCCATTTCCTCCACCGGCACTTCTCTTTGACCCCGAAAAGGACTTTCCTGATCTACTACTCGACAACCCAACTTCATCCATCAACTTCTTATAATGATGATAATTGACGATATTAATCTCCATCAAGACTCTTTTAACGGCTGGGAAATAAGGCGTCGTCAAATTAGCAAGCATGGGATTACTCATTACTTTGTAAATGAATAATGGACCAGCATTCAACTGATTATCATCACTTCGTTCGTGTAAAATAAACTTTAAATTCTCAGCATTTTCAAAAATATTCTTGATTAAATCATGCTTGACATCTCTTTCATCCTGACTTGAACTATTGTAATTCATACTCAACAACTTCAACACGGTTAAATTTGCCAATCGATGAACACAAAGGCTTCGCAAATTAGCCAAGAGTCGACCAGCAACGAGGTCAATCTTGGTCGCATTGTGCATTTCAAAAGTGTCCAAAAACCAAGTTATCAACAAGCTTCCATTCGAGTTGACAACCAATTCGTTGGCAAACTCAACAATCAACCCGGCAACAAGCAAAACTTGCTCTTGAGAAACACATTTTCCATCATTACTACTACCCCTCCGCTCATTTAAATGGTGCTGGCTCAGGTGAATCTTGTTGCTACTTTCCAATATGGTTCGAATACATCTTGCTCCGTATCGGCTAGAACTGATTTCGAGAAAATTGTCAAACATCGCCTCAAATACAAAGTCATTGAATGGGGACCCAAATTTAATACACCCTTGAATTACATAGTTGCCAAATTGATCATTGAATAACTTGACTGCGTACGGTTTCAAACTGGCACCAATTAGATACATTTGTTGATAATCCGAATGGCACAAGCTGATGATTTTTTGAATTGCCCATGTCCCATTCTTGTGAATTCCCAATTGGGTCAAATAGGGAGCAATTTCCTTAACCATCATCAATTTCACCAATGCAGCATTGACATCATTGTCATTGCCACTGAGCAAGATAAACAATTTCTGAACTATGGTGTTGCCAAGGTAATCGTAACTAATTTCCGGTAATTCATCAAGCATGGCCAATGCCAATTCATCTACACCAACCTGGCTCAAATCAGAATCAATCAATTGATCAAATAATCCAGCCTCTTTGTTTTCCAATATTTTCCTCAATTCTCTCAAAGTTGGAGCGTCAAATTGTCTAGACGGTATTGGATCAGGCAATGGTCCAAAATCGCTTCGGTAATTGTCATTTGGATATGCCACGCACTTGCTGATGATTGATTGGACCTTTTTCAAATCCACTGTGGAAGATAACTTGGTGATTGATTCAATAATGTTGCTTGTATTGGGCGTAGTTGTTGCAGCGTATGTGGATGCGGCTGTTGTGGATGTTGTTGAGGTGGTATTGGTGTGTTGTGTACCAACAGTCATCTCGGCTGAGGATACAGAACCTTGCTTGGACAATACTGATTGAGGTGAGTTGCTTTGCCCACGAAGTGTATTCATTTGAGCTTGTCCTTGACCTTGGCTGGAGCTAGCAAAACTACTCAAACTGGGCTCAGCAACCGATTTCAACGGGGAATGATGCAAATCAGCCCTTGGCTCTTCCACTTTGGCAAACGCAACATACAAGGTACTACCAGGTGCAATTTCCAAGTGGTTGAAATTGGCCTTTAAATTCATGGCGGTTTGGATATTTGTGCATTCAACCAAAGCCAACTTCGATGTAGTTGTGATTGTCATCTTGACGCTAACAACACTTCCAAATGACTTGTGGTTGTTGGAGTTGACCAAAATCGTAAACAACTTCACTGCATCAACGTACAATGGCATATTATCAAATAAAAGAAATCTTGTAGGGCCCAAATTGGTGTTCTCAAAATTGGTAGTGATGAGCAACTGCGAAAAGTCATAATCGTCAAGTAATTCTGGATGAATGTCTTGAGAAGGTAACATTGGACCAGCGCCTCCTCCATTGGCGGTACTCTCTAAAAGCGAGTTATTGTGCAATTGTGTTTGTAAAGAGTCCAATTGTGGATTCAACTGCAATTGGGGGCTGAGTCCCGTTCCTCTTCCTGCACCTCCAGGTTCTCCTGTTGTGGCTGGTGTGCTCCCACCAATAAAGACTTGTTTATTTACTCCTGGTGGTGTGCTTCCAGAATAGGTTTGTGATCTAATCCTAGGTGCCGCAGTGGTGGATCCATTGTCATCTCCATTTAGCGTGAAATGGTCCACCAACAAGTTGGCATCGTTAGTTTTACCTCCAATGGGAATGAATGGGGATGTGGATACTTTGTTTTGGTCATTATTTCTATAATATGCACCGTTGTAGTAATTTGGGTTGCCATGAGTGTTGAAAGACTCGGCGGTTGCATTAATGGTGACGCTTGGAATAGCAGCATTGGTAGTGTATGACCTGTTTCGCAACGATGAATATTGGTGTAGCAGCTGTTGCTGCTGTTGCTGCTGTTGTGACAGCGGTGGTGGTTGCAGATGAAGATGTTGCTGGTGATTAGAAGGTGAAGATGATGCATCCAACGAAGGACTCATTATGAATTCGGAATGTAAACTATGATTGCTATTGGATGAGTTATTATCGTCATTCCATATTGAATTTGTTGAGAATAATGATCCTGATCTCATTCTTCTAGTTGGAGTAGTACTTAGGTTTGCAGAATCGATATTAAAGTTCAAGTTGAGGCTGTTATTGCCATTGGCATTGGTATTGGTATTGGTATTGGTATTGGTGCTGGTGTGGGGGTTTGACATGATGCTAGTATGTAGTGGCGATGTAGATAGTGTACTATCTTTTGAAGTGGGGATATTCAACAAGTCATGCGCTTGGTTAATGTTGTGGGAGGTAAACAGGGATTCGCCATGGTATATGGGACTGCTAGTTAATGAGTTGGTGACAGCATTATTGTTGTAGTTGTAGTTGTAGTTGTAGTTGCCATTGGATAAACCATTGGGAGTCAATTGGTTGCGTATGGAAAAGGACGAAGGCAAGGTTCCTGCTCTACTTCTTCCTTGCTGTTGCTGTTGCTGTTGCTGTTGATTAGTTGTTATTGATGGCGAAGTTGATCTGGTATAATTGTTCATACTGAGAAGAAGAATGAAAGGGCTAGTAATAGAACTGTAGATCAACAGTATGATCCATATGCAGTGTCTGTGTATAGAAAGTAAGTGAGCACTGTAATAATGGGAAAGAATGTAGGTTTGTTAAAGGTGTATATATATATATATATATATATATATTGTGTTGGTTACAGTTGGTTAGTTGGTTGAGTAAAATATATATATTGACGTGTGAGAATTATCAAGCACTGTTGTTGTTGTTGTTGGTTGTATGCAGTACTTGCCTGAAATAGGGGTAACACACTCTCTCTCTAGACCTTCTCTTTGAGTGAGTCAAGCAGGGAAAGGAAAGGTGAAGTGAAACGGAGAGATCAAATAAGACTAGTATACATATACTAACCACATCTGCCAAGAGGCAATGCTTACCAATGGTCTCTAACTCTAGTGCATTAAGCTATGAGTATATCACCAAGCAGAAACAAGTAGTGGCTATATTGAAAACCTCTGTATGTATCCACTTGTCTTGAAGAAGCTGAAAAGAGAGAGGCAACGCGCCAGTGTAGAGCAAGCCCTGTATAAGCATCTATCTCTTAACGCATGAGATCGAAAGGTATCAACATCACGAGTAGTACTAGTAGTAGTAGTATTAGTAGTAATAGTACTACTAGTAGCAGTGAAGAATGAAGAAGACCCTTTCGATTACGTTGTAAACAAATACAATACACAAACACCACAAACACCAATTTACATGGTCACTCTCTAAATATAGCATCCTATATACATTTGCATTTTTCTACTTATATAATCTCAACCACTACACCACCACATCACCACACCACCACACCACCACATCACCACATCACCACCACCACCACCACCACCACTACTAGAGCAACCACTCATTCAATTTTAACATCAGCAATCTTTGGGAAGGGAAGTGATTTGGAAAAGACAACAACCCTATTTGTATTACTGACATATCCCCTAATATATCCTTGTGTAATCAAATTGCACACAATACTTTCAACCTCGTAATCGGAGATGTGGCGCAGGTAGGACATTACATTATCTTCTTCATCCTTGTTGTCCGCATTGCCAATACCATTACCCGTGCCACCATTTTCCTGGTCTCCTTTCTCTTTTCCTCCTCCTTCTTCTTCTTTTTGACTAGGACACAACGACAACTCCAATGCTACTTTAAACGCACTGAATGGTGTTGACTTTTCACCAGTTTGCAACTCCAGAGTAATCTTGTATGTCTTGTGCACTACTTTCAATTGAACAAATTGTCGTAGCAACTCCATCAAAATGTACAAATGGTTTTTCAACAACACTAGTTGGAATTTCTCCATACACCGCTCATACTTGTACAAATCACCACGCAAGATTGCATCCAAGAAATTATCTCGATACATCAACTTCAAATCGGGGAATCTTTGCCATACTGACTCATGAGGTATCTTGCCCTTGTTGTAGAGTTTCAACGGTATCAATATCTTGAGTAAGCTTTGCAATTGCTTACTCGACTTGTCCGTATGGTTGGCAATTAAATCCATGGCCCTATTGAGAGCATCTTCACTCTCCACATATTGACCATCATCTAATGAAACCAATGCTTGGTAATACAAATACGTAATAGCATTGGCAGATGTAGATGCATTCGCCGTCATGTTGGGTAATGTCTTGTTCCCGGCTTTCACTGAATTTATTGCACTTTTCGCAAGGGCAATTTTACCCATCTTGAAGTAATATTTGATCAAGTTGGCCAAAAAGAAGTAAACATCGTTCCGTTTACTCAACTTAACATCGAGTGTCTTGTCATTATTACTCAAATTAAACCCCATTTTCAACGTATTGATCAACTCCTCCAATTTCAGTACCTTCTTTTTAGATGCAGTAGTATTTGAATTTCCTCCTCCACCCCAATCATCAAATTCAGAATCGGCTATAATCATATCCAAGTCCTCCGGCGCTCTATCAGTAGCAACTTTATACAACGCAATCAAATCGCCAAAACACGAGAGAATAACCGGCATGATCCAATTCCCTTCAATCTGCTCACTGGCTTTGACGAGGTTGCTGCATTGTAAATTCATATTTTCAAAACACAGGGCACTTGAATGAGTGATGTACGCGCTTTTCAAAACTTGTAGATGGTGTGTTATTACAGGACCAAACTTGTTGAGGTTGTACAAGTCAAATACCAGTGGTTCGGGAAACTCTGCTCGTGCTCTGGCTTTTGCATGGTTGATCATGAGTAGTTTTTGCAATTTCCTGGCATTTTTGTTTTGAATGCTCAGTTCAACTTGTGATAAGTAGGATTTCAATGTGTAGGAATTGTTGCTGCTACTGCCACTACTATTCATTATTCTTTTGTAGGGAAGTAGTTATGGGAATTGGAATTGGAAATGAGTGACTGATAAATGTAAAAATTGACCTTCTTTGGTTGGTAGTTTGTTTGTATGTGTGGCGTGTGCGTGTGTGTGTGTGTGTGTATGAGTGCCTTTTCGTTTGATGTTTTTTCTCTCTGCGTTTACATCTGCAGTGTCGTATTTTTTTTCTTAACAGTGATTGTCGTGTTTAGGAATTGCGACACTGTATGTGAATGGAGTGATTTAGCACTCATTGAGTATACTCAGGATGTGTACAGACTTGCATGTAGCTTTATCATTTTAGAAGAACATGTCTACCTCATCTTTCATAAGCAGATAGCAGGTATTGTGTGCTATTCATGTTTTTCGTGATTTGTACAAGCATGTTGATTTCTAGACAGTGCATTTTGCAACTAGAGACACACAACACACTTTAAAAACTTGTTTGTCTCAAGAAACTATTGAAGGCATTGTCATTGTACGTTTTGCAAAGTATCCTAAGGATTGGTGAGATACAGCATCTTCAAGAAATTGAACTAACCATGCAGACAATGACACATGTTCCATATGATGTAACTAAATATTTGCAATAAAATGCAAGCAAAATTTTTGGGTACCAAAGAATTACAAGAGTAACAAACTAAGTGCAGGTTATTTAAATATAAAACTTTCAACCCCTTTGTAGAAAGAAGTAATCAGTCCTGTCGAATGATGATAGTAGAGTGAGATTGGATTAGAGTGGTTCTTTAGTGAAAAGTGTAACTTATGTGTGTAGATGGTAGCTCTGTCGTTGTTTCCTTCATTTTTTTTGTCTTTGTCTTTGTGAGAGGAATAGAACACACACACACACACAACAAAACAAAACCTTACCAATCAATCAAATCAAATCAATCAGACAATCAGTCAAAAGGAGACAGACAGAGACAGACAGAGACAGATAGTCAGACTGTTACTAACCACTACACATAAAAGACATCAACAACATTCACTATCAACACCATCACCTAAACCTTTACTTTATTTCAGTAGGTGGCAACAATAGCGCATTTCAGTTTCAAACAAATAACACCACACAGATACACACCAACTGCATAACTGATATTTTACCAACCCACATAAATCACCCTCTCTTTCACACCAGATCACACCACTACACCCACAAGTTACACACACACACACACACACACACACGCACACACACACCCACAGCGAACCACATGAGCACACCTACCAGCTTTGAGGATTATGAACCACAACAGAATAGAGCCCTATCACCAAGAACCACCAGTGCTACTACGTCTAACACGCGAGCACTGACTGCAACAGCAGCTATGAGAAACCATTCACCAAGCTCAAATGAGGCTGACGATGATGAATCCACTGTTGATATTAACCAACACAATCTTGATCAACAGCAACAGCAACAGCAACTACCACCACCACCACCGCTTTTTAAACACAGGAATGGGCATCACAAAAGTAGGACTCCTTCGAACGACGTGGATGGAACTAATAGTCAATACCCATCAGACTATGTAGATAACGATTTCATGATGGACAACGAATACAATGATTACGAAGAGTTGAGGAAGGCAATAATAGTAAAAAGACGGTTATCTAGCATCAAGCAGCCTCATGGCCCATACATCGATGATCAACAAGCGGTGAATAAAAACTCAATCATGCGATTACCTACAGAAGTGTTGCTACAAATATTTCACTATTTGGAGAGAAAAGATTGGTACCTTCTTGCAACAACATGTAGCGAGATTGCTGACTTGATTATAGAAATGTTGTGGTTTCGTCCTAATATGCAAAACGACGCATCTTTCAAGAAAATCAGACAGGTTATGGAGATAAATCGATTTAAAACTCATTGGGATTATCGACAATTTATCAAGAGGTTGAATTTGTCGTTTATGACCAAATTGGTTGATGATAAGTTGTTGGGCTTATTTGTTGGGTGTCCCAAGTTGGAGAGATTGACGTTGGTCAATTGTGCCAAGCTTACACGTACACCTATAACGAATGTACTTCAAGGATGTGAAAGACTACAGTCTATTGACTTGACTGGTGTTACAGATATCCATGATGATATCATTAATGCATTGGCCGACAATTGCCCAAGATTGCAAGGATTGTATGCTCCAGGGTGCGGCAATGTGAGTGAAGCAGCCATAATAAAATTGTTGCAAAGTTGTCCAATGTTGAAAAGACTAAAATTCAACTCAAGCAGTAACATAACTGATGCCAGTATTGAGGCCATGTATGAAAACTGTAAAGCATTGGTTGAGATTGATTTGCACGGTTGTGAAAACGTTACTGACCTACACTTGAAACGAATCTTTTTGGAATTGACCCAGTTGCGAGAATTTCGAATCAGTGGTGCCCCAGGTATAACTGACAAATTATTTGAGTTGATTCCTGATGGATTCATTTTGGAGAAGTTGAGAATCATTGACATCACTGGATGCAATGCCATAACTGATAGGTTGGTGGAGAAGTTGGTGGTTTGTGCACCAAGGTTGAGAAATGTGGTTTTGAGTAAATGCATGCAAATAACCGATGCTAGTTTGCGAGCATTGAGTAAACTTGGAAGGAGCTTGCATTATATCCATTTGGGCCATTGTGGTTTAATCACTGATTATGGAGTTGCCGCATTGGTTAGGTATTGCCATCGAATACAATATATTGATCTAGCATGCTGTTCGCAATTGACGGATTGGACTTTGGTTGAGCTTGCAAATTTGCCAAAATTGAGACGAATTGGATTGGTCAAATGCTCAATGATTACTGATTCAGGTATATTGGAGTTGGTGAGACGCCGTGGTGAACAGGATTGTCTTGAACGAGTGCACTTGTCATATTGCACAAACTTAAACATTGGTCCCATTTATTTGTTGCTCAAGAGCTGTCCCAAGTTGACTCATTTATCACTCACTGGGATTTCGGCATTTTTGAGACGTGAAATCACTCAGTATTGTCGTGACCCACCACCTGATTTCAATGAGCATCAAAAATCATTGTTTTGTGTCTTTAGTGGATACGGAGTGAATCAATTGCGCAACTACTTAACTCAAGTTATGGAGGAACGCTCGTATCAGATTGAACAAGGTGATATACATGCATTGTTTAATGAGAGGAGACGCCGCTTTTTGAATGGTGAGGTGGAACCTGCACCCGGAGCTGGAGCTGGAGCTGGAGCTGCAGGCGCTGCAGGCGCCGCAGGAGATGAAGTCTTGAATGCATGGGAGCGAAGATTCCTTGTACCAAGAGGAGTCGGAGACAACAATAACAACAACAACAATCAATTGAATCAAGACATGATTGAAATAAATCGGGAGATTTTCCGAGAATTGAATGAGGGAAATATGGGCCCTGATGAAATGAGAGAGCATTTTCAACGGTTGATCCGTAATCATCATCAACAGAGATTGCAAGAGCACAATGCTAGAACTAGGACTAATGTGAGGCATGGTGAAGCTGGTCAACAGAATAGGCCACAGCAGCGACAAGCGCAAGCGCAAGTTGGAGAACAAGCACGAGTGGGAGCCGGAGTGGCACCATCCCAACCTCCTCGTCCAAACCAACAACAACAGCAGCAAGAACAGCAAGAACAGCAACAGCAGCAACAGCAGCAACAACAGCAGCAACAGCAGCAGCAACAGCAGCAACAACAACGTCCACAACGTCCACATCAAAGACAGCGACCACCGCCACCAAATGCTCCTGATCAGCCTTTGTTTCCACCTACAAATTTCCCCAACGATACGCAATTTTTCCACCCAAATCCGAACCCGCAAAATGCGCCGCAAATTGAACAAGCCCCAATTTTTCCTAATCGTGCTGATCAACCGATACGTGGGTTTGGCAACCAACAAGCACAGCATCGACAGCAACCACAACAGCAAGTGAGGCCGACCGCTTATGAAAATCTCGATGATACAGTCATCATTGAGAACCAAGGTCTTGCTGGCACCGTAGTCATTGAGAGTGGTGACAACGAGGATGTTGAAATGGTGGATGCGGATACTGGTGACGGTGACTTGTTCCCCAGAATGGCCTGATCTTGGGCTCGTTTTTTCTTTTTGTCTACGGTTTACATGTCAAGTGGAGAGTGTGTTTGAAATGTCTATACATGATATTGATCTGTGTTGACCTGTGTTGACCTGTGCTGCCCTTTTTGTTTTTATCCTTTTTAACTAGAGAGTTGAAATACTGTTGTTAGTTACAATGTTATTTAGTTTGGTCTAGTTAGATACTTGAGATAAGAATTGCATCCAAATGTACCTCTCTTGTATTGCGTATCCAAGTGTTGCAAGGATCACTTTGTTTTTGTGTGTGTTCAGGTGACGTAGATGGTGAATTAGGGCTATAGCCACGCACACATAGAGAATATTATGTCGTGTATGAGTGCACAATATGAAAAAAAAAATCTTAGTTGGGTTACTGTAACAGAAGTGAGGTGAATATTTTTTTTTTCTGAGGTGTGAAAGGAAAGGTTTCTCTTTTTCACGTCTTTTTACAACAACAAGATTATACAATGTATGTGACCATGCCTGAATAGTGGACAGAGAGGGTTCATGGATGAGGGAGATTATGTCTATGGAAGGGAGAGAGAGATATACATATATATATGGAAGCAAGGAATGTTGGAACGCATGTGCCTTCTACACGGAGAGAGATTGAAGCGTGAGCAATGAGCTAAGTGGATTAAGAAAGCGGTTGCTTTTGGGATTGCCGTTCTTTTGGTGACCAATAGGGCAAGTTTCTCTACAAGAATGGAGCAATATAATGGCCAGATTGGAATGAGTGGAGACTAATCAAGATCAATCCGAGTGATTATTTTTTTTTAACTGATGGGAAGGGTAGATGAACAAAACCCGATTAAGATCAAGCTTGCTATTCACAATGTTGGCAAGTCCAATGAGCATTTTCCAAGCACATTCCATCCATTCCAAACTACACTTGTCTTTTCCATGATTTTCCTCCTCCCTCAATACAAGTCCTCTCCTCTCAAAAAAATTGCATCAAAATACTAACAAGTAACCATTAGGACTAAAAGAACAAAGAAGGTTGGAATCACCGGTAAATTCGGTGTCAGATACGGTTCATCATTGAGAAGACAAACCAAGAAGTTGGAAGTCCAACAACACGCCAAATACGACTGTTCATTCTGTGGTAAGAGAACCGTTCAAAGAGGTGCTGCTGGTATCTGGTCTTGTAAATCTTGCAGAAAGACTGTTGCTGGTGGTGCTTACACTGTTTCTACTGCTGCTGCTGCCACTGTCAGATCAACCATTCGTCGTTTGAGAGATATGGCTGAGGCTTAAGAGATGTGGTTTTGGGAGCTTTTAGTGGGGTGTAAATTATTGTGTATGTAATATTGTATACAATTGTCGCATTAATGAAACGTTAAAAAAAGAATAGATTGGTGATTGTAGAGGTGTAGGAATTTGAATGAAAGGGGGGGGGGGAGAAGGTAGGCTTTGGTTTTGAGAGGGGGGATATGTTGATGTAATGTAAGAAGGATCTGAATTGCGATAAACACACACAAAAAAAATAATCGAGACTCAATCCAGAGTCCAACCACCTAGCTTGTCTTTCCTACCATCAAATCCATCCCATATGACAAACGTCACCACTAGAACAACAACAGCAGTAAATCAGCAGCAGCAACAACAACAACAACAACAGCAGCAGCATCAGCAGCACTTTGAATTCCCCAAAATCCATTCCTTCCCCCCACTATACACCAAACAACCAAACCAAACGGTGCAACAACAACAAATAGACACATGGTGCAACATTCTCCTCCAATATTGTCAATTCTACAGAATCACCTCACTTACAAATGAAGGATCTCCCAAACACACCCAGCTACGGAACTCATCAGGAACTGTGACGAAGTCAAGCAACATATTAAACATACCGCCTCTCTTTTCCAACAGTGCCATAAACCGACATGTGAACCCCGAATTCAGAAATGTCATTATTGCCAATTTGATCCATTCGAAGCGGGGCGAGTACATCAACCACAAAAGGCCGGAATTGGGGGTGTTTGTGTATTGGAGGAGTGTGGTGGATTGGGGGAATTTGTTGTATGAGTATGTGGTTGATACTGGACAACAGGGGAGTGTGCTTACGTTGTATGAGTTGACGCGGGGAGGTGACGATGATGATGATGATGATGAAGTAGAGGGAGTTGGAGTTGGAGGTGGAGTTGGAGGTGGAGTTGGAGGTGGTGGTGGCCTGAGTGGTGGGTTGCCTCGCGAGTTGCGGAATTTGGATGAGGAGTTGCTTGTCAAGGTGATTAAGGATTATTTGATCAAGCAGGGTAAAGCTCAGTTATTGATGACTGAATCGAATGAGATTGGCGGTGTCAAGATTGTATAGAGAGAGAGAGGAGGAGGAGGAGGAGAGTTGTGACAAGTAGAGACTAATTGATGAGCATATCTTTTGAGTTCTTGATCTTGGAAACAATCGAGAAAAGCGGGAGGGAAATGTAGGAACAGCAAAGAAAACTTCATGAAGAGGTTTTTGCGGTTTCGCCCATATCAATTCTGTCATGGTTGGATGACTGTGGTGAATTGGAATCGCGTGACCGCGGTAGGGGCATATATCAAAAACAAAGATAATCTTCAAAGTGATGTATCGTGCTGATTGGAAAGGTACTTTCTAGATTGTGGATCAAAGGCAAAGATGTGCGCTCTGGTTATAGAGCTGATACGTTTGATTGTCCTTTTTTGTCTTTTGATCTTGTAAATTGACATCTTATGAAGGTGTATACTTCAGCATACAGATATTACTCTGCGGCTCTGCGTGATACTTCCTAATGGGGAAGTTGACTAGAATTATTCTACTTTTTGTGTATGCTACAGAGAATTTTTGTCTCTCATCTTTGACGGAAAGAAATTTTCTTTTTCTTTTTTTTTTTTTTATTTTTTTTTTTTCTGCACTGCGAAGAGATCTTTCATTCACTTCCTCCTTTTCTTCCTCTTCTTCTTCTTCTTCCCGCTTAAATCAGTTCATTTAAGAGGGCATAGTACGAATATAGTTATCCCACTACTACTCCTCCAATCCTTTTCAATAACTACTTAGAACTCAATCGTTTTTTTTGTTTTTTTTTTTCGTCTCCTCATCGATTTGTCTCAAGCTCTTAAAAAGTTGGACGTGTTGCTTCACATACTTTAGGGACGTGTCGAATATTTCTTGTCTATATCCATTATCACATTTGGGTATATCCATTAACATCCACTGAAATTCTAATCGAGTGATTTATTGCCATTATGAAGTACGTTGTTGTGTCTGGTGGTGTCATATCTGGTATCGGAAAGGGTGTATTGGCGTCATCCACCGGTCTTCTTTTCAAAACCTTGGGATTGCGAGTCACTTCCATTAAGATCGACCCCTACATGAACATTGATGCGGGAACCATGTCTCCCTTGGAGCACGGTGAGTGTTTTGTGTTGAACGATGGTGGTGAAGTTGATTTGGACTTGGGTAATTATGAACGGTACTTGAACATTACATTAACAAGGAACCACAATATCACCACGGGGAAAATTTACTCCAAGGTTATTGAACGTGAGCGTAAAGGTGATTATTTGGGGAAGACGGTGCAGGTTGTTCCACATATTACGAATGCGATCCAGGAGTGGATTGAGGAAGTTTCGCGTGTTCCTGTTGATGACACGGGATTGGAGCCTGAAGTGTGTATCATTGAGTTGGGTGGTACTGTGGGGGACATTGAGAGTGCTCCGTTTGTGGAAGCGTTAAGACAGTTTCAGTTTAGAGTGGGTGGTGGAAATTTCGCCTTGATTCACGTGAGTTTGGTTCCCGTTATCCATGGGGAGCAAAAGACCAAGCCGACCCAGGCTGCAATTAAGGATTTGAGGAGTTTGGGGTTGACTCCAGACATGATTGCGTGTAGGTGTCAAGAGGAGTTGGAGCGTCAGACTATTGAAAAGATTGGTATGTTTTGCCATGTTGGTCCTGAGCAAGTTATTGCAGTTCATGATGTTAACTCCACTTATCATGTACCTCTTTTGTTGAAGCAGCAGAAGATGATGAAGTATTTGACTACTAAATTGAATATTGGTGAAGTGGATTCTGCGGCTTTGGTTAAAGGTGAACAATTGTTGACTAAATGGAGACAATTGACTACTGCACATGACAAGTCATTTGAAACAGTTACTATTGCGCTTGTTGGTAAATACACCAATTTGCATGATTCTTACTTGTCGGTGATCAAGTCGCTTGAACATGCGTCAATGAGATGTAATCGAAGATTGAAAATTGAATGGGTTGAATCAACCAATTTGGAAGAAGGGAAAAAGGAGGAAAACTTGTCGGAGTACCACAAGGCATGGCACTATGTGTGTCAAGCAGATGGAATCTTGGTTCCTGGTGGGTTTGGATCACGTGGAATTGAGGGTATGATTGCCGCTGCCAAATACGCCAGAGAGAATGATGTGCCATACTTGGGAGTTTGTCTTGGTTTACAAATTGCTGTTATTGAATTTGTGCGTAATGTATTGGGGGTTGCCAATTCGACGTCTCAAGAGTTTGAAGAGTACAAGGAATCGGATGGGATTGTTCCCTCTGTGGTGTACATGCCCGATGTTGATCAAGTGAAGTTGGGAGGTACGATGAGGTTGGGTATTCATGAAACCAAATTTTCGTCAACTGATTCGCAATGGAGCAACTTGCGGAAATTGTACGGTGGTGCTGACGCAGTGTATGAGAGACATAGACATAGATACGAAGTCAATCCTGACTTGATTGAGCAGATTGAGAATGCTGGGTTGAAGTTTATTGGTAAAGATGAGCTGGGCAAGAGAATGGAGATGATTGAGTTGGATCACAAGTTGCACAAGTTTTTCATTGGTACGCAGTATCATCCTGAGTATTTGTCGAAGGTGTTGGATCCATCTAGACCTTTCTTGGGGTTGGTTGCTGCGTCAGCTGGGATTTTGGAGGATGTGTTGAGTAGAGATGATTTGAATTACAAGGGGGAGTTTTAAATCAAACGAGGTTGAGGTTGAGGTTGAGGTTGGTTGAGGTGGCTGTTGTAATAATTGCATAGAGGTTAATCATTTTGTATACTAGTAATACATGAAGAAGCATAAAGTTTGTATTAGATAAGTCTTAGATTTGATTAGAAGACGATGTGTGGGTGTTTATGAGGCGTGGTTTACTCTTTATTAATAGTTTATTTAATGTAAAGTTGCAGATGCGGCTAAAACAAAGTAATACATAATTTGCATTTGTTTATATTGACGCGTCTTTTTTCTCTCTTTTTTTCTTTTTTTAAACAGATACAGGCGGAAGGAGGGAAGGAAATAATAAAACAGAAACAAGAAACGCAACTTGTAATTGTCATTTGTAATATTGGGATCCTTGTTGTTGTTCCTGTTGAAACTCTGGTTATTATGAAGAGAGGGAAAGGATCAAAACACATGGTATTATAACAGTAATAGTGATAATAATGTATTGAGAAGGACGAAGCAGGCGGGGGGCAGGGGGGTACAAAAGTTATTGTTACTCAGCCACTTGGTATTTTACTTTTATTGCGTATATTGTTACTTTTCTCATCAGTCAGTGTGAGAGTGGGTTTTTGCCAGTAGAGTAGAGTGGAGTAGAGTAGAGTAGAGTAGAGTAAACTAGACCACTACTACTAAAAGTACGTACAACATTTCACCTTCTGCATATTGTTAAAGTGGTTTGTTTTGCCCTTTTATCTAAAGAAGGAGGTTGATGAGTTAGAATGGGAACAACTACATACATTGACTCATGACAAGACAAGATAGTAGAAGCAAATGAACTGTAGATGGAAGTGTCTGTTTTTTTTGATAATGTCTTAAATTCACAAGTTGCGACTTTAATTATAATTTGTGTATAGTTTTTTGTTTACGCGTTTCTTTGTTACTTTTTTTTTTCTTTTTTTTTTTTGTATTATTAACTAAGTAAGTAAGTAAGTAAGTAAGTATATACTACTAGACAACTACTACTAGAAGGGAAGAGTTACATGCAGTACTTACTTAGAAGAAAAAGACACGAAAAAAAAACACACATACATATATATATAAATATATAAATATAAATAAATTTGTGTTGCAAAAACATATAAACAGAAAAAGAAAGAGAAAGAGAAAGAGAAAGAGAGTTGGATCTTCTTTGAAATTCGATTTTTGAACACACGGCAAGTTATCATTAGACCCTCCTCCCCCCCACATAGATTTCAACTTATCATTACTATTATAGACTACTTATACTACTACTACTACCACTACTAGTACTACAGCTACTCCTGCTTCAGTCCACGAGAACCACCACACACATACGCACTTCACCAACCCAACGACAACAACAACAACAACAACAACAACAACAACAACAACAACAGCATCATCATCATCATCATCATCATCATCATCATCATCATCATCATCATCATTACCTATTCATCCACTTAATCCCACTGCACTGACAAACAAACCCAATACCAACAGACACGCACACACACGCTCGTTCCATACTTCTTGCATTCACAGTTATAGAAACAACTAGAGACAACCTAAAAACTACTCCACTAGCAACTTACCAACTACTTACATTCTTTACACTTCATTCGCTTATTGCCATTGCTACAGTTGTCAACTAACTTTTATTCACTCATTTTTCATCTTTGCTCATTCTTTCTCATTGTGCATGCTTAACTAGTGGTATCCATAACTCAAATTTCACACAATCTACATTTACTTAAACAATGGCTACAACTGCACGTCATTCTGTCCCCCGTTTTGACGACAACCATTTACCGTCTGATGCCATGTCATCCGCAAACAACGTCGACAAGGTTGTGCAATCAGTAACAAACGCCACTAAACGATTATCACAAATATCAACTAGCACCAACACTTCTTCCAAAAAGAGAAAATCTCAAAACAAAATTGGACCTTGGAAATTGGGCCGTACTTTAGGTAGAGGCTCCACCGGGAGAGTAAGGTTGGCGAAAAACATTGAAACTGGTCAATTGGCTGCGATAAAGATTGTACCCAAATCGAATTTTAGAAAATTGGAAAATCCAAAGTATAAACACAAACCAGAGTCTGGATCAGAAGAAGACGATGACGCAGTGCAAAGACTACCATATGGAATAGAACGAGAGATTATCATCATGAAGTTGATGTCACATCCAAACATCATGGCATTATACGATGTCTGGGAAAACAAAAATGACTTGTACTTGATTCTTGAATATATAGAGGGAGGTGAGCTCTTTGACTACTTGATCAAAAAGGGTAAGCTACAAGAATTTGAAGCTGTCAATTACTTCAAACAAATCATCAATGGTATCAACTATTTACATCAGTTCAATATCTGTCATCGAGACTTGAAACCAGAAAACTTGCTATTAGACTTCAACAAAAACATCAAAATAGCCGATTTCGGAATGGCTGCTTTGGAAGTGAATGAAAAACTATTGGAAACTTCTTGTGGATCGCCTCATTATGCATCTCCAGAAATTGTTGCTGGTAAAAACTATCATGGAGCCCCTTCAGATATTTGGTCTTGTGGAATCATATTATTTGCATTGCTAACTGGTCATTTACCCTTTGATGATGAAAATATAAGGAAGTTGTTACTCAAAGTGCAAAGCGGTAAATTTGTCATGCCTCATGAGTTGAGTTGGGAGGCCAAGGACTTGATTACAAAGATGTTGAGAGTTGATCCATTGGATCGTATTGAAATTGATTCAATTTTGAGACACCCATTGTTGACAAAATACCCTGAACCAGCCACTTCATTTGCATCAACTACCACACTAGACATTAAATCGATGGATATTAAACCAATACAATCGGTTGAGCAAATGGATAGGGAAATTTTAACCAACTTGTCGGTTTTATTCCACAATTGTGACAAAAGAACCATCATCTCTAGATTAACTTCCCCAGGAAAGAATCCAGAAAAGATGTTTTACTACTTGTTGATGAAGTATCGTAACGACCATCTTGCCAAAGTGGGAGGGACAACTGCCACAAGTGAGACAGTTCAAACCAAATCTGGGAGATCAATGTCAAGATCAACATCAATTGTACATACAATCATTTTTGATGATGCAACTGGCCAACCTATAACCGAAACTACCAATGTTGAACAAGTGAACCAATCAAGCTCCATTTATGAAAACAAATCCTTGTTGAAATCAAAGTCTTCCAAACAAGTTTTGAATAACATTACCAACACCAAGGGAAATGGCGTTGGCACCAAACAATTTAAAGCATCCACTTCATTCAATAGAAAAGGGTCAGCAACAAGTCATAAACACAACACTCAGATTGGCAAGAGTAGCCGTAATACATCATTGCGTTCTCTTAGGTCGAATACCCCAACACCACCAAAACTGAATAGTCCAAATAAAAGTGCACCAAGGAAACCACAACAACCACCTCCTACACTCCTCAATGATGCTGAAATTCCGCAAAGGTCTCCCAAAAGATCAGCAAAGGTTACCAAACTACCAAACAAGCCAGAAAATCAATCAATCTTTAAATTTGAAACGATCTTAGATGAGGTATTTAGTGACACTCAAGACAAGGAGAATGATATTCCTTCAAGGGCAGCATCTACAAATTCACGCCGAAAAAGGGAGGGTGCATTAGCCAGAAGAGAACGTGAGCTTGCTGAAAAAGTCCGCCAACGCAACGAAGCAAGAGAAAGTCGTCTCAGAAAAGAGGAACAGGCCAGACGTGAACTTGAGGAAGAACAAAGGCGTCTTGCTGAACAACAACAGAGACATGAAGAAGAGAAAAGAGCATTTGCAGAGAAGCAGAAATTGGAAGAGGCGCAGAGCTTGCAGGAAAAGCAAAGACAGGCGATTGCCAAATTGAAGAAACATGAGAGCGGTGGCGATTTTGCCGGGCTCTTGAAATCGAATCGAAATTCTGGAGTATTTCCAACTACTGCTCCACCCCCAATCAAGTCTTTATTGGACCCGAGGAACTCACTCGCTCGGGCTAGAACTTTGGGTGCACCTACCCAATCAAAATCCACTCTTGGCACTGCAACTAGTCCACATGTTAATGAAAACACGTCCAAGGTGTTGCACAAGTTTGGAATTGATGTTGCTCCATCGCCAAAGAAGTTTACTAGTGATTTCAAAACTTCGAGTTCGAGAAATTTGTCCTCCTTGTTGAATCAATCGCCATCACCGAATATCAACAAAAGTTTCAAAACTTCGAGTTCAAGAAATTTGGCACAATACTTGCAAGATGAGAATGAGCCCAATAAAAATGACAAAAAGTTGACGATTGATACTTTTAATAAAATTGAGAGTGGAAAGAGCAAGACACAAGCAACAACGCAAGCAACAACGCAAGCAACAACGCAAGCAACAACAACAACAACACCATCACCATCATCGACAGCAAAGGATGCTTCAAGCAGAAGACAAAGTACTCAAAGCTCTTACTACAAATCAATGCTCAATGACATTGATGAGGATAAAGCTCAGGGAAATGTCAAGAAAACGTTTACTCCCTCCATTAAAGAAAGTGACCTCCATAGTTCACGCATGTCCTTGATACCAAACCCGAGGTTCTCGCGCTTTTCATTTGGTGGGTTATTAGAGCCCAAAACTGTAACTAATGAGGAAGGAGATATCACAATCATGAGTCAAACTTTGAACCATTCATCCACTGTTGTCAGAAGGTCCAACAAGTCATCGTCAACGTTTGCCGGGTTAGGAATTAAAGTTAGAGACACGATCAAAGAAGATGATGAAGAAGGAGAAGAAGTGGGTAATGCGCAAGACCACTTTGTTTCTGTCAATACCACTGCCATTGATGATGGCGATCGGTCAGGAAGTGAACGCGGTGAAGGGGCCGACTACAGTTTTGATGACAGTCATTCGGATGCTACAACGGTTGAGTCAAACTATTCGTATGTTGCTCCACCGCAAGAAGAAACCAGTGGTATGTTTTTAGATGCGGATCTTTCCAATTTCGACGTGATTAGTTCTCGAACAGCAGATGTAGGGAAGGTTACCCATCAGAAGCCAAGCATCATTAGCTCAAAGGAGACGTTGGTTGCACAAAGGCGTATCTCGAATGATGAAACGATCCGTGCTGCTGCTGATGATGACAATGGCAATGGTGATGATGATGATCTTCGAAGCTCATTCAGAGCTCATGTGAATGACGGATTTGATGATAATGACGAATACTCGCTTGCTGAGGATTCCAATGCCATTCAGCAACGTGAAGCAGATGAGGGGCAAGATCAAGGTGCGCCAGAGTTTGAGAGTGATTTCAAGAGATCAAGACTTTCAACTGGTATATTCAGCACGGCGCAGTTGCCAAGAAGTCCACATGTTCAACTTGCTGAACCCAGTGGTGATAATGATAGAGCAGATGCAGCAATGAGACGTAAATCGACGTTGAAGGGTCATGTTATCACTAGTCCTGTCCAAGATACATTTGGTACCGAGGACAAACAACCTCTATTCAGACGATTTTCTACGAAAGCGAAAAGGGATGCTCCGAATGTGCCGGTGATTGAATCGGGCCAAGAGCAGGAGCCAGTCCCACAAAAAGGTCATAATCGATTTTCGAGAATCTCTGCTGGATCGAGAAACTTGTTTGACATGCGTAACCAACCGCATCAACAACAGCAGCAACAACAACAACAACAACAACAACAACAACAATCGACAGGTAAGAGCAATTGGTTCAAAAAGTTTTTCCAATCATTGACTGGCTCATCCAAACAGGACAAATCGTCGTCAGCCTCAGAAGCCAAGCTTAATAGATTGACGAATAGAGACATCAAGATTATCGAATCATCACTAAAGTCAACCGACTTGATACGACTTATCAAAGATCAAATGGAATTGAAGGAGCTCGATGGGTCTGTGAACAATGTTGGTATAGATGAAGAGTTTGGGTTGATTACAGGTACGATACCGAAAAAGTTTGCACATGGGAAAAAACTCAAGTTTAGAATTGAAGTGATTGATTTGATCACGTCGTCGTCGTTGCATCTTATGAGAATGGGTGGGAATGAAAAGGGGTTTGATAATTTAGTCAAGATTGTTACATATATCATCAAGAAGGAGGAACAGCATTGGAGGTTGAGAAGTTGATGAAGAATGAATGATTGCATTCGGTTTTAATTTTAGACATTCACTTTTATATACAAAAAATACACTTTTATATATAAAAATTACTTGTACGAGGAGCAACACATCAGTATTGGTTTGACTCCCATACTCTTTCCTCCCAGCTCAGTTCCTCAATGCTCGTAATCTCTCCGCCAACTTATCTTCCTTCTCCTCCAGGATCGCAGTTGACGACACGGGACTCTGGATCTCCACGTTAGTCGCATTCAACCCCTGCTTCATCTCAATACCAGCCTCATCTGCCACCTGATTCAACAACTCATCAACCTGGTCCTGGGGCGTCGACACGGCATTGACGTTATTCGTAGTCGTCTCATAATAATTCGTAGCCGAGTCCAAATCTTCAAACTGATTCTCAAATTTGTCCATCACGAGACTTATCCGCTCCAAATTCATCGTCTGCAACGCTTTGTCCATCCCTCTTATAACTTGCGTCATGTTGCCCGTTACGGAGCGCATGGTGACGGCAGTCTGGACCCGCGATGCAACGGCGTCGATCCGCGAGCTGAGGCGCAAGAGGTTGACGCGCTCGTTGGATTTGCGGATGGCGTTTTGAGCATAGAGCTGCGCAATGTCGTTGTTGCCTTGAGATAATGCCTTTTTGATCTTGGCTTTTTCTTGCGTTTCTTCTTTGGCGGCTTTGGCTGCTTGTCTGTTGAGTTGCTTCGCGGTGAATTTGAGTTGGAAGAGTGATTGTTCTAAGCCGGCCATGCTTGCTTGTGTGTGTATGTGCTTGTGTGTGTGTGCGTGGATATGAGGGATAGGGATGATGTATTGTGATTGAGTTTATATGATGGGCTTGATTGAGTGATGATAATGATAATGGGATTTCTGTCTAATTTTTTTTGGGTGTTCTCGGTTTTTGCGCCAGATTTGTGTTTCAATGTCGTGTCATCTCCATTTCGGTGTCGCAGGGGTTTAAGGAGTGTCACATGTTTGACGTAATGAGTTGAGATCAGGTACAAGTTGCAGCTGTTGCCACTTGCTTTAAAACTCAAGAAATATACTGAAGAGTGGTACGTACTGTGGCGTTGCAAAGGTATCCCCCCATTCTTTGTTGCACAAACCCACATAGGCTCTCCCACGTGAGACCCCGACCCAATTTTTCTGCACGTTTTCTCTATGAACAAAAAAAAAAAAAAAAAAAATTGCAAATTCCTATCACCATCAAACCTCACTTCTCTTCAACCATTCATAATGTCAGCTCCTTGTAATTGCAAACATGCAGAACCAGCTGCAGTCCCACCATCATCATCAGCCTCCAATCTATCAGCGTTATCCCCAGACCTTCAAAAGGAGTTTCAAGATCCACAACATCCAGCCAACTTGATTTGCGAACTATGTCGCTTATTCTACGACAACAATTGGGTCACTGGGACCGGAGGCGGGATATCAATCAGAGATGTAGATGGACCAAATCCCAACTTGGTATACATTGCTCCATCGGGGGTGCAAAAGGAGAGGATCCAACCTTGGGAAATGTTTTTGGTGGAGTTGCCAAATGAAAAGTTGTTGCGTACACCCAATGACGTTCCTGAAGAATTGACCAAAAAATACAAGTACAAGCCTAGTGCATGCACGCCTTTATTTATGAGTTGCTATAAGATGAGAGATGCCGGTGCTTGTATCCACACCCACTCTCAAAGTGCCGTTATGGTGACTTTATTATTTGAAAACAAAGACTATTTCGAAATCAGCCATATTGAACAAATCAAGGCCTTGCCTAAATTGAAGTACAACAAGGAAACTGGTAAAGTGGAGAAAACTGGCAGCATGGAGTACTATGATAGATTGGTGATCCCAATTATTGAAAACACTCCTCATGAAGAGGACTTGACTGATTCTTTGCAAGACGCAATTAGGAAATACCCAGGAACATCAGCCGTGCTAGTCAGAAGACATGGAATTTATGTGTGGGGTGAAACTGTGTGGAAAGCTAAAGTTTATAACGAAGCAATTGACTACTTGTTGGAGTTGGCAGTCAAGATGCACCAGGCTGGGATTCCTTTAGTTAAAAGTTCGTAGAACAAAAACAATGCATAGGTCCTGTATGATATAGACAATGCGATCAATTTCCTTCTGGAGTGACTATTATAGTGGATTCTTTGTAGTTTTGAGAGGTGATCCTTTCATCTCCAACCAATTGATTTTGGCATGCAACACATCATCAATCTCTCCAATGCAAACAATTTCATTACCTCTCAAGATATTCACACCACTCGGTATCGCCTCGTTGGTTTCGTCACTCTCGTGTGCTGGATAGATTATTCGCTCGATGCTGTTGCTGAGTATTATGTTGGTGTTTTTGTCGAATCCTTCTAGCACCCCTTCGAAGAACCGAGCGTCGGTTGTAATGACGTGGACTTTTTCTAAAGTGATGAGTGTTAGTAATTAGCTCAAGTAGTCAATTCATGGATAGTGATTATTACGTACTTCCCACGAATGATGCGAGTTCAGACATCTGAAGCGTTGTTGAGTGTGGATTCCCTGTTGTTGTCATGTATTTGTCGCTATTTTTGTTGTTTTTGTTTTTCTATCTCTTTTTTTTTGCAATGGACTTTCACTGGGTGGGAGGTGGGTTGACAGAATGCATAATGTAGAGTGCCTCATTATATATACTTGCTTAACTAATCATCATTATCCTTTTAGGAAGGACTTGAAGAGAAGATCCTGTGTATAGCTCATCTCACCGATTCCCTTTGGAATCCCAGACGTAAGCATAAGAAGAAAGTTGACATGATAGGTTTGATCAAGTAGACGCTTGCAAAAGAACTGTAGAATAAACGAACGCCAGTTGTTCCTATCCACTTTTACTTAGATTGTGATTACTGGGCTGGTTGGATGTGTATCCAAGTATAGAAAGGGAGAACTGCCTCGTAGCCAGGGAGATTCAACTTGAGAAAACATCATTATGATAGTATTGCGAGCTGCTCCTCATGAGCTTCAATTGGTAAATAGCTTACTTCCACACATTTGAGTCGCAACAACTGCTGTCGTCGTTCATTTTACTCTGGTCAAAAAAAAAAAAACGCTTTCCTACTAAAGTGTTGAATGACATACAGAAGTCCGTGTTGGTGCTTATCAGTGTACACAGTGCTCATTAGTACTTGAAAATTCTTTCGTTCTTCTCATTAGGTGCCTCATCGACGTAGAGGCTGTTCTTGGTCTGGTATGAACATCTTCCCGAACTTGACATTGGAATAGATTTTTGTGTCTAATTGAATTTCTTTTCTTTTTTTTTGTTGTTTTTTGTTTTTTTTTTTTCTGACTTCTTTTCGGTCTTTCCTAAAAAATTTTTCTTTTCCTTTTTTTTTTCTTTTTTTTTTTTCGCAGCTTTCCAACAATGCGGAGGATGAGGATGAGATTGCAATTAATCCGCTCTCATCATCTAAAAAAATATCCCCAAAATATCTTATTCATAATCTTTCCCACTAGTATCTGCATAACACTACTTTTCTTGGAAGGTGAACAGCATTTTACTTTAACCGCCATTCCTTTTCCAATTGCATTATGAATACAGAAAAGAAAATTGAGGAGTCGGATCTACTGTTTCGTGAGTCAAACACATCAGCTGATCAAAAACAAGGCTTCTGGACTTCTTTCAAAGATTCATTCAAACCACCAATAAATGAAAAACAAACTCAAAAGATTGATATAGACGAAAAGGACCATTTGACAGATGTGCAAAGAATCAATCTCAATTCAGCTAACCAGGACTTGCGTCGAGAGTTAAAGACTAGACACTTGCAAATGATTTCCATTGGATCGAGTATAGGAACAGGGTTGTTTGTGGGAACAGGGACAGCATTGCATACTGGAGGTCCTGCTGCCATTATAATTGCCTGGTTCCTCGCTGCCTCAGCTGTGTTTTCAACAATGCAAGGGTTGGGTGAGTTGGCTACAACTTTCCCCGTCAGTGGTAGTTTCAATGTGTTTGCCAGCAGATTTGTTGAACCGGCAATTGGATTTGCGGTGGGCTGGAACTATTTCTTACAGTACTTTACGTTGTTACCATTGGAGTTGGTTGCTGCGGCAATCACTATACAGTACTGGGACACAAATGTCAACTCAGATGTATTTGTAATCATATTTTGGCTAGTCATCACATTCATAACCCTTTTTGGAGTAAAAGCCTTTGGTGAGGTGGAGTTTGTACTATCGACTCTCAAGATATTAGCCGTTATTGGGTTTGTTGTATTGGGCATTGTGTTAATTGCAGGTGGTGGACCTACACACGAGTTTGTTGGTGGAAAATATTGGCGAAATCCAGGACCATTTGCTGCTGGGTTCAAAGGTGTAGCTTCGTGTGTTGTTACCGCTGCGTTTTCATTTGGTGGCACAGAAATGGTTGGATTAACTGCTAGTGAAACATCAAACGTTCGTCAATCGTTGCCCAGGGCCATAAAGCAAGTGTTTTGGAGAATTGTGCTTTTTTATTTTGGGTCATTGATTATGATTTCGTGTTTGGTTCCGTATAATGACAAGAGGTTATTGGGACTGAGCTCTGTCGATGCGACTGCATCCGCTTTTACGATAGCCATTATCAATGGAGGCATCAAAGGATTGCCAAGCGTGATCAATGCCGTCATTTTGGTGTCAGTTTTGTCAGTCGGCAACACCTCAGTCTATGCTACTTCAAGAACTTTGAAATCGTTGGCGGAGCAAGGTATGGCTCCAAAATTGGTTGGTTACGTTGATCGTGCTGGTAGGCCCATTGTTGCGATAGGTATCACAAATGCGTTTGGCTTGTTTGCGTTAATAGCTGCCAATAATAACGCGCAGCAATCGGCATTTGATTGGTTGTTGGCAATCTCAGGATTGTCATCCATTTTCACTTGGATTTCCATCAACTTGGGTCATATTAGATTCAGAGCAGCTATGAAAGCCCAGGGGAGAACCATTGATGAGTTACCATATGTGGCACAGTCAGGTGTTTGGGGATCTTATTATGGAACATTGGTGAACATTTTGTTTCTTGTTGCTCAATTTTGGATAGCATTATTCCCATTGGGAGAGTCACCCAGTGCGTACAATTTCTTTTTGAACTATTTGGGTTTTCTTGTGTTGATTGTGTGTTGGGTAGGTTATAAGATATGGAAGCGTGATTTGAGGTTGTATTTACCGATTGCGGAGATTGATATTGACACTGGACGGGCAGATGTCGACATAGATTTGTTGAAACAAAAGGTTGAGTTGGAGAGAGAAGTGTTGGCAAAGAAGCCATTTTATGTCAGGTGCTATAGATTTTGGTGTTGATAGGGTATGTTTTAGTAGAATATTGTACCTTACATAAACGTAATAGATGGAAACTCCAGTGGATTAAAAAAAAGGTCTATCTGCTCAATCGCCGTACCTTGAAGAGGAGGTGTGAAGTTTTGTCGTGTGTTGCAAAACAGAAACAAAAATCACTTTAGCATTGATACCACACACCACAGACATGCAAAGTAGAACAAACAAAGCACCCAAGAGCGGTACAGACTACTCAAGCGAGCTGGAATCATTTTTCTCTACATTACTTGGAAAATCGCAAGAGACACAACCCACGCAGACAAAGATAAGTAAAGAGTCAGCCATTTTGATACAAAGTGCTGCTAGATTGGAGCTAGAGTCAATTACATTGAAAGAGAGTCTAGCAAAAGCAAACGAAAGCATCGAAAAATTTTCCAAAATGCCGTTTCATGAATTGCTTGAGTCTATCAATCAAGTAAAAAAAGACCTTGCTGAGATGAGGGCCGAGACCAACACCAATCAATCTCATTTGCAAACAGGACTCCAAAAAGTGGCTGTCAATACTGAGTTAGTAGATTTAATTTCAAAATCAACTACGAGCCAAGAGAAAGTGTGCCACATTGTGGATGAAAATATACAAGCTCTTGGGTCATCAGCAGAGAAGATTTTGGCCGAAACCTCATCAATCCATGACAAACAGCAACATCAGAACCACACTATTGGTAGTATCTCTGACCATTTAGTATCCCTAGACGATGGCATCAAGGATATAAAACAGTTTTTAAGTCTATTGTTACCACGATTGATTACGGTGGAGAAGCTTGTTGTTCTGCTTCAGTCACAAACGCAGGCGACACTCGCCTCTTCGAAGGATAATGAATCACCGGGGAAGCCAAAGCGGCGAAGATTGGAATAACAAGAAATAAACGAGGCATCTTGTTCCGAGATGAAAACTGCTTTTGTGCAAAAAGAGATCAAAGTGCCATGACGAAACTGTTTTGGTTTGACAGAGAGGGCATTTCAATGATTTTAACGCATTTGTGTAGCTTTCTTTTTTTTTTTTTCTTGTTTTGCAGCTCAAAGGCATTTTGGCAGAATTTTCATCCATTTTTGTGTTTACGAGACGGCGTTAGTTTCTCTACAGGAATCAAACACGGGAATAAACGCAGAGTTAAACCACCGCTAGGTCAAGCATTTCAGAATATAGCTGCGAGATGACTCATTTTCAACAAGTTTGCCTTTTGAAATCTATAAAAAGGGGGGTTGATTTCCCTATGACGCATCAAATGGAAAATTCTCCATTCTCGAGGTTACTCAGTCTCAATGCTACAAGAATGTAAAAAGCATTTCGCCACACCTCTTCTTCTCTTCTCATCTTCTCAACATGACCATGAATTCGGAAAAGAAATCAGTAGAGTCCAATTTGGTCACCCATGATTCCATATTCTCGCCCTCCGACCAAAAGCAATCACTATGGGTCTCATTCAAAGACTCGTTCAAGCCAGCTATAGAGACCGACCACACATTGAAGACCAACCACGACCTAGCCAATGCCGATAAGTTAACCGACTTGGAAAGGATCAATCTCAACTCCGCCAACTCAAGTTTACGTCGAGACTTGAAATCGCGACACTTGCAAATGATTTCCATTGGATCGAGTATAGGAACAGGGTTGTTTGTGGGAACAGGGTCAGCATTGAACACGGGTGGACCTGGCGCGATAATGGTTGCGTGGGTGGTGACTGCCACGGCTGTGTTTGCCACGATGCAAGGGTTGGGTGAGTTGGCTACAACTTTCCCAATCAGTGGTGGATTCAATGTTTATGCAAGTCGGTTCATTGAGCCCGCCGTGGGGTTTGCCGTGGGATGGAATTACTTTATGCAATTTTTTGTCTTGTTGCCGTTGGAACTCGTCGCTGCCGCGTTGACCATACAGTATTGGACCTCAAGTATAAACTCAGATGTATTTGTGATTGTGTTTTGGTTCGTGATTACAATCATCACCATGTTAGGAGTGAAGGCGTATGGTGAAGCGGAATTTATATTCTCGACAATCAAAGTGCTTGCTGTCATTGGGTTCATTATCTTGGGAATCGTTTTGATCGCGGGAGGTGGACCTACACACGAGTTTGTTGGTGGAAAATATTGGCGAAATCCAGGACCATTTGCTGCTGGGTTCAAGGGAGTCGCTTCTTGTATTGTTACGGCAGCATTTTCGTATGGTGGCACAGAAATGATTGGATTAACTGCTAGTGAGACTTCCAATGTCCGTCAAGCTCTACCAAGAGCCATAAAGCAAGTGTTTTGGAGAATTGTGCTCTTTTATTTTGGATCGTTGACAATGGTTTCTTGTTTGGTTCCATACAACGATAAAAGATTGTTAGGTCTGAGTTCTGTGGATGTGTCAGCTTCAGCATTCACCATTGCCATTATCAATGGAGGCATCAAAGGATTGCCCAGCGTGATCAATGCCGTCATTTTGATCTCAGTCTTGTCAGTGGGAAATGCATCGGTATATGCTACATCCAGATCCTTGAACTCATTAGCCGAGCAAGGTATGGCTCCGAAATGGATGGGATACGTCGATCGTGCTGGTAGACCATTGGTTGCTATTGGTCTTACTAATGCGTTTGGATTATTTGCATTGATTGCCGCGGATCGAGACGCCCAGGAGTCGGCATTCAATTGGTTACTAGCACTCTCTGGGCTTTCTTCTATCTTCACTTGGATGAGCATCAATATAAGCCATATAAGATTCAGAGCCGCATTAAAAGCACAAGGAAGAACCACTGATGAATTGCCATTTGTCTCACAAGCAGGAGTCTGGGGATCCTACTACGGACTAATCTTGAACATCTTGTTCCTTGTGGCCCAATTTTGGATCGCGTTATTCCCTCTAGGTGGAAACCCCAACGCTTATGATTTCTTTTTGGCGTATTTAGGGTTCCCAGTGGTTCTTGTGTCGTGGTTGGGTTACAAGATCTGGAAGCGTAATTTGAAGCTATATTTGAAAGCTGAGGAGATTGATATAGATACAGGACGTGCTGACGTGGATTTGGACTTGTTGCAACAACAGTTGGCAGAAGACAGGGCCGAATTAGCGGAAAAGCCACTTTATTATAGAGTGTATAAATTCTGGTGTTGATACGATACTGTACTGTATAGTAAAAACTGGCAACAGTAATACGGCATTTAAAGAGAGAGAGAGAGAGAGAAAAAAAAAAAAAATTAAAAAAATTAAAATTATTCAGATGCAGAAGATCAACTGCAAAAACAGTAAGTGGATTCTACAGATCTAAATTACATTACGGTTTTGTTATTACTATGACGCAAGACCCCACTTTGGTGGAAAGGGTTGAGTATATTTCAATAAACGACAGTCAGCCAGAGGAGCCAGGTCCAGTGGTACCGCATGAAAGGCAAATTGTGGATCAAGTCATTGCGATTTGGAAGGAAGACCCTACAACCGAAAATCTTGGTGTTCCCAAACTACATGCAATAGTCAAGCAAAAACATCCTAACTGGACAGTTTCCGAAAAGAGAGTCAAACAGTTGTTGAAAAAATTTGGACTTTTGAGTAGTCAAGAACAGTATACATATGCCAAGGATATCAAGTCGGAATTGACACCGGATATCGAACTCCCGCCAAAAGTTCAAGTAGTTATGACTTCGAAAAGAGGCAAGTGCTTGTATGCCAAAAAGCCGATAAGCAAAGATGAATTGATTTGGAGTGAAGCACCATTGTTTTTTGTGCCCCCCTTGGCCAATGTCCATTTGGTTGAGCATGGATCGGCTTGTGCTAATTGCGGTAAGCTTTTGCAGCAAACTGAAATGAAGACTGTGTTGAAAGGATTGGATTGTGATGTGTGTGCGGAAGTCTGGTGCTCAATCAAATGTAAACAAATGGACGCCCAGTTGCATGGGACATTGAAACACAACGTGTTTAACCCGAGTTTGAAAAAGCCTAAAATTGTGGACTCAAACGCGTTTTTGGAGCTACAGGAATACTGTTTGAAGGAGTCATGGAATGCATTGTATGCAATAACTTTAATCTATGCAAATATGTTGTTGGATAAGCTGGGTGTCAAGCAGAAACAATTTAATGCCATGGCAAGAGTTTCTCAGGATGTTAGGTACAAAGCATTGGATTCTGGTGGAGGATCATTTGACAACATGAACGGTGGTGCACTTTTTGTTCAAGAGCAGCAGGAAACTTTATGGAAGGAAGGGTATGAGAAGTTTCTTCGAGTTTTCCCCAAAGATCCCATTTCGTATAAGGAGTTTTTGCTCTTCATGGGAACCTATAACATCAACAACCTTGATTCTAGTGTATTTTTAACTCAATCACATTTGAATCACAACTGTGATCCCAACACCACCGTCGACACGGCGCTGGATCGTATTTCCGGGTTGAAAGTTTATGCCAAAAGGGACATTAAGGAAGGTGAAGAATTGACAACTACATATGTCAACCCCAGCCATACACTTTATCAAAGACAACGTGAATTGAGAGTCAATTGGGGATTTATATGTACTTGTAACAAGTGCAAGAGTGATGCTAAGGAGTCCGAGAGGAGGAAATCTTCGTCTTCTTCGAAAAAGCAAGATGCAAAAGATATTCGAAATATGTTGAAGGAGACCAAAAAACAGGTTGGCGATGGTGAAATTGAGTTGGAAATTCCTCACGACAATAGCACGGAGCGTAGAAAGTCGGTCAGATTCGATGAAACTGTTGTTGCTGTTAGCAATTGATGTATTAAACGATTTGTAAAATACAGGGACATATTCTTGTAATTCATCCAAATGTAGAAATGGTAACGAAGCAGTAGCCGAAAAAAAAAAAAAATAACAATAATAATAATACTTGACAAGAATCAACGAAAAAATTATTTTCACTTCGTTTGTATCAGCTGTTCTACATCATTTGGGAGACGTACAATGGACACATATGAAGAGGCAAACTATATACAGGAGGACGGTCAAGTACCAAGATATGATGACGAGCAACCCAGTCTCGAAAATTCAACAGATATTCCTCCTCATATAAGCAACCCTCAAGGGTTTGAAGAGTCGCTACATCACCAACACCAACAATTTGAAGGCAACGAAGCTCAGGTAAACCAAGAAGAAGAGGCGGAACAATATGAGGGGGACGAGGAAATCATACCCTCACACCAAACAATAGTTGACGAGTCTGAACTACTTGCCGCCCAAGCTGCCGCTGAAGCTGCTGCTGCCGCCCAACAACAAGAGCCCGGTGACGTATTCAACAACGTAGGCCAAGGGTTAGAGGGCCCGCATCGTGACATGATGATGCAGTACTGGCAGGAGACTATAAACTCTATCGAGCATGACGAACACGATTTCAAGAACCATCAGTTACCGTTGGCAAGAATCAAGAAAGTGATGAAGACGGATGAAGATGTCCGGATGATTAGTGCTGAAGCGCCAATTCTATTTGCGAAAGGATGTGATGTTTTCATCACGGAGTTGACAATGAGGGCTTGGATCCATGCTGAAGAGAACAAGAGGAGGACTTTGCAGAAATCGGATATTGCTGCTGCTTTGACCAAGAGTGATATGTTTGATTTTTTGATTGATGTTGTGCCTAGAGAAGAGGAGAAACCGTCAAAGTAGGTAGGTAGCTGGGGACGTGCTATTAGGGAAAGGTGTCGTTTTTTGTTCTGTGTTTTGTATTATTATTTGTAGCTGCCATTGAGATGATCCATGCCAATGGAGTATAACACAATGAAAAGTTAGGAGTAGAGTAAGAGAGATTGTAGGGTAGAGGTAATACAACACCGTGGTGTAATTTGTGGTTTTGCTGCGAAATCCAGGACAGGACAAAACCAAACAAATGAAGTCAGATATTTAGGAAAGTTGAATTCATACGCTTCAATTCCGAAGACGGAAAGAGTTTCAATTCGGCGTACGGATGTGAATCCCGGCACTTGCTCTATATCCTTTTAGTAGCTATGCTTAGTTTATGATATTCCAGGTACCACGTTTGTTGTCCAGAACAAGGTCGTGTAATTTGTTACTGAAAATATCATATAGTGGTTGTCGTGGTGGTTGTGGTGGTGGTGGGTGCCGAGCCACACAAAATCCTTTTCTTTTTTTTTTATTTTTGTAAAATTGCTGGAACGTCATAAACGGATGATTGGGGTGAACCAAGGCAATATCAACGAAACGGTCAAACATACTACACCAAAAGAAGACCAATTACCAGCCAAACAGAGCACATTTTTCCATTCACAGTGAGCCACACAAATATCAATTGCTACTGTGTGAATCTTCATACTTATTTTGCTGTGTATATATGATATCATCAATTTTTCATTTGATTGCTATATCAACTTGCACTTCTCACTAATTACTAATTGCGAGCGATATAAATTAAAGAGTTTATCGCCAAAACAAAACAACCCTTTGCTGTTACCCCTTCCTTTTTTCTTCTTCTTCTTCTTCTTCTTCTTGCTCTTCATGTTGAACAAGCTATCATCAACAGCCATACTAAACCCACTACCAGTTAGAAGAGCCAGTACTACTCATTCTTTGTTGAAATCAATTGCTACAACAAACACCAATTTTTCTCGATCTTTGTTTCACAGACATTCCACTAATAGACGCTATAAAGACTCAAGCAACTTTAACACTTTACTCACTTCTAAAATGACTTTGATCACCATTTCGCAATCTTTGGATGAAGCCTTCACCAAGAACAAGATTGTTCCTGATGTTGTTGATGATTTTGAAACACAAGGATTATTGTCAATTGAGTACGGACCTACTGAATTGGTCACTTTGGGAAACACTTTACCTGTTTCCGGTACACAACACCAACCAAAGATCCAATTGACCTTGAACTCCCCAACTGAAGATGGCAAAATTGAGTCGATTGGCGAACAAGACAAGTTCATCTTGGTCTTGACTGATCCTGATGCACCTTCAAACAGCGATCACAAGTGGTCAGAATATTTACACTGGTTGGTGACTGATATCACTTTGCCCAACTTGAAGACTGAATCTGGTGAGCCAGAAATCAGCCATTTTATTGATGCTTCAAGCGGTAAGGTGGTTTTCAAGTACGAAGGGCCCGGACCACCACCAAAGACTGGTAAGCACCGTTATGTGTTTTTGTTGTTTAAGCAAGACCCAAAAACAATCACTTTTGAAAAACCAAAAGATAGACCAACTTGGGGAACTGGAACTCCGTCGAGTGGAGTTAGAGACTGGATCAAAGCAAACGCACCAGGATCAAAATTGTTGGCTGTGAACTTTTTTTACGCCCAAAATGAAGACAACTAAGGGGGTACTGTGTACACAATGTATCAATTATAAGTCTATATATAAAGGAAAACTTCTTTTGTTTCAGTAATGTTTACTATCCACTCTATATATTCTTTGCGGCTCGACTGTAATCTTTTGGACTTATGACCAACCCTTTCCCCTTTCTTGCACCGCGATAAATTGTCTCAATTATATCAATCAATTCTTGTTTATCGTAAATGGGGAAATTCAACTTATTGTTATTACCAGTACCAAAATCACACAACATGTGTTTATTTCGATAGAAAAACATTAAAGTGTACGGCTCATTCTTATTCTGATCTAGTTCATACATAAAGTTGAAGTCGGGCACTTTATCCAAATTGACCAAATAAATAACGGCAAAGTTTTTCACCTTGTCAGCTATGGAGAATAGCAATTCATCAATAATCATGCATGGTGTTTCTTCTTCTCTACCGAAACGAAGCACAACTACTCGGTCATCCTCGGATAAGATTGCTTGATCAACGTGCCACCCTGTGCGTAAATTAGGGAGGAAAACTGAGCCCATGGTTATGTTGTTTAAAGGGGGAGGGAGGGGGGAAGTGTGCTAATGTTTTGCAAAGGGATATATGTAGAATCAAGCAGATGCTGCTGCGGGGTGAGCTGGGAAGTTTGTTTGTTCTAAAGAGGTATGTGATTGATGCAATGACGTAGTGAGAAATGGCTCTAGATTTTCTTCCGCTTTGTGCGATGGGATATAATTGGGTAGCGTTGCGAACAGCTTTCCTTTCCAGAGCAATGTGTACAGAGCAAAGAGCATAAGCTTGCAGGTGCTAGTTAAAGATGTAACCTCAAGCAGACAAGTAGAGAAGCTGGATTTTGGTCTAGACCATTCAATCAAAGTACGCCTGACTAGATATATAAGTTGAAGGAAATGTGTTCATTTCGCCAGTCTAGCTCGTCCCTTCACCACCAATTAACAACACAACCAAACAATGTTACAAGACATCAAATCTAAACAGCAATTAGCTTCTGCTCTACAATCGCAATACCAAACTTCCGAAACAACGTCAAGAAAGACCGACACTGGCGTTAACCCGGGCACTTCATCAAGAACCAAGATTCAATCCAAGGCAATGGATATGGCATCCAACATTGGTTTAGGTTCAGGCTCACGCACTTCTAATCAAGATCACGTTATTGTTGTTGACTTTTTCGATGATTGTGATAACTGTTCACAGATCAATTCCAAGTTGGAGGAGTATTCCAATTGGTATCGTGATAATTCCAAACCAGTCGATTTCTACAAGGTTAATGTTCAAGATAGAGAACTGAAGTCGTTTGCTAGTGAGTATTCGATTGATTCAATTCCAACTGCGTTATTTTTCAAGAAGGGTAAGTTGGTTGATAAAGTTGTTGGAGCTCAGCCTGCTGAAATTAAAAAGGTTTTGGACAATGATTTGTTGTAAGTAGGGTGAGGTGTGGTGGGCGGTTGTTATTTAGTTTCGCTTTGTTTTCGGTCTGCTGGGAGGCAGTATTTTCTTTTCTTTTAGTTTCGGTTCTAATCTTGAATAGCTCTATCTATTGCCTAATAGCTAGACTAATGTATGTTCCTTATAATTGCTTGTGTATGGTAAGTAGCCATTGGAAAGCAACAAGTGTTCTGAAGGCACCACTCACTTTTGTGAGCATTCGTCGGCTCTCTCGCAACATTTACGCTATGTATGGTTGTCTTTACAATCTCTTCCTTTCGAGGACTCTAGTTTTGAAACATGGGGAACGATCCCAAAGTCACACAAACCTACAAACCACAAAACGTATCGCGATAGTAAAGATGAAAAAAAAAAAAAAAAAAAATTTTCCGATGATTGTCCTTTGCACAAGCTTACCTCCTACGTCCACTACTCCGACAACAGCACTAAATCATGACGGAAATCAACTTGGGTATTACTGCTGACATGCACGTACACTTGCGTGATGGCGCCATGTGTAAATTGATCACCCCTACTGTCCGCTCTGGAGGAATTGCAATTTGCTACGTGATGCCAAATCTTGTACCACCAATTACAACCAAACAACAAGTTATTGACTACCACGCGCAGCTTACCAAACTCTCTCCAGAAACCACTTTTTTAATGAGTTTGTACTTGTGTAAAGAGTTGACCCCGCAATTTGTTGATGATGTTAGTCATTTAATCCACGGAATCAAGTGCTACCCAGCTGGTGTTACTACAAATTCAGCACTGGGAGTTGACCCCAACGATTTCAGTTCGTTCTATCCCTTATTTGAAGTGATGGAAAAACGTGGGTTAATTTTAAACATTCATGGAGAAAAAGCACATTTATCAAAAGAGGAGGAGGCTAGAGGCAACGTTGAAGATGAGATCAATGTGATAAATGCAGAACCCAAATTCCTTCCTGCATTGCGCAAATTGCATGCAGACTTCCCCAAATTGAAAATCGTATTGGAACACTGTACAACCCATGAATCTATTGCCTTGATCCGTGAATTGAACAAGGGTAAGACTGCCAATGATGAGATATATGTATCCGCAACAATCACTGCGCACCATTTGTATTTGATAATTGATCAATGGGCTGGCAATCCAATAAATTTCTGTAAGCCAGTGGCCAAATTCCAAAAGGATCGTCAAGCTTTGATCGATGCTGCAACCAGTGGTGAGCCTTGGTTCTTTTTCGGTTCTGATTCCGCTCCACATCCAATACACAAGAAGCAAGTTCATGTTGGTGTTTGTGCGGGTGTTTATACTCAATCCAATGCTGTTGCGTATGTTGCTGAAGTGTTTGACAAGCAGGGGAGATTGTCCAATTTGAAGAAATTTATCAGTGATAATGGAGTTAACTTCTACAATTTGAAATCGGATATTATTGAAAAGCATAAGGAAGAGAGTGTGTGGTTGGTTGAGAGAAGCAATAACGTTCCTGATGTGATTGGAAATGGTGAAGTTGAGGTTGTCCCTTTCAAGGCTGGGGAAACATTGAAATATGCCGCTGAGTGGAGAAAAAATTGAAAAAGTGAAGAAGCGGGTTTTGAACAGGCCAAGACAGTGGCACTGACCAGTTCCAATGTTGGAGCGGTTATGATTTGTGCTACAAGTAAACAGTGCCTCTTTTTCGTAAGCAAACAATTGAATCTAGGGCCCTTTGTAGAGAAACTAATAGCGGCATACGTATTTCTTGTTTTGTGTCTTTGTGTACTCGCTTTCCCTCCTCAAGTAGCGTGGCTACTATATGCCCTGCGTTTATAGCACTACGTCTAATATCGTTTACCCCACAAGACAAGATGGCAGTGGGATTTCTAAAGATTCCCTGGTGGTAGAAGTTTGTAAGAAATGCATTTTCTAAAAGCCAAAACGAGTGGTCTGTATTGTAAATCTAATTTCGAACTGCAATTTTTTTTTACTTTTTTTTTTTTTTTTGAGTTTTTCTTCAATTTTCGGTATGCAAAAGTTGCCACATATGCAACTCCGGCGTGAGAGTCTACGGCATTCACAAAAACAAGGCTTTGCGGAACGGAACTCCGAACGCATTCAGTGTGGAATAGAATTGGAACTAAGAATATGTGGCCCGAGCTGGCCTCAAGAAGCAGATCTTCATCTTACTTGTAAATCTCTGCTCGTAGTACATTTCTGCTCTCGTGTGAAAGCCAAATGCAGGTTACAGCTACACAGGCTCAGCGGTTAAAGATCTACAGAAGAAATTTGCACGTGCAATTCACGTCCTATATATATATAGATCTTTTTCTCAAAACATTTTTTTTATTTGCCTGAATGCGGAAATTTTTCTTTTTTTTTTTGCCGGCTAAAAGCGGACTCTCAAAACAAAATCAACTCACACGACCCAATTTATAGAATACAGAAAGATAGTGCAAAAATAACACATCCCCCTCGTTGGATTAGCTGTTTTTGATCTACAATCAATAGGACAGAATGTCATTAGCGAAACAAAGAGGGAAAAGAAATCAAAAAAGAAAATAATGTGATTTCGGAGTTTCTATTGATAGGGTCTAAAGACAGAGGTCTTTTGGAGGATAGTGCAAAAAATCAAGGAGTTTGCTTAAAAAAGCGATAGCCCACGTGTGCTCAAATATTCAATTGCCTTACACAAATGTAGTAACTAACAATACTAAAGATGGCTTTGAACAGCAGGCGGTTATTGTTTGAAATCGTTTGTGTGCGTATTGCAAAGACAATACATATGCAATATGGGTTAAAAAATAAAAAAATAGAGTTGGTTACGGATGACTTTCAAAAAACCCCAATTTTGTCAATGGCTTTGAGATGGGTAGAAAACCCACGTGCATCTTCGAAAAAGGGCCACTAGCGCAACAACGCAACCAGAGACTAAAACATCCAGACGGGTATAATCTTAATCGAAACCACAGAACCGCTAGCAATATTTCCGCTCCAGTCAAAATATGACACACTTCAATGCAAAGAAGGAAAAAATTAAAAATAAAACCTTAAAATTTGAAAGGCACGATTTAAAATTTTCTTAATCACAGGGTCCCAAAGAGTTGAGATATTGGGATATCAGAGAGAGAGAGAGAGATAGAGAGACGTGATTTAACGAATAGCTCAGCCGCATGAGCAATGTTGTAATGTCACATGTGTGAAGAGACCGGTTATGCACCACAAACAAGTCCACAGCTTTCACTGCCAATTTGCAGAGCGCTTGAACGAACATAACCAAAAGCGGAGAACTTTGAAAGAGCTACAAAAGAGGAAATTTTAAAAAAATATACAAAAAAAATCATCAAGAAAAGAAGTGGTGTGCTGTGGGCTATTCGCATATGTTGAATCATGCGCATCCTTCTGTTTTGTTGTGTTCTCACAGAGCTCACACTGAGGAAGAGTACCCTCAAGAACCGCCCCTTTGCAGCGAAAATAAGCATAAACCCATAGCACATTTGTCACGCCATGTCTTTGCCCTTCTCAAAACCCTCGCATGCAGGCGGATGGAATGTGTCGGAAATACAAAATTGGCACGATCTTCTTTCAATTGCACAAAGGTGTCCATGACATAATGTGATGTCTAATTTTGGTCCATTAATTGGTTGGATCTTTGTAAGCATGTGTTCCATTATCTCGTTTCTTTTTTGCTTCCTATAAAATTTTTTTTTTAATTTTTGTTTTTTTTTTAAAATGCTCTTTTTGTGATACATGTTTTTTTTAATTCAGTTTAAACGCCAGATTTATGTGCATGTTCAGTAGCGCCCACTGTCTATTTCATTTGCTGCTTTAAGTAAATTAATATAAATATGTCAAATTCCAAACCGAATTTTATCTTCACGTACTTTTTAACCCATTGATTGAGCTAAGACAGCCGCAGCAGCACCACCACCACCACCACTACCACCACCACCACTACCACTGCCACTACCACCACCCCCTATATTTCCATCTTTGCTACTAATTCCACTTTGATAACAAAAGATGGCCTCAAGAGATTTACCACATAGTTTCAGAGAAGCTTTTTTTGGATGGGCTGAGAGGATTCCCCTGGAAATAACCATATTCAAATCCAAGCAGCAGTTACTTGATGAGGATGCACACAACCCTCAATTCCATGCCAAGCAAGATAGTTCCAACTTATCTGACAAAACTTCATCCTCAGACCTTCAAGCGGGCGAGTCGGATTACGAAGCACCTCCTAGCAAAGTCCATGTCAATAACTTGTGGCCAGCTTTTGCTTCTGGTGCTGGTTTGTTTTCAGATGGTTATGTCAACAACTCCATTTCTGTTGTCTTGTCTTGTTTGAAGATGATTTACGGTGATGAGTTTAGCAAAAGTAATGCCATTTCAAATATCAGTTCTATTGCGTTTGTAGGTACCGTGGTGGGACAGTTAGGATTTGGGTATATTTCCGATAGGGTTGCCAGACGAGGTGGTATGATGGCAGCTAATGTAATGTTGATTGTGTTTACTTTGTTGTGCGCAGTTGGATCTTGGGGTACGACTACTCAAGGGTTCTTTGCCTGTTTGACTGTATGGAGGTTCTTTTTGGGTGTTGGTATTGGTGCCGAATACCCAACGAGTTCGGTGATTGCTTCGGAGTTTGCTAACCAATTGCCGGCTGGTAAGAGAAATAGATACTTTTCTTGGTTCACCAATGCCATGATTGATGCCGGTTTTGTTGTTGCTGCTTTTGTTCCGTTCGTTTTGATTTGGATTTTTACTGAGCGTCACTTGCGTGCATTGTGGAGAGTTGCCATTGGGTTGGGTGTTGTGCCTCCATTGATTTTATTCTTTATTCGTTTGAAGATGAAGGATTCGGAAACATTTGAAAAGTTGAACATGAAGCACGTGAGGTATAGAGATTACCCATGGTGGTTGATAATCAAGTTTTACTGGTACAGATTGACTATTGTGTCTTTGATTTGGTTCATTTACGATTTTTCTACGTATTCATTTGGTAACTTCAACACAATCATCATTGGAGAGCTTATTCCAGATGCACCACTTTGGAAACAATGGGGATGGTCAGTTGTGTTTAACTTGTTCTACATTCCTGGAGCTTTCTTAGGTGCATTGTCGGGAGACTACTTTGGGCCTAGGTTGACTTTGGCTTTCGGTGTGGCTTGTCAAGGTGTTATTGGATTTGCCATGTCTGCACGTTTGGAACAATTGAAGCAGCACATTGCTGGTTTTGTTGTTGTTTTTGGTATCTTTACCACTTTTGGAGAATTTGGGCCTGGTGACAACATTGGTTTATTGGCATCCAAGACCAGTGCTACTGCTATCAGAGGACAATATTATGGTATTGCCGCTGCTATTGGAAAGATTGGAGCTTTTGTTGGTTCATGGGTATTTCCAGCTGTGCAAAAGCATTACGAAGGACAGGGAAACTTGAATTTGCAAGTTCCATTTTACGTGTCTTCCTCATTGTGTTTGTTGAGTGCATGTTTGGCTATCTTTTGTTTGCCACATGTCGGTCAAGATGCTATTAATAGGGAGGATGCTGATTTCGTTGCGTACTTGAAATCCAAAGGATTTGATATTGCAGCATTGGGAGAACCTGGTATTGTTACCGAAATGATTGCCGAAGAGCACAATAGAAATCCAAATGCATTGAGTGAGCACGATGGAGCTGTTGGTGGACATGCTGCTGGAGCAGCCGAGTTTACTGGCCTGGAAATTTTAGCGTACGATTCTTTAGGAGAAGCCAAAGATGAATCAGACGTTCGTCAAAAGAGGGTCAAGAATTGAGGCTATCTTGCTCTCTCGGCGAATGAGCAGTTGAAATGCTCGGGGGTTTGCACTAGCTTGCTTTCGCTGTTTTAATTGGGTATATTTAGACATTTTAGAGTGTTGTTTTTAGTTCATGATTCAATTGTTAAGTAATGATGTGTTTTTTTGTTGTTTTTTTTTTTTTTTTGGTTTGGCAGTAAAATTTTTAGAATGAAGCTGGTGAGTACTAGAGGTTCCAAAGTACATGGGCTACTTGGCTGGGTATAATACTTTGCTTACTCATTTTCAGCTTATTGCAACCTTCTCTCTTGCTGTTGTTGGGATAAAAATAATACTCGCAAAGAGAAGAATAGTGCTCATCCCAAGCCAACCGTTTATACAAAATTGTCCTACTATTGTAATCACTCGTCTGGAACTTTACAATTAGTGTTAAAGAATGTGTCAAAAGTTTTGACATAAAATCCTTGGCCTGTCGAAACAGATGGTGAGAAAAGAAAAAAAAAAAAAAAAAAAAAAAAAAAAAAAAAAAAGCTTTGTTAATTTATTGAACTTNAAAAAAAAAAAAAAAAAAAAAAAAAAAAAAAAAAAAAAAAAAAAAAAAAAAAAAAAAAAAAAAAAAAAAAAAAAAAAAAAAAAAAAAAAAAAAAAAAAAAAAAAAAAAAAAAAAAAAAAAAAAAAAAAAAAAAAAAAAAAAAAAAAAAAAAAAAAAAAAAAAAAAAAAAAAAAAAAAAAAAAAAAAAAAAAAAAAAAAAAAAAAAAAAAAAAAAAAAAAAAAAAAAAAAAAAAAAAAAAAAAAAATAAAAAAAAAATAGCTTTGTGTAATTATTGAACTGTCCACGTGGGTCACTGCGAAAATTCGGTTGGTACAAGAAAGCGGAATAACGCATTTATAAACTCTTTCATGGATAGTCATCATCTACGTGGTTTTGCATCTAAGTTCTAGCTACCACCTGACTGCCTTGTGTTACAATATAAGTCCACTTTAAGGATCCTGCGCTTGAGGAGATTTGACGAGGGTAAACGCGACACCATTCTTTCACTCATTCGAGAGCAAGATTTTTACATTGTCTCTGTTAAATCTCTCCTCTTGTTTCCTCATCAAATTCACTTGTCCAACGCCGCACATTTTGATCTGACTGGGGTTACAACGAAAAAATATTTGTACCTAATTTAGGAAAAAAAAGTGAAATTAATTTCAAAATTTAACTTTATATAAACAGTGGTTGATCTTATTAATGCATATTGTAGAAGTTATTGCTAAATTAAAGGTTAGCTAAAAATTTCAGTACACGCGCAGCTTTTAATTAGCGCCTCTAATTTTCTAAATATATTGCGTATCACTAAACCAGCACTGGAAGTAAGCAATATTTGATATGGCAGTCCATTCAAGCAGAACGTGGCTAAATTTTGGGATCAGAATAGCACGTGCTCAAGGTAAAAGGCGTATTCAGGCTATATTCCCTGCCATTTTGCAGTCTCAGAGAAATGTAACTTAAAAAGTTTATCCGGTAGCCGAGAGTAGTCCATGAGTTGACATTTTAATTTTGGAAGGGAAAATCAAACCATAATCGGTTCAGTTCAACTTCTTTGATAACAAAGAAAACTATACACCACTCGAGACCTAAAACCGTTACTTTGTCGAAGCTGGGTCAATGTCAGTTGTTTCGAAAAAAAACTTGCATTATCTAATTGCCAAGGATGAAGAGCACTACAAAGTTCAAAAGTGGAATAATCAGTTCAACCATTTAATAGTTCTTTTGTGATGTTCTTACCAACAACTCAAAAATGGTAAACTAATACTAGGTATTGTTAACCATTCGTATCAACTAAAACACTATATTGTTTTGCGAAGGGTTTAAATTGAGAAGTTATTATGATTTGATATCAGCGGTGAGTCGTTTAAAATCGTAAATCACAATACAAAACAATGCAAAACAATAAAAAACGATACAATGAGATAACGATTACGCCTCTAATTATGACCGCGTGGGCACTGAAATTCATCAATGGCGGATAACTAATTTACTAAAGATAACCGTACAATAATTACCTGTGGCTTTAGCCTTTGTCTATATAAGACGACACTATTTCCCAATCAAATCGAATTCCAAGTTTCAAATATTCATTCAACAACACACACACACACACACACACACACACACACACAGAATGGCCACCAGAGATCTCCCGAAATCTGCAGGCGATCTTCTCACCAGCTGGGTTGGTCGTATTCAAGATGAAATGACTATCGGCAAGTCGCAAGACGAGTTGATGGATCGCGACAGACTTGCAAAACTCAACGAATTTTCTTCGGCTTCTTCGAAGGACAGCGATATCGAGACGAACGCAGGTGACAAAGAGGAGGAGGTAGAAACCAAAGTTAGAGTGAAGAACTTGTGGCCAGCTTTTGCTTCCGGTGCCGGTTTGTTTTCTGATGGGTACGTCAATGCAGGTATTGGAAACGTTCTTTCGTGTTTGAAAATGATTTACGGTGATGAGTTTACTAAAAGCAATGCCATTTCAAATATTGGATCTATTGCGTTCGTTGGTACCATCATTGGTCAAATTGGGTTTGGATATATTAGTGACAAAATGAGCAGACACAAAGGAATGTTGATTGCAAACATCATGTTGATTGTGTTCACTTTGTTGTGCGCAGTGGGGTCTTGGGGTAAAACCACACAGGGATTCTTTGCCTGTTTGACCGTTTGGAGATTTTTCCTTGGTATTGCCATTGGCTCTGAGTATCCAACAAGTTCAGTTATTGCTTCAGAGTTTGCTAATCAATTACCAGCCGGCCATAGAAACAGGTATTTTACATGGTTCACCAACTCCATGATCGATTTGGGTTTTGTTGTGGCCAGTTTTGTGCCACTTGTGTTGTTGTGGATCCTTACTCCTAACCACTTGCGTGCATTATGGAGAATCAGCATTGGGTTGGGAGTGATTCCACCTTTAATTTTGTTTTTTATCAGGTTGAAGATGTCAAACTCGACCAATTTTACAAAATTAAATATGAAGCGGGTTGCTTACAAAGATTACCCACTTTGGTTGATCTTCAAATTCTATTGGTTCAGATTGTCCATTGTGTCTTTGATTTGGTTCATCTACGACTTTTCAGTCTACTCATTTGGTACTTTCAACACAATCATTATTGGTGAAGTCATTCCAAATGGTACTTTGTATCAAAACTGGGGTTGGTCAGTTGTGTTTAACTTGTTTTACATGCCAGGATGTTTACTCGGTGGGTTCGTTGCTGATTACTTGGGTCCCAGATTGACATTAGCCTTGGGTGTGGGAATTCAAGGAATCATCGGTATTGCCATGTCAGCTTGTTTAAACTCATTGAAAAAACACGTTGCTGGTTTTGTTGTTGTCTTTGGTATCTTTACTGCGTTTGGTGAATTTGGTCCCGGTAACAATACTGGTCTCCTCGCTTCCAAAACATGTGCCACCCCAATCAGAGGTCAGTACTATGGTATTGCCGCTGCTATTGGAAAGCTTGGTGCTTTCATCGGAACCTGGGTATTCCCAGCAATTCAGAAACATTACGCTTACGATGAAAACTTGACATTGCAAGTTCCATTCTATGTTTCATCAGCCTTGTGTTTGTTCAGTGCACTTTTGGCCATTTTCTTTGTGCCACCAGTTGGTCAAGATGCTATTGATAGAGAAGATAAGCTTTTCTTGGAGTATTTGCGTGATAACGGATTCGACAGGTTTGATATGCTCGGTGATTCTGGAATTGTCACAACTGATGAACACTCTACGGATCACAAGCAATATTCAGGAGTAGTTGAAAAGAACGATGATGAGGTGGTTGTTGTTCAGGAGAAAAAATAGAGGGAAAGTTGTTGTTGTTGTGTCTTGAATAGTTGTTTTTTCGATATAGTTGTTTGAATATAATCTACGTAAAGCTCTTTTTGGTTTTCAGACAAGGCAGTATTTTGAGATACTCTGCGAGGAAACGGAGCCGCTGCATTTCTCCAGTTGGATCGAAATTGAGTTATGTATCGGAAATACCGAAAATAAAAAACACACACAAAAAAAAAAAAAAAAACAAATAAAAATGAAACGTGACTGTCGGAATTAGCTCCTCACAAATTATTTCATCAAAAAATGTAATCTTCGATGGCAATTACTCAGCAACATTTCAATTACAGTATGTCTTGCTTCAAGCGGACGATCAAGAAATTAGAATCATCTCATGTTTCTGTATTCAAAGTGGTGGTTGTCAACAGAGGTCTTACCGCATTGCCGCACCGGAAAAAGCACGATGATTGCGCGCTTTAACCCCACAAATGGATAAAGCCCAGAGTCACTAAAGAGAAAACAGTTTAGCATTGGGAGGCGTTGCAGGGTATAGTGTTGTTGAAAACATGTTAGTGTTTTGCACCTTGAGCACTCTTCTTGGTAATGTTTAGATTGCCGAAAAAAAAAAAAAATGGAATATCGGACTCAGGAAATTCGAATGTACTATACATGAAGTGCAACATCTGTCCAACTACCACACCATAAATCTAGTTAAGATGTTTCAAATGCAGTATTTTCAAGAACAAGAATCTGTAAAGATTGATGACAAAACTCCCACTACACATCAGCTTCCTTAATGGATTAACCAAGTCCCTTGTTTATCTACTTAAGCCATCTCGCTCTACAATTTGTGGGTTGGAGAGTCCGGCTTCCTTGCATCTCGTTGTGCTCTTTCTCACAGTACCGTTGGTTCTAGAATGTACAGGTTTGTGTCACATGCTGGAACAGCATAGTTTCCCCGAATGGAGGCATATTTACGAATCCAATTATAGCAATCGTCTATTCTTCTCATCTTCTTCAAGGCGGTTTAAACTTTTCAGCCTCCATGTTTGTTTTTTTTCTTTACACTTTGTGCATTTCTTTTGGGACCCGTACTTTGCTTTGTGTGAAAATTGGAATGGTGAAACGAAGGCTGGAAGTTGCCGACCTTGAAAGAGTGAGAGGCTATGAGTTCCAAATCACAAAGTTTACCGGTTTACCCTTGACGAAGAGACACAGCTAGCTCGCGAGCTATACGACTTCTAGCTTGTTCAGTATTTCTTTTTTTTTTTTTTGTGAGCCATTGAAAACAAGACAATTAAGCATTCTCACTTTCTCTTGTTCCTTTCATTCGTATATGTACAATGTGCTAGTCGGTTAACGTATACTGATATTTTTGTGTTGTTTGAAAAAAAAAAAACAAAAAACTTTTCAGATAGATCTGGCGGTTGTGAGATTTCTCCTCTTATCTATTGCGATTGTTGGCCAATGACTAAAGACGCCCAACTGGTGCACAAAACACATAAACATACCTAATAGAAAATATGTACTGGATCCAACTCGTACAACCTACATTCACATAAGAAATTAGCTACCACGCACACCACCACCACACTCACCACCACACACAAAAACTGGTGAATTTTTTATTTTTATGGGTCCCTTCTTTCGGGGACTTGGTGAGCCGTCGTGACTGAGTTTGCAACCCATAGTGTGTCGAGCTCAATCAGCAGTACACCCAAGAAGATGAGGGCCGTCCATGGCTACATCTGTTGAGTTTAGTAGTAGGCTATTCATATACCCAGAATGCTGCAGTGAGGAAGGATAGATAATATTCCTGAATCCCAAGAAAATATGCAAACCCCATTCACTTAAAAGCCACAAAACACTATAAAATTTTCGCTATAAAATGGATCATATATTACTACAGTTTATTCACCACGAAATAATGAGTTGGTCATTTTCTTATATTTCCTATCCAATATATTACATTTCTTCATTAGCAACAAGACTTTTTTCTTGTGTTGTAGCTGTTAGCTGGTTTACTTGCATTTCCGTTCGTTATCATTCAACTGGTATCACACTTGAACTTGCACTGGAGAATCACCTCACAACTACTCAATCTGGCTTTTTACCCCATACTTTTAATTTGATCAGCTTTATTCATTGGCTTGGTATATAAATACACTGGCACAAATCTCCTGATACTCATGCGTTTAATCACAAGTTGACAATAGACAACTTTACAATCACAAAAAATATACCCCATATAGCTACAAATGTCATCATTAGCTGAAGATAAGGAGGTTAGGGCCAAGGAAGAGGTTGAATACATCTCGAGTGGAGAAGAATCGGCCATTTCGGAAGAACACAAACAATATCTTATTGCAAAGCATGGGACTTATGACTTGGTTCCGCTACCATCGATGAATGACAATGATCCATTGAACTGGTCCAATGGGTTCAAGCACTTGCAGTTGGCTATGGTGGCCTTTCATGCTTTCATGGCTACGTTTGTGGCGTCCGGTTTGGTGCCTGTTGTCGGATTGTATTCTGAGGTTTTCCAAATGTCAACGGCAGACGTGGCATACTTGGTGTCTGTCCAGATTGTATTGGTTGGTACGTTCCCATTATTGTGGGTGCCCTTGATGGAAAGATATGGTAAACGTTTGCTTCTTATTGTGTCAACATTTGGAACTATGTGTTTTTCCTTGGGAAGTGTATTTGCTACAACTTATGGAACCATGATGGCAATGAGATGTTTGCAGGCCATATTTATCTCCCCTGGTTTGGCTGTGGGTGGTGCCGTTGTGAATGAAACTACATTCAGTCACCAAAGAGGATCCAGAAGTGGTATTTGGGCTATCGCTGTGAATTTGGGAACCATGGTTGGTGCCTTGTTGATGGGTATTGTTGCACAACATCAAGACGCAAAGTATATCCATGTGGTGTTTACATTCATCAACTTTGGACAAGTTGTTTGTTACCTTCTCTTTGGAAAGGAGTCGCTGTTTAACCATGAGGATTTATCCAAAAATGAAACCAACAGATTCAAGCAGTTACGCTTCAGGGCAATTTTCCCAGAGAATCACATAACTTTGAAAAAGATATTCCACCCCATGGTTTTCTTTGCAAATTTGAGAATCTTCATTCCAACGTTTGTGTACTCAATGTGCTTTCTTCATGCAAATATCGCCTTGAATATCGAGATTCCAGAAGTTATGTATTTGAAGTTTGGATTGGGACCTCAAGCTTTGGGATTGCAGTTTGTTTCATTTATTATCGGTGCCGTTTTGGGTGAAGTTGGTGGTTACATGTCTGATAAGTTGGTTGCATGGGGTCAAAAGAGAGGCAAGGGGCCTTCTTTCAGATTATGGATTACGTACCCTGGATTTGCCACTTGTATCATTGGATTGGTTGTGTTTGGTGTGCAGATTGATGCTGCTGCTACCTGGAATGTTACCCCATTGGTTGGTTGTGCCTTGGCTTCCTTTGGTTTGCAAATCATGACTTCCCCATTCATTGCATACTGTATTGATATGGATCACACACAAGCTGGAGCTATCATTTTGTTTATCACTGTTGTGAGACAGACACTTGCTTTCATTGGTCCATTCTATTTCCCAATTATGTTTGCTAGATTGGGTTTCACGATTGCGTATAGTATAATGGCTGGAATCATTGGTGGATTGGCGTTCCTTCCTACCCTTATTTTGCACTTTATAGATGCAAGGAACGGCAAGTAAAAAAACAGAGGCTATACAGGTGTTGTGTTTTTTTGTAAGGTTATTTTGTATAATGAAATTATATGATTCGTGATATACGTGTATGGAAGATTCTCTCTGACCGATTTACCATTATGCCCTCATCAATATTTTATGTGGTTTCAGTCGCCACACCTTGTGCTTTACAAATAACATCCCCTCTTCAATTCCACCTCTAGTTTTCGCCCCATTGCCTCTCCAAAGTCAGTCCAAACCGACTCAAGGGCCAAAGAATCATCACCACTTTCCCCACCACCAAACCTTTACTAATGGGCCCAAACTCATTGGAATCTATAGAGTGCACCTGATTATCCCCTTCAACCCAATAATGATTTCGTGGTATTTTCACCTCCAGCTTAGGATACAGTGAAGACGGTAGTACAACATCTCCATTGATTCCAACCACTCTTTTAGTCAACAACTTTTCCGGGTCCAAGGGCAGACGAAACATAACGACATCGCCTCGAGATATGCTGTTGTCCTTGGTCTTGATGTTGTATTTCTGTACAAGCACTATGTCTTTTGAAGTTGTTGCTGTTCCCGGGTTGAATGTTGGGGTCATGGATGAGCCGGAGACTTGGTAAGGTTGATACACATGGTTGGTGAATGTGTAAAGCACAGGTAGCCATGTTATTGTGAGTAGCGTGGCTTTTAAACTTTGACTTAGTGGCATGCAAATGGGTGAAGATAAGACTGGGTGGCAAGGTTATTGAGATCTAAGTATATGTTTTAAAATGGAGATTTTGCAAAGATTTTTCAAAATCTCTATCCAGTCGACTTCTACCGCGGAAATTTAACCGTTGCTTTTAACCTTGCAACTATTTCTTTTTCTTGTTTCTTTTTTTTTAGTTTTTTGCTTCATTTGCATTCAGGTTGCATTCTTTTCATTCATTTTCATTGTCTTCGTTGTTGTTTTCCCAACTGTTTCATAGAAGATGTCTTTACAGCAAAAGGGTGGATTGTTGGACCAGATACTATTGGAAGACATTGCTAGGTGCTGTCCTCACCAGTTTCTTGCTTTCCATCAATGCATGTCATTACCACAGCCAGACCCCGAACACTGTCTAAAACAGCAAGTCGAGTTGACGCAGTGTATAAGAACATCAGTGCCATCGTTCCAAAAAATTCAAGGCGAATGCTCGGGTAAGTTGCAAGCTTATGAAGCATGCTTGAAGATGAACAAGAGCCAGACGCTGAAGTGCACGCACGAGCTAGAAGATTTGAGAAACTGTGCATTTGGGTCTATAAACAAGTAGATAGATAATACATATTTTATAGAGATTCCCTTCCCCCCCCTCCCCCTCTCAAACACGGTACTTTGGTTTCAAGTTTTCGATTCTTATTTTCGACAAAAAGTTTTTGGTCACCTCTCTCAACTCCGAAGACCGGTCATGGGTCTCTTCAATCTCGTGCTTGTGGTGCAACAACTCATGTTCAATATCTTCCTTGTGTTTTATCTTTGTGTCTGGGTCATCCTTGGCATGGTATTGTTTCCAATGGTGTTCTTCGTATTCACTTTCGAAATCCAAGTGGTGGCCTTGACCGTAGCCGAAATCAGGTAGTTCGCCTCCACTGGTGTGGAATTTGACCCATTCATCTTTACTTATAACTCCGTTTTTATCAGTATCAAACAACTTGAAAATCTTTTCAACAACCATGTTTTGAACTTCAGGTGTCACTTTTCGAGAGTCTTCACCCATACCGGACCCATCACCGATGATCACCTCATGTTTGATCCCGTAGAGATTGAGTATATCGCTTCTGTCCCACTGCCCGGCCCCTTTCAAATCGTGCATGGTAAAGAATGTTTGGGCATCGTAGTCAGCAATGTTGTGCTCTTCCAACATGTGCCAGTCTTGCCACCTCAAATGTGCCGGTTTCTGTTTGAGAACATTTTGGGAATGGTCGCCGTGAGAAAACACTGTAGCTGCAGACGCCAAGAGTGCTATCGCCGTGGTTAGAAACTTCATTGGTGGATCTGTCCTTGAATTGGAGTGGTGGTGCTGAAAATTCGTGTTGACCTTTTGCGAATCAAAATCACAAAATTCCAATTTCGCCAAACTCTGTGTCAACTTTAGTTACTCAATTGACAAAAATTCAGCGTCACGTCGACCACCCCCACTATCACCACCTGCGACCCAGCGGATACACTTGAATGACAGAGTACAGAAACCCGAACTTACCCAACAAGTCCTCTGAAGCAAGACAGGGCAGGGAGAACCAGCGATACAACGAAGAGACTGGTGCTAGAATTGTTGCCGGGTGCATATGCCTCAACGAAACCAAAGACAAGGTGATTATGATCTCATCCTCAAAACATAAGGACCGGTGGATAGTTCCCAAGGGAGGTAATGAATTAGACGAACTGGAGTTGGAAACTGCAGTGAGAGAGACTTGGGAAGAGGCGGGTGTTGAAGGGATTATTGTTAAAAAGTTGCCCGTGGTTATGGACTCGCGAGGTCAAAAAGCCCCCATAATTAAGGGAGACTTTGACTCAGAACATATACCTAAAAGCGAATTCCATTTCTTTGAATTACAGGTTGATCAATTGAGCACCACGTGGCCCGAAATGAAGAAACGTGAGAGAAGATGGTGTACTTATTCAGAAGCGAAACATGAGTTACTCAAACTGAAACGGCCCGAATTGGTTGACGCGTTGAATCTGAGCTCGATACAGAAAGACACTGAAGTTAAAGCTGTTGATGAGTATTGATCTACTTTTTATTTTTCTACTTAAATAACCCACTCATGAGATTTGCCATTAAACCCCCTTGATTATTGGAGTTGCCAATGCTTAAATTGAAATACAACTTTCCCAAGTACTCTACCGGCGGTAATAACTCTGCGCTCTTCAACACTGTGTAGTATTGATCGTACAATTTTCTATATTTTTGACTGTTTGTTTGTGGATCCTTTTGCAACACTTCCAGCAATAGTTGAACAAAATTGAGCAATGGTTTCTTGTCAAAATACTGTACCTCACCAATAGTCTCTGACTCGGCATTTATCCCCTTGAGGAACAACGATTGTGCCTCTTGTGCGAATTTGATATTCTTCAAGTACGCATAGTTCAACACGGGTCTGGCCAAAAGTGCGCCAGGATCGACATCCAGGTTAGCTTTGGCCGTATCAATCAAAAACTTTACATAAATTGGAACCGACTCAAAAGTACCCAAAACCAAATGCAACTCTGCAATGGCAAATAGTTTAACTTTTTGCTCATACTCTATACTTTCCTCGCCAGCAGCTTGTAGAAGCTTGGACCCGAATAAATGATGCAAATCGTTATCTCCAAAGTTCTTACAACCTTCTGACTTCTGTGACCACGTTATACTGGCCTTGGCCAAGTCATTGAGCAGGGGATCGTTGTTGGGCAAGTTTGAAATTAATTCAATCAACTTGAGTTTGGCATCCTTGTCAGTAACCTTCAATCCTTCCTCGTCGTAAATTTGTATGAGATAGATAATCAAGTCTGATGCTGACGCAAATTCCTTGTTTTGGATTAAAATGTTGGCACCTTGGTATAATAGATCTCTTGCTTCCGAATACTGTTGAGCTTTAACGTATCTGTTGGTGATTGTCCTCAAGGTTTGGTGAGCCTCATAGAAGGATCCTGAATCAATCTTGGATTGGAATCTTTGGATAGTCTTGGCCAATTTGTCTGACATAGTTTGAAGGGGTACGGGGGGAGGGGGGAGGGGGATTGATGATGTATTGGCGTCGATAAATCTACACTTTGGTTTGTACGTACATTTCTGTTTTTCTTTTCTTTTTTTTTTTCTACAGCAGGTTTGTTGGAGGTTTGGTAGCGACGAGCTTTTGAACCACGGTTCCGTCTTCATTTCGATGCAAGATATACTCAAGATTCAAGGGGTTGTTGATGTAGCGCAATTTGCGGCAGATTTTGAGAAGCTTGAAAGCCGTGTCAAAGTTTGAGCCAAGTTGATCCACTGTAATGACTTGTATTTTGTGTATTGTACGCGCCTTACGAATGAGCTCCTCCACAACCGCCGTAACTTGTCCTGCATTTACTGTTTCGAGATCCAACAATTTCAACGTTGAAATGCTTCCGTGGATCAACTTTGCTAATAACTCGCATACCGATTTGCCTGGTGAGTTGGTCTTGTAATATTTTGAGTCGTCAACACCTCGAGCTATAGGTCTCATGATCATGTCGTAGAAGGATGACAAGCTCGCTCTTCGAATGCAACAAAGTGATCGAAATATCAATGTTTTAAGCTTTAATTGGGGCACAGTAAGAGCTTGTGTTTTGGTTAACCTCATTCCGTTTCTGGTCATGCATAAAGTCAAATCTGTCACTGTTGCGGGTAACTTGTCCATGGCGTTGAGGATATCGTTTAAGGAAGCACTAATCGAGACTGATACCAAACTCTTAAATAATGTCACCAGCAGAATAAGTTGCTTGTTGGGCTGAATCAAGTAAAGTGTCTTGATCTTGCAACACGCTCCAATTTGAACCAACTTTTGTAAACCTTGCAAAGGTGTTGAAAATGGAGTGTTTCCAAGAACTAATGGTCTCAACAAGTATAGGACGTAGTAGTGATCATGGTATATTTGTTTGCAAGTATACAAGATAGAAAGGATGTTTCGGTACTTGTAGTCCATTTTCCATCTTTCAAATATGATTCTGGAAATAGCATGATGTGGGAGATCAAGTAATGTAGTCATCTTGAGCTTCTGCTGTTGTGGTTTGTTGTGATTGCTGAAGACAGTGGTTTCTTATGGTGTATGAATTCGTTATGATGTGTGTTGCAAAAAAAAAAAAAAAAAAAAAAAAAAAAAAAAAAAAAAAAAAAAAAACCCCACCCAAAAAAAAAAAAAAAAAAAAAAAAAAAAAAAAAAAAAAAAGAAAAATTTCAAATCTTGACTTGAGTCATCACTCAATATTCACACTTTATCTAGCCACTATGAGTTTAGAACTTTACGGATCCAAGGACAAGACGTTGTTGGCGTTGGTTAGCAATTTGAAAGTTTCTATTGCAGCAGCAGCATATGACCCAAAGCTTGTTGTGAAATCACCTGAAGATGACGAGCACAGTGGTGTTCTATTGAAGGACAAAAAGACTGGATTCGAGCTCTTTGAACCTAATGCTATTGTCAAATACTTGGCAAAGAACTACACCACCGATGAACACATCAAATTTGAGGAGAAGGAGTTACATAAAGCGTTGTTGACCAATAAGAAGGAGAATCTCGAGCAAGTCAAGGTTACAACTCCCACAAAGGTCGATATTATCCCATCACAGATTATTCTCTTTTCATCACTATACCCAATCTACGCCAACTCAACGAATACCTGGTTCAACGAGTTTGCTGAAAAAGTTGCCAAAGGAGTGCAACATGCGTTATCAATTACTAAAGTTGAAAGAGTAAAAGAGGAAAACACTGGAACTCAAAACTATGTAAAAGACTACTTGGTCAAAGACCAAGCTGCAAGAATTGTTCCCAAACCAGATGAGAGAAACATTTTGATTACTTCGGCTTTGCCATATGTGAATAACGTGCCCCATTTAGGTAACATTATTGGATCCGTATTGAGTGCTGATATTTATGCCAGATACGTCAAGAATAGAAACCACAATGCTATTTTCATTTGTGGTACTGATGAGTATGGTACTGCAACTGAGACCAAAGCCTTGGAAGATGGCGTTACACCAAAGGAGTTGTGTGACAAGTACCATAAGATTCATAAAGAGGTGTATGATTGGTTTGACATTGGTTTCGACTATTTCGGAAGAACAACCACCGATTTACAAACTGAGATTGCACAAGATATCTTTTTGAAATTGCACAAGAATGGCTATTTGGAAGAAAAGACCACTGAACAGTTGTATTGTGAAGAACATCATTCGTTCTTGGCCGATAGATTTGTTGAAGGTACTTGTCCCAAGTGTGGGTATGAAGATGCTAGAGGTGACCAATGTGACAAATGTGGTAACTTGTTAGACCCATTGGAGTTGATTGACCCGAGATGTAAAGTGGATGGAGCAAAACCAGTGGTGAGAAACTCGACTCATATTTATCTCAAATTGAATGATTTGGAAGAACCATTGAAAAAATGGGTTGAAGAGGCTAGTGGAGTATGGTCGAAAAACTCCAAGACCATTACCAACTCGTGGATCAAGCAAGGTTTGGAGCCAAGATGCATTACAAGAGATTTGAAGTGGGGTACCCCTGTTCCATTGCCTGGATATGAAGAAAAAGTGTTGTACGTTTGGTTTGATGCTACAATCGGTTATGTTTCCATTACTGCCAACTATTTCAGAGATAACGATGCCACCGACACCGAGAATTGGATCAAATGGTGGAAGAATCCGGAAAATGTCGACTTGTACCAATTTATGGGTAAGGATAACGTGCCATTCCACACGGTTGTGTTCCCTGCGTCCGAAATTGGTACTGGCGATAACTGGACAAAGTTGCACCATTTGAGCACAACTGAGTATTTGCAGTACGAAGGTGGCAAATTTTCCAAATCGAGAGGTGTTGGTGTTTTCGGAAACAATGCCAAAGAAACTGGCGTGTCGTCTTCAGTTTGGAGATACTATTTGGCTTCAATTAGACCTGAAACTGGTGATGCGCAATTTTCGTGGGACGAATTTGTTGCCAAGAATAACAGTGAGTTGTTGGCCAACTTGGGTAACTTTGTTAATCGTATTGTCAAGTTCGTCAATGCCAAGTATAATGGGGTCTTGCCAAAATACAATCTTGACAATATTCCAAACTACAAGGAATTTGCAAGTGAGTTCAATGGGTTATTGAAGGAATACATTCAAGCTATGGATGGAATTCAAATTAGAAAAGGGTTGGAAACGGCTATGGCATTGTCGGCGCGTGGAAATGCCTTTTTGCAGTCGAATCGTATCGACAACAAGAGTTTTGAAGAAGAGCCAGATCGTATTGATGCTGTGGTTAATGTTGGAATCAATATTGCTTATTTGTTATCAGCTGTGTTTTATCCATTTATGCCACTGACTTCGGTGCAAATCAATAGAATTTTGAATGCTCCTGCATTGTCTATTCCTGATCAATTCACACTTGTGTTACTTGCCGGTCATAACATTGGCGCTGCTGAGTATCTTTTCAAGAGAATTGATGAAAAGAAGATTGATGAATGGAGAAAGTTGTACGGAGGACAACAGAAGTAAACAAAAGTAGATAGGGTTATGTTGTATTAGAGTAGATGAAACGATGAAACACAAATATCAGTGGAAGCAGGTTCCATATTTACTCTGGTTTCTTGTAGATGATTTCAAAATTGACTGCACTCCAGAGTGAAGTTTCGTCGTTCTTCCACTCTTTTAAAAGCTTGATCACCTCTTGCTTGGCTTCCTCGTCCTTTTTCTCATCATTTGCTACAAAGGTCTCACCTCCATTTTCAACTCTCTTGATGAGTAACTCGCCCCAAACTTGCTTGGTCTTGTCGTTCCCTTTAAACAACATATTGGACGCAGTGGTGGTGATGTTGCTTGGGTCATACCCAGCTTCAACTGCTCTTCTAAACAACTTGCGACCAGCTCTCACATCAGTCGAGCCCCGGTTCAAAGCACTTTTGAGATGGAAATCCTTGAGCTTTTCATACTTTGGCGGATCCATGATAAACGATTCCAAATCTCCATCCTTCACAGCAACAAATCTCCCAGGCTTGGTGACACGAGCCAATTCCTTCAAAGCCTTAATTGGATCTTGCAAATGAACTATAACTTGATGTGCATAGACTAAATCAAATGTATTGTCTTTGAATGGCAAATTGTAAATTGATCCTTCTTGAAATTTGACATTGTCCAATTGAGGCTCTGTTGCTTTTTTTAAGTTGTTTGCAGTTTCAATTATCTCCTTGGTAGGTTCAACTCCAATAACAGATCCACCTGAAGTGAGGTAGTTTTTTGCCAAATCAATAGTAATGGATCCTGGTCCACTGCCCACGTCTAAAACATGGAAGTCTGGTTGAAGTACGGATGTGATGAACTTGACGGAGTTGTCCACAGTTCTGATGGCGTGAGTATCAGAAATGGATTTTTTGTAGCCTTTGTTGTAGTATGCTTGTTCACTGGACATACTGGCTGTCTTGGACCTTATTGAAAGTGGAGCAAGTGTTGATGAAATTCACGCCACAGAAAAGAGAAACACACAGGTACGGACTTTATTTGATCGGAATGCCACAAAATGCGGCAATGTTCACATACACATTCGGAGATAACAGAACTGTTTTCTGTTTTCTGTTTTCTGTTTTCTGTTTTCTGTTTATTTATTTATTTATATTTTTTTTTTTCATGTTCTTTAAAAACCTTTTCGACAGTTCCTATGATGACCTAAGCACTCGGTCTATTTGAGCAAGACATTATTATCCTCTCTACTAGCTCCTGTGATAAACGGATGTGAATATACAAATTAGCACTAATTTGTATTTTCGAAAGCTTTAGATATCTAAACGCTTATATACAAATCTAAAATTTACATTTTGAGATAATCTTCCCCATGTGTAGCTTCCATTTTTCTAACAAAAGAGACTTCTATAGCAAATCTATTGATATTAAAGGTAATCAGAAGTGCCATTTAGATATCGCTTAGCTCTGATTATTGTACAATGATTACGTTATTTTTTTATTTTTTATTTTTTTTGAGTTGCTCCCAATGTGAGCTTTGTGAGATGGCAGTTGCCTTACTCAGACCATCTTAAAGAAGCAACATCAACATCAGATCCGGTACTCATCGGTAGTGTATTCCGAGTAGTAGTTTTGAGAGCCAGAAGAGTAATTTATAAAGGGGATGATGATCAATTAATTACTTGATTGAGAAGCATTTGATAGATAGATACGGTTTAGTGGCACAAAATCTGATAAAGTTATATGGAGGAGGAAAAACCCGGGGAAAAAAAAAAAAGTTGACGTAGTCAGGTGACTCTCGGGTCATGGAGAAAAGAAAAATTGCGGAAGAAACCCCACACACTTTTTCAGTCTTTTATTTTAAATACATTGTATAAGGAAGGCAAAGAGTCACGAATTACAGATCATCACTGTCACCTTCATTTAATTTGCTTTACGCTGCTAGGAGATAACCCGGTGTCTAGTTCTCAAATTCTACTTATTTATAACCGCTTCTGAGTACACCCCTACCCCCCCCCCCGCATCTTTTTCAGTTCAGAACCCTCGGGAGGAAATTCGTTTGTATTGATTTTCACAACCTACAACACTTTTGCACCACACAGAACCAAAATTTCAACACCATGTCTTCTATGATGTCCACTTTAAAAGGCGTAGTGGCAGGCGCACTCATCACACCAATCGTTGCCAAATTCGTTATTGCTCCAAGAATGTTTGATCCTAACATCATGAAAGAGATTCATTACATTCAAAAGGAGTTGGATTTCGTTGGTTGGAACGTGAGACATTTGGAGGAAGAAAGAGGAATAAAAGAAGATGATTTATACACACCGGCAACGTACTATGCACAAGGATAGAATTTGGTGTCGATTTTTTTTTTCTTATACTGCTTTATTTTGGGTTATTTTTATTTAATGAAAAAAAGGGATTGTTTATTATGACACTATGTAGAGTGAGCTCTCAGACATCTCTTTCAAGTGGAGGATTTGTAGTAATCTTGTAAGTGGTTTGTGTCGACTACACTATCAAACCTCGGCTGCGCTGAAAGATGTATGATGCCGCCAAAACTCCGATAATGGAAAGAGTTGGCTTCTTTCTGACCACTTGACGCATCCCATCGTGGGTGGATTTAAGGAACACACAAAGTAGATTCCTTCACAATCTTGTAAGTTTCACGCTTAGTTAAACTTAAGACGCACAGAGTTTCTGCACCACTCCTTGACGTCTTGCGTCATTAGTAGACAAATACGGGAACAATGGTTTCAATTGTTTGAGGGTACTGCACTAGAAATGATAGTCTCAAAACTCTATTTTGCTGAGGGTTGCAAATCTCTTGTCGTATATAATTAGCCGGGTAAGCAAAACAAAAAAAAATTCAATCGCCCTGCTGCGGTTGCGCAACACGCGTCATCCCTCAGACACTGAGCCTAGACTCACTAGGAATATCACAAAAATTAAAAAACGTAGAGTACTTCCAGGCTTAGTTGGTGGATAAACACACAGAAATCGTTGGGAGAGAGTTTCTAGTTGGTTCTGCGATGGGACATGCTCACTTTGGTTATCTGATTGCAGAGAGTAGCCCACGTCAGGCCATGGGCGAGGGTGAGAAGACATAAATTAAGCAGTTAAAACCTTATCAGTGAAAGAAGTCCCTTCAATGTTGATGACTTCTATCTCTATTTTCTGGGCATTATGAAGAAAGAAAAGGGATATCCGCTTGATTGTATTCGATGGTGCACACAATCAGTGTAGCAGTTGTAGTTGTAGTTGTTGTCAGTGGTGGTGGTACTTAATTTTCCCAAAACGACAAAATTGTAAACACAAGAAAATAAAAATAAAATTTAAAAGAAAAGGGCAAAGCAAGAAACTCACCGAGTTTCACGAGTTAATTTAATTCAACGCATTCATCTCTAAATATAGCAACAGCTCAGATAAGTACATAAACAACACAACTCAAAAGCACAGAAATCAAAACAAGGATCGAAAATTTCAGGTGGGCGACAATAAGAAAACAGGGGTTTATGTGTATTATTTAATTAAACGCTTGAAATATTTTTTTGTTTTTTTTTTTTTGAGAAAAAAAAGAAATATAAAACTTGCATCCCAGGTCCTGTTTTCAAAGAATCATTCAACTGCACTGATTCACAATACTTCACACTCATCTCCACACTCGTTCAACAACGCCTTTGCTTGCCAAACGACCACACTTGTATGCATAAAATGACAGTCGAATCACAACAACACATTTTTGAAGAATTTAAAAAGGCAAATCAAAGCCATCTTTTCAAGTACTATGACCAGTTGACTGTGGAGGAACAAACTCATTTCCTAAGCCAACTATCGAGTATTCAAGACCCTTCAAAGTTGGTTTCCACAGTATCCGACGCTATTAAATTCTCTTCTTCAAATGCATCAGCCAAAAACTTTACTCAGTTGCCAAATGAACAAACTGCATCAACGCTTGATCTCGACTCCACCACGTCTCAACACTGGTCCGAGTTGGGATTCCAAGCTATTGCCGATGGCCAAGTAGCTGTGCTTTTGATGGCTGGCGGACAAGGAACTCGGTTAGGTTCAAGCGACCCAAAGGGATGTTATGACGTTTCATTACCTTCACACAAGCCACTTTTCCAAATCCAAGCAGAAAAGATTCTCAAGATTCAACAGTTGGCACAAAAGAGACTCAAGTTGGATAAGCTACCCACGGTGATGTGGTATATCATGACCAGTGGTCCAACAAGAAAATCCACTGAACAGTTTTTCAAAACCCACAATTTCTTTGGGTTGGATTCCAAACAGGTTGTGTTTTTCAACCAAGGCACATTACCATGCTTTGACTTATCGGGTGAAAAGATTCTTCTTCAATCGAAAAATGCCATTTGTGAATCACCAGATGGGAACGGTGGATTATACAAGGCGTTATTAAACAATGGCATCTTGGACGATATGGTCAACAAAAATATCAAACATATACACATGTACTGCGTGGACAATGCATTAGTTAAAGTTGCCGATCCTTTGTTTATTGGGTTTGCTATTGATAAGCAATTTGACTTGGCCACTAAAGTTGTACGTAAAAGAGATGCCAATGAAAGTGTTGGCTTGATTGTTCTTAATGATGATATTAAGAGACCTTGTGTGATTGAATATAGTGAGATTTCCAAAGAACTAGCCGAAAAGAGAGATCCACAAGATGATTCAAAATTGTTTCTTCGCGCAGCAAACATTGTCAATCATTATTACTCAATTGATTTGTTGACTAAAATGGTCCCACAATGGATCTCATCTCAAGAATATTTACCATTCCACATTGCCAAGAAAAAGATTCCGTCAATGGACTTGAAAACTGATCAATTTGTCAAGCCAGAAACTCCAAATGGTATCAAATTGGAACAGTTTATCTTTGACGTGTTTACTTCGGTTGAGTTGTCCAAGTTTGGCTGTCTCGAAGTTGACAGAATTGATGAATTCTCACCATTGAAAAATGCCAATGGCGCAAAGAATGACACTCCAACTACGTGCAGACAAGACTACTTGGAAAGAGGAACCAGATGGGTCAAGGAGAATGGAGGACAAGTGGCACCCAACGCACTTGTTGAAGTCGATGCATTGACGAGTTACGGTGGTGAAGGATTAGAGTTTGTTAAAGGTAAAACTTTTGCCAATGGTGATGTAATTTAGAAGGCTATATACATATATTCTACTCCAAAGAAAGAAAAAAAAAAAAACAAAAAGAAAGGAGTTTATTTAAAGTTAGGTTTGAATTTTCTAAGCTAGTAAGCGGTTCATTTGTTCAACTGTGTAGTCCAATATATAAGTCTGCTCAATCAAATCATCTAATCGATTGTAATGACGCTCATTGTATGGAATGATACTATCAATAATCTTCATCAACCCTGGTATCTCAATCAAAGTCTCAACGGCAAAATGTTGCAAAATTACATGAATTAATGACTGACTAATTTCGAAAAACTTGAAATTGATATTCCAATCTCGAATTTTCTTGAATAGGGTAACTAGTTGATCATTGTTTAATTGACCGATTGTGTTTTCTAATTCAAATGACCCAATAGTTGATTCGTCATCCTCATTAGTTTCAATACACGATCTAATCACATGGTACAATCTCATAGAATGGTTCAATGTCAATGCCAACAAAAACGCATTGCTCCAATCTTGATTCTTGACGAAATTTGATAAATCCTGCTCTTGTTCGACTTTATGTTTGGCTGCCAAATCACGTAGCCTCATTTCTTCAGCCGTATTATCTGTCCATTTAGTCACTTTACCATCCGCATCAGCAGTGATGAACTCGTCACCTTGGTCATCACGTAAAGCCATTGCCCAGATCCTGTTGTCATGGTTGTCCAAAGTTTTAATCTCTTCTCCAGCTTTAAAATCCCAAATCTTGACTAACCCATCAGCTCCACATGATACAAGTTGTGGCAGTTGTGCGTTGAAGAATTTTACTCGTTGGATAGAATTTGTATGTCCTTCAAGGGTTTTTTGACATGTGAAATCATTCAACGACCACACTTTTAATGTCTTGTCTCCACTTCCTGTTACAATCAATTTATCATATTTGTAAAAATTGATGTCCCATAATCCTCTTTTATGACCTTTTAACACACCAATTGTTTCCCCTGATTGTGAGCTCCAGACTTTGCCCAACTTGTCGTAAGAGGCAGTGGCAAAGTACTCATCGTTGGGGGATATATCAATGGCATTTATATCTTTATCATGTGCTCTTCGTGTGTACACCGAGGTCTTTACTACACTCCCACTGGTTCTGGGAATGTTCCATCTCTTAATAGTTAAATCGCTCGATCCAGTTATTAAAAACGTGGGATCCAGTGTGAGTTTATTCAAGCAGATTGCAGTGACTGCCCCTGCATGGCCTTGGAAAGTGGAAAACAATTCAAAATTCTCAACTTCATCATTCCAGGCCCACAACTTGGCTTCACCATCTTTCGACGCAGTGGCCACCCATCTTCCATCAGGACTTGCATCCAATGCATTCAAAATATCTCTATGACCTTCGCACAATTTCAACTCAAATGGCTTTTGCAAGTCCATGATCCTCAATGCCGGAGAGTTTGTCGCCATCGCCAACAAGCTACTGTTAGGGCCAACGTACCTCACATCGGCAATTATACCCTGATTACCAGCAATTCGCTTGACAACAGATAGTTCCTTCACGTTCTCACTTATTGTGCGTTGCTCTTGAGTTGAAAGATCCAACTCCACCAATGTTTGATCACTGATGACCAAGTACAATTGTTGATGGCACACTTTAATCACATCAATAATCAACAACTCCTCACTCGTCTCTAAAGGCTGTGGTGACTGAGCAACCAAGTCACCCGTTTTGATATCCCACAATCGCAAAACATTACTGGAGCCTGCAGTGTAGAAAAACTGACGCTCATTAGCATACCTCGTAAACCCACTTGCCTCAATCTGTTCACTTATCGGATAGGTGTACAACGGCTTGAAATTTTTTGTGTTGTATATAATCACAACATGATCTCTTCCACCAGTTATGAAATACTCGTAATTCTCATCAAATGCAACACCTCTAACGGCAGCATTGTGATCCTTTAAAGTATGTATACATTTCCGTTTCGACAAGTCCCATATTTTAACTGTACCCATTGTGTCACCACTAGCCAATCTCCAGCTATTCAAATTGTTCAACTCTCCATACAAGGTGATCGAACAAATCGTCGTTCCGTGCCCCTTCAAAGAATGGGTCACATATCCACCTTCAATATCCCAAACAGTCACAACACCATCTGACCCACCAAATGCAAACAACGATGACGTCGAATCCACGGTCGATATATAAACTGGTGATGAAAGCTTAAAAGTCTTTGTGATTTGCTTAGACGTGATATCGAAAATGCGTAGCTGTTGCGATTGTGAGCAGATGGCTAGGTATTTACCGTCTGGAGTGATGCATAAACTGGTGATTGCCTCGTCGTCATCTCCTTCGATTTTGTAGTAGATCTCGTTGGTGTTCAAATCAGTTATAACTACATCTTCATTGAGGGGTGTGGCTAGATATTGTCCATCTGAGGACGATATACTTGCGCTAGTGCCACCCAAGTAGATTGGTTCTGTCTCTTTATGTACATATGTTGTTTTCAAGTCCATGCTGGGTGCTGGGTGCTGGATGCTGGATGCTGGTGTATGTGTGTGTGTTCTACTAAGACCCCCTTTTGCAACAAAGACTTGAGAATTTTCTTTTTTTTTTTTTTTTATTTTCAAGATGAGCATATCTTTGGCTCTTGCAAATGTGTGTGTGTGTGTGTGAGTGTGTGTGCGCTTTAAGCTTATACTTTAATAATGTCTATCAGTATTTACTACACACATCTACATCTACATCTATATCTCTATCCACTCTATACCCAAGGACTTTGCTGTGTTCTCCATATACATCTCAATGTAATCCTCTAATCCTTGATTTTTTTCACTTGCGTCACCAGACACCCACTGTTTAAATCTGATCAACCTAAATAGTAAACTGGAAAAGACCATGGTCAACCTTATCCTGAATATATCCCAATATTCCCCCCAAGATACATTGTTTTCACTTGAAATAGCTGAAATTGCCTCACTGGTCAATAAATTTATTCGATTAACCGGTGATCCATACTCTTGATTGAGATTTTGAATCATCCTCATAGTCCTCACTATAAACGTCAATTCCTTGGGGAACTTCAGTTTATCACCAATGAAATCTTTAAACAAGTCAGATATATCACGATTGTCTTTACCGTTTGAGTTAGATGGTACCATCTTAACTGGACGTAATTGCACCAAGGTTGCAAAAATATCAGGAGAAGAAATCCCCCAATCAAGGGCAATTTCTTGCACACCGCTGGTGTTGAGTAGGAACAAGTCCTTCCAAAGCTTGCCATACTGTAGCCTAAATTTTTCAGGAAGTGTCGTGTACAACCCATGGTCGAGTAATACAAGTTCTTGCTGACCCCTCTCGTTGTATCGCGCAATCAAGTTGCCTGGATGAGGGTCGGAATGAACAAAGCCGTATCTGAAAATTTGTCTTCCAAAGAGCTGAATATACTGCTGCATCATTAACGTGAGATTGAAATTCTGATGCAATAGCTCGTCTTTTTTCGTCAACGCAACACCATCAATCCATTCAGCGGGAAGAACTTGCTTAGTAGTGAGTTCAGGATAATTTTTGGGGATTTTCAAATTCATATTCTTCAATTCTGAATCATCGTTGATCAAGTGTTGCAACTTTTGGGCATTTTCCATCTCATGAATAAAATTCGTCTCATTTTGCAACTGTTGAGATATAAACTTGCTGAACATCGTCAATGGTATATCAAACACTTTTTCATACACTCTTGAAATGAAGTTGTAAACCCATAAATCGACCACAACCTGTCTACTAATGTAGTGATGCTGCACTTTTAATGCAACTTCCCGACCTCCGAAATTGGACTTGAGTTTTGCTTTATGCACCTGAGCAATTGAAGCACTTCCAATGGGATCCTTATCAATCCAATCAAAATATTCTGCTTCATAATTTGACCCCAAATTTAACTTCAAAACAGCATCGACTTGTTCCCACGCATCAGTTGGAGCGTCATCATACAATTTGGGGAATTTGTCCTGGTAGGCTTTGGGGAATAAGGTACCCTGGTTTGCAATTGCTTGTCCTAGTTTGATGTAGAGTCCCTTATTTGTTGTCATCATCAGTAACAATTTTTCACTGGCAATCTCATGCAAATCATTCAAATCGCGATACCTGTTGCTATTGGACCCGTACTCATAAGCGACCCAGAGAAGTACATACAATGCGCGAGCAGTCCTAGTTGCAAGACTCGAGTTGTACTCTTTATCAATGATGTATATGGCGCCTCCGCTAACGGCGACAATGGCTGCTCGAAGTCCTGTTAGTTTAAGAATCTTTGATTGGTGATGAACATTGGGTTGCGCTTGGCGGATACTTGCAAAACTCCTTCCTCTGATTTGTGGACTGGATCTCAATATGGGAGACGACAACGCCCTATGCAAGGACCGACTGAACATTTACCTTGATGGTGTAGGCGTGACGTTTGCTGCGCTGAATGATTGAATGAGCAACAAAGTTGCAAAAATTAAAATCTATGGAGAAGATAATCTTTATCGAGAAGAGTAATAATTTTTACAGATTGAGTGACTTGAGGTGGGGAATGAAAAAAAAAAAAAAACCCCAAAAGCTCAAAAGAGAGCAATGCCATGGGGGAATGCATATTGGGGAAGGCATCCAACAATGTAGCAGATTCTCTTAAAGTACAACGGCAATTGTACAATCTCCCATATGAAATGGTACATGTCTCCCTCGGTACCAAATTATCTGGTAGCAAATCAATTGTTCAATTTTTACCCGAAGAGAGAGAGAGAGAGAGAAAGAAAGAAAAAAAAAATCATTTCATTATTATACCAACTTCCAAAACCCGTTAATCAACAACACACCACAAGCAATGTTTGCACGCCACATTTCTAAACCATTGGCCAGATCAATTCGTACCTATGCAACCGAGGTAGTTGTGCCACCACCAAGAACCAAGAAAGTTGGCGCATTCAGAGGAGGATTCATTGGATTCTTATTGGGTGTCACAGTCACTGGAGGCGCTTCATACTACTACTTGTTGGACCAATACAATGCTTCTAATACTGTTGTTGCTGCCGATGTAATTGCATTACAAGCTTCCATTAGCAATTTGGAGAGGCATGTCAAGTCGCTTGAGCAAAAGAAGTAAACTAATAAGAATATCAATCAAAAAACTTGAAGGATAGGAGTTACTATGTACATGTATTTAATGAGAATGAATATTCAACATGGGGGTGGAAACATGGATTAGACATGATTGTTCGTTTTGTCGTAGATTAGAAACATTTCGTTATCAAACCTCGGAGCAAAATTGGATAGCTTCATTGACAAATTGTGCAAATTCATCTTTGGACAACTCTCCATCTCCCAAGATAACCTCAAACCTCTTTCCTCCAAAATTCCCACCTTCTATTATACTCAAACACAACTCTCTGCCATTGAGGTCAAACATCAAGTCGGTCTTATACGTCAAATGGACGTAATCGTATTTGATAAACTTGCCATTGACACACAACTCGATTGATGATGACGGCTTGATTTTCACATGTCCCGCAAAACTCAATTGAGAATCTTCCAAGAATCTCGCCAAATTTGGCTGATTGTCAAAAGAAACCCCACTTTGTGCACGATCTTCCATCTGTGGATGCAACAAATCACCAACAATCAATTTCGACACTTGCAAATCAGTGGCTAATCGAGGAGCAGCAACGTAAACATTATTCATTGCTTCAATGGACAACACCTGCAATGTTTCCAATTTGATCTTGCCCCAGTCGTTCAAATCCGCTTGGATTTCAACTGGCGGATACTCTTGCAAAACTTGAGGATCCACATTGCTCGAACTGTGGTAAATTGAAGGACTTAACCGTATTTGCATCTTGTTTGTAAAAGTTTGATTGCCATTGTACAAAATAGGCAAGGATGTAGCCAAATCTTTGATGAATGGAATGCTAGTGAGAAAGCTAAATTTGTCTGAATTGGCTGAAAGAAGCTGCAGTGAAGTGGGCTCAGTTTGTGAGGTTTTCTCTTGCTTGTATAATAGAGAGCCAAATTGGATAGTGTAAGCAGAATATGGTTCTGTCTTTCTAGAAGAGCCAGGTAAGCCATTGGCAAATGACAAGTCATTCAATACAGTGTACAATTGGTCAATCCGCTCAGATGAAAGATTCCAGTGTTTTAGACGATCGAGGCCATGCAAGGGAGACTTTGCGGGAATGGAAAGGGAAGTGTCATTGGAGTTTTGTATTTCGTGATTTTCCTCTACTGAGTTAGAGAAGCTTTCTGATTTCTGCAGTGAATCAATAGCAGCACTTCCCTCATCTTCGGCAAATGCACCCAACTCGGTTCTTAGGATTTCCAAAGTCTCATCAGCAGTCTGTTTCTCAGCATCTACGATCAAGCTTGCCACATCAGGAAAATCTTCCGGTTTCAAATCATCTTCAAATGTTCCCAATTCATGGCGCAATGCCTCAAGATTCAAGTGTTGGTCATCAAGATTAGTTGCCGACAAAGACTCTTGCTTGTTTTTGACAATTTTGTCCAAATCGAAACCTTTTGCAAGTACAGTTTGTTCGCCTACTATGTTCAAATGTGGCGCAGTATCTGCCGTGTCACCATCAATCTCATCTTGCTTACTGGAACTTTCTTCTTGCTTTGGTCTTATTGATTTGAACATGCCCAAAATCTCATCCGATAATGCCTCATCAAGAAAACTGTTGTTGTCCGATTTCAAGGCTAGTTTTTGATCAACCAAATCGTCCAACAGCTTCAGCTTCAAGAATTTGTCATTCATCTTGTCAAATTTCTCAAACACCATTTCGCTCCCACTGCCTGGTTTCCTATCTCTATGGAATAGAGTATAATATTGAGCATGCTTCTCATTCCAAGGCCACACACCATCGTTGACATAAGGGAGCAATTGAGCTCCCTTTATGGCTTCTTTGTTGAAAAAAAAAGTCTGAATATGTGGGTTATGACCGAGAGCCCACAGTATTAGTCTCTTTGCCGTATCAATGCTTGATTGAGAATTTGCAGAAATTTTGAACCTACCATTACCAAAATCTTGGAAATATGACAGTGACGCAAACGATACCTCACCAAAGTCTAAATCGCGTCTTCTTTCCTTGTTAATGAACGACAAATCTATGATTTCCCACAATATTTGATTGTTCAATTTCACCACTTCAGCTTCAATATTGTCCAACTCCAGCTTCAATCCGGAAACAGCTAGTTTTGTTTTACTAAGCTGGACTTTGAAATTTGATGCAATGAGATTACGTGTGAATCTAGATCGTTTCGGGTCGAGGAGAAACCTCTGCGCCGGACTCAACTCAATGACCCGACTGCTAATTAACGCGTCGTCTGAAAAATTTGATGCTTGTTTGGTAATTTTCCAATAATGAGAGAATAATGCCTCGATTATTTGTCGTTTGTTTTGTCTCGACTTCAATGGTGGTAATCCTGGGTTTTTGGCTCTATAATTATTGATGTAGCTGATTATCTGGTTCTTTCTAAATGCATTGTCTATTTCTTTTGTTAATTTGTCGTACCTCTTACTTCCAATGTTTGTCTCAAAAGGTTTGAATGTCTCAATATACCTAGACAAGTCACCGTCGTCATCAGTCAGTGAATTCAAGACGCTCTTGTTTTTACGGTAAAGTTCTTGGATTAATGCCAAGTCTACTTTGGCAGCAGCTCGAGGTTGTCGCTGAGCCGGCTGAGTCGGCAGTGTCGACAGTGTCGACAGTGACCACTTCCCACTATCTCTTCTCTTTCGCCTTTTGATCTGATTGGGCTTCAAAAATATTCGTTTCTGTTTCTCATTCGGTACTTCTTGTGAAGATGATGCGGGTTCTATTACCGGTGAGTCTAGATTGTTACGCAAAGAACAAGTGAACGAAAATGATCGTATTGGAGCAGATCTCGGTTTTTGTCTCAAGCTATGTCGTATGAGCATTAGTGATGACTGTATATTATGCAATATAAGAGGGTCCCTTATGCAATGATCAAAATTGGGTAGCCGCTGCAAAAAGTAGAGAGAATCAAATTTTCCACTCATCTCATCCAATGCTACCAACTGACATCAAGAGAATGAAAGCACAAGCCTAAAGTCAACCAAACTTTGCAGACAATGTGGTGCCAAACGCAAACGAAGGAGAAGAAAAGATATGGACCAATTGCGCCGTTAGGTAATGAAAACAACTTTCATATTGTCTCTCTCTCTCTCTCTCGGTTACACCTTACCCTCACTCAAGTATGAATACTCATTGAGCTGTGGCTTTCTGTTAGTTCTCTTCTTTTTGATTCATTATCAGAGAAGTTTTGTAGATGACAAACAGCTCTTACGTGTCTCCTCTCCACACTCTCTGTATCTTTGGTTCCAGAGAGTGTGGATAAGTATTCGGCTTCACTAAAAAAGTGACTCGCTTTTAGATTCCATATTCGTTCAATACTTAAACATGTGGCTACCAATTGTTGAGAGAGAAAAAAAAAAGAAAACTCTAAAAGTTTCCATTTTGGGTGTTATCTGTATCTCGCTGAGTTTATCCCTCACTTGATTCCGCTCTTCACGGGAAGGAGCGGAAAAAGCACTCTCTCCCCCCCCCCCAAACATGTAACCTCCACATAAAAAGACTTACTTTCAGAAGAAAATGCCTTGCAAAATGAATGTGTCTCTAGGCAGCAGATGCTTTCCGGATATGAATTATATCATTTTATATTGAGTGGAAATAATCGCCTCCAGTTGAGAATCGATGCCGAGCAAGCAATATAGAATTAGGCACTTCTCTTGACTGGACAGTTCCATACCAAGCAAAACTGGCTTTGGTAAGCGGCTCTGCTACATTGTCTGATGTCTGTGGTTAGTTCAGCGGTTATACCCAAGAATGGTGTAGTGACTATTGCCTAGTGAAGTAACCTCTATAATTTTATGCTCGCTGAGTTTATCCATTTTTGAAAGAAGAACTGATACACAAAACCCTAAACGAGTACATAATCATCGGAGTAACATACAAATTTAATTACACAAAATGAAGGATTACATTTTGTTTTTTTTTTTTTTTTTTTTTTGAAAGAATGATGCTGTAAAGTATAATATAGAATATATATATATATATATAGTCCCTGTTCATTTCATTTTCAATCGTCTGTTTCTTTCATTCTTTCCTTCTTTCAGTCCCTTATTTAGCCACGTCATTCAATGTCTGTTAGATTATTACCTACTAGACTTCCCTCAAGACTTCTCACGACATCTAATGCTTCTGCAACCATAAAATCCTTATCACAAACACAATTCATTTATAGACGTTTCCATGACACACCAAATGCTCAAAGCACAGCGACACAACAATCACTTCAAAATGATCCTACTCATATGATACCAACAAACACTCCATCCGGCGCTGATTTAGCTGCACCTACTCCATCCTCGCCTCTTAGTTTCAGTACAAGTCTCAAACATCCAGGTAAAAAGGTGTCACCAAATGAATATCTCAAAGCATTCAACAACAAAGAGTTGATTTCGTTTATGATGATGGGATTGTGTACATTGAACAGTGCTACATTGAAACTTTGCATCAAGATGTTTCCTTATGTGCCAATGGCTGTTATCAAAGCATTGGTTTATAGAATATACTGCGGTGGAGAAACTTTGGATGAGGTTAAACAAGCTGGATTGCGCTTGCATGAAAGAGGCATCAACAATATGATGATTTCTTTGACAATCGAGGCATGTGACGGTAACGACAATATCGATCCGGAGTACATCATTGATGAAACTGTCAAGTCCATCAATGGAATTTTGGAGCCTCACACTAGAACAATGATTGAAACTTGTGACAAAAACATCAATGACATTCCATCAGGTTACGTTGCTTTAAAACCTACTGGATTTGCCAAGAATGCAGCACACGTTTTGAAAAACTACAAGAATGGAGAAGAGGCCGCTTTTGCTGAGTTGGTCGCTAAAGCAACCAGAGCATGTCAAGCTGTTTACGATGCAAACAAAAGATTAGCTAAAGAGTACCCAGATAGAACTGCGCCTTTTGTTGTTGCTGTTATTGATGCCGAAAAACACGATTTACAACCTGGCGTTTATGAATTGCAACGTCAATTGTATCAAAAATTCAACAAAGTGAACCAGCCTTGCTATGTTGTTGGTACTCTCCAAATGTACCTTTCTGAATCAGCCTCATTATTGGCACAAGAGGAGAGATTGGCCCAGGAAAATAACTACAGATTGGGTTTGAAGTTGGTTCGTGGTGCTTACATCCACTCTGAAAAGGAACGTTCTAGCATCATCCACAAAACGAAACAAGACACAGACGACAACTACAATGCCGGAATCACTTATTGTATCGACTCCATCTTGAACCAAAAGGATAAGGAATCCACTATCGGCCACTTGGTTGTTGCAAGCCACAATGCTGATTCATTGAAATTGGCCAGCTCTAAAGTTTACACTCAAGAAAATGCCACCAACATCAACAAGAGCAATGTCGTACTTGGCCAATTATTGGGTATGGCTGACAACATCACATACGACTTGATCAAGAACTACCAAATTGGTAATGTCATCAAATACGTTCCTTGGGGTCCACCATTGGAGACCAAGGAGTACTTGTTGAGAAGGTTGGAGGAGAATGGTGATGCTGTGAGAAACGATAACGGATGGCCATTAGTAAAAGCAACATGTGGTACTTTAATAGGAAGATTGTTCAAAGCTTGATATCAAAGCTTGACTTGGCATAGATTAGTATAATGATAATGACGATGTAACCAACAATGACTGTAGTTATTGTAGAAAGTTTGCTTTAACTTTTGCATGAGAGAAAAAAAAAAGAAAAAGAAAAATAAATATGCTAGGAAAGATCTGTCAAGCTTTAGAAAATTGATCTCCATAGTGGAGGATAATGAATTAGATGAACTTGGATACTCGTGCAGAGCTCTCTCAATCGGTTCGTATTCCGCACGACGAAGACAGCCATGAGAGTAATACAAGTTTGCTTGACAATGGTATCTTAGCGACAAGCTCCAATCCAGTTCAGTTGGATCAAGTTGACACTGATTCTCAGCAGTATAACTCGATAGAGGAGACAAAAGTGGACAAGGATAGCACTATGGAAGATAATTCAAATTACTACGAAGACCAACAACTGCTAACTCAGATGCTTACTTCGCATCATGGTCACAACAACTATTTACAGGATACACAAGTTATACATAATGGTGACGAGGTCATATCGATGGATATCGAGGGGAATTCTACCCAGAAAAGCAGGATCAATGATGTGGAAGCTGGTATATCAGATGAGATACAAACCCAAGAGCAGAGTCCAGATGCGACACTGACACAACCAGATTTTGACGCGTTACCTGACACTCAACTTATACCAATGGAGGCAGAATCTACTAAATTCAAGCGACGGAGTAAGAACCTACTAAGTGATTTGAAAGACACGCAGGTGATTTCCAATACGTCTCGCAATGATACTGGCAACCTCAAAGACACTCAGCCGATAAACTTACACCCTCAACGGAGATTTAGTGATGCTAGGAGCAGGCATGAAGATTTGGGAGAGACTCAAGTGATTATCAAACGTCGACCTCAGAAACTCCCGGATACGCAAGTAATCAATCATGCTAACTGTGTACCGGATTCCGAAAGTCCTGAATCACTGGAGTCTGGTTACAAAGTATTCGATGCACCGAGGGATAGGTTAAGCAAAAAGAATGAACCCTTTGTCCGCTCCAAATCCAAACTGTACAAGGATCTAGCAGACACTCAAGTTATTACTAGACAGAGAACCAACCATCTGCAGGAAAATCAGCCAAATGGAATCGATGAGGAAAATCCATTTATGGACTCACAATCTCACCAAATTGATGTCAACAATATTCAACAAGCATCACATAGGCAAGTCATACATACACAAGATGAAGCTGATACTTCGTTGTTTGCACTGAAGCCTAGCACGATGGAAGTCCAAACGGACGAAGAACGGGACTCTTCGCATAGCAAAGAGGAAGATAGTAAAGAAGATGACATCTTCAACGACTTGAAGGAAAGAATATACCGAGGGAACAATAATCATAACAAGCGCCGACTTTCTCATAGCCCCTTCAAGATAAAACGCAGCAAAACCGCCAATATTGAAAAATATGGCGATAGCCATGAAAGTGAAAACTACTTTTCCGCCACTCCCAGTGACCGCATTCAATTGCGAAATCATACCGAGCCATTGGTGTTTGCATCACCATTTGACAAGACCATTTCTGTATCATCTTCCTCGCCAAGTAAAAAAGTTGCTGATCAGCTGGTACGCACCGATGAGGATCAAACTCAGGCTGATGTGACTATTGATGACAGGCTCGATGTGAACATGGAAGAGGAGAAATTGGAAGACGAGTCAAGAAGTGAGTCGTCTAGTGATTTGAAGAGTGCGCCCATGCGACACGTTTCTCCACCCAGTTCTCCTGATGATATTGACTCAATGAGCTTGAGTGAGAGCGAGGAGGAGGAGGAGGAGGAGGAGGAGTACAAGGAGGAGACAGACGAAGACGCTGGAAACGAGAGTGAAACTAGCAATGACAGATTTGGTCATACAAGTATTGCTGAAAAGACTGCCTCAGACGAGCGCAGAATCGTGCCGAAACGAAGAGTAAATAACATTGTTGATTCACAAACACCCTCCTGTGGCAGTACTTTACCCCCAGAAGACGATGAATATGTCATTGCGGGAGTCTTGCGGAAGGAAAAATCAGATGTCATCTACGATGATGATATTGTTTACCCAGGTAGCGTCTGGGCCACGTACAACTTGAAAATGTACAGCGGATTCATCAGTGCAAGGTACAACGATTACCTGATTGTTGAATTCGATCAAGAATCGTCGCGCATCAAGAGTGAGGATTTGAACCCTTTGGATATCAGGATTGGCGATACGTTGAATGTAAAGGGCAAGCGATTCAAATGTGTCGTTACTGGATTATCGATGGAAGACTCCCCAAATGGGATTCGATGTATTCGGGGATACAACATGGTGCATGTCAAGAGGAACTCTAAACCTAAATCTAAATCTCGTAAAGCATCGGATGATACTGAGTATGTGTTTGGTGTATCGCAATGTTCGATGGAATTGGGTGATTGGGTTATGCATCAACAGAAGTTTCAAATCAGGCGACGGAGTAAAGGACACAACCAAGCTGAAGGTGATGGTAGTGGTAGTGGTGCTGGGAATGAAATGTTTGCCGTCCCGAATTCACCCATGAACCACATGGCAAGTGGTAGTGGAGTGGCGAACTTGAAAATTACATTACCATCGACGCCTTTGAAATTATCTCGTCACTCAACAATGTCCCGCCCGCTCAGTCCATCTCCGAAAAGGGGCATCAATCAAATCTCACGACTTTTCGCTGACAGATTATTTTGCATTACAAATATTGATGGGTCTAGAAAACACACGATCAAAAGCATTATTGAATCTAATGGAGGCACTTTTTTGGATACCAATTTAATGGACCTATTCCAGTACTCGAAAAGACCACAAGCTGAAGGTAATGGACTCTATCTCAAATCTTCCTACTCCATCACTAACGAATTGACATTTGCAGCGTTGATATCGAGCAATTATTGCCGAAGTTCAAAGTATTTGCAGGCTTTAGCTCTAGGCTGGCCCATTCTATCTGAATGCTACATTGACGATGTCGTCAACGGTGTGGTTGGTATAGAGCAATGGCCAGCGTATTGTTTGGCTGCTGGTCACTCAACAAAGTTGAATGCGTTGGCTAATTGTGACTTGTACAAGTTTCGTAGGAACTACGAGTTGGGCCATTCGTTGGAATTTCAAATGGATTTAAAGAGCCATTTGTTAGCGGGTTACAATGTCGTTATTGCATCGTCGAATTTGCAGGAATCGCACAAGAAAAGTGTGATTGAGATGGATACTTGTAAATTCATCTTTCATGCATTTGGAGCAAGATCTTTAAACTATGCCAATTTGCCAATTATCAATTCCCAACGCGATGGCGATGGCGATGGTGTAGCCGATGACGAGTTTGTGCACTTGGTGAAAAAGTTGCATTCAGAAGACAATGGCGAGATTCTAATCTGTGATTATGGGAATAACCAAGTCGCCAAACTGTTCTACTCTATAGCTGATGGTGCATCCAATCTGGCGAACAAGTCAATCAGGAGACATCACAATCGACTAAAGAGACAACACGAAACTATTGAGTTGAAGGTTGTTGATTGGGAATGGGTGGTGCAATGTGTCATCTCGGGCCATATCTGGCAACCTACTGCAACGATCAAGATTAATGGATGATGATTCTACATCTCACAAGGAATAGCAACATACCATTTCAAAATACAATTTATAAACCTATACACTTCACTCTAATATACATTATTGACACTATTGAACCAAATTTTCTCACTTCTTGTTATGAACGCTTTCCAGAGTATACATCTTTAAGGATCATTAATAATTAATATTACAAGATTTTATATACACTGGGAGTCATAACACATTACACGATTGCAAAAGGAATAAAGGGCAGTAAAGAACACCATCAAGAACAAAGTAGTCTTCCCTGTCTAATCATCTCTGGTTAACCCTCATTTCTATTGCAATTGATTTAATATCGAGTTTAAATCATTTCCATCATCATGATGCACTTGCAGCACCTGAGGCACCAGCGAACTGCTAGAGTCAGAATAGCTAGGTCCACCACGAGCATAGCTTGGCCGATGTCCATTGCCATTGCCATTGCCATTGCCATTGCCGTTACTGCGAACACTACTAGCTCCACTGCCACTGGGCGTATAATTTTTCTGCACAACAAACACGGCAAACAAGCCAATCTCGACGCCAAGTTGCTTGTGTTTATGCTTCTGCAAAACTGGGGCCAATTGAGGATCTCTGAAATCGATGGGCATCAAGTACGAGTCCTTGACGAATGAAGGCTTGCCACTCAAGACCCCAACTCGATTCTCCTTGATCAAGTAATGATACAATTTATCAAAGTGCCGTTTATTCCTATCCTTGTCGAATGTGTCATTAACATCAGCAGTAGCAGTGGGTGAAATTTGAACAATGTACAAATTTCTCGTCGACACAATGGCATTCAAGTACGCGTCACATTTATCACGACCTAGTTTTCCTTGGATGATGTACTTTGATTCAGTAAATATGGATTTGGCAGTCTGGACCGAGTTTGCAGATGCTGTATCAGGCTCTGTGGATGAGTAGAATGTAGCATCGGCATTGAATTGAGCAAAATCTGGGAATGTGATTGATCCACCCCAAATTTGTTGCCTAGTTGGTGGTGCAGCGGATGAAGCTCTTGAGGCATTGCTCTTTTTCTCCTCACCCAAGATGGCGCTCAATCTATCTTCATCGGGCGTTTCTCCCGCTTGTTCATCACTTAATGAGCTAGTAGATTTTGTGTCAATGTTGGAGTCCTCAACCCCACTTGATTTCTCTTTACTACTACTGCTATCATTTTTACCCTTCTTTCTGTTAGCTTCAGAGCCAGTAGCATTGTTCTTGTAATGGGCATCATCATCATCATCATCATCATCATCACCCTCCTCCTCTTCCACATCGCTTCCATTATCACTTCCAACATCACTCACGACATCTTGGATATCACTATGTTCATTCTCGCTTGAGAAATCTCCACCGCCTAATCTAGGGTTGGCATTATTGTACGCACTCTGTTCAATAGAATCAGGGATAATCTTCATTGGAGTCGTGCTATCACGATGAGAGAATCGACGATGATCAACTTTCCTAGTAGCTATACTCTCATCAATTTGATCAATAGTTTCATTTTCATTCTCTTTGATAATCTCCCCCTTGTGCGTTCTTCGAACAATTTGATCCTGTTCAATCTCAACAAGCACTATATTCTTGATATTTTCCTTATTCTGTTGTTCAATCCTTGCTATATCCTCATTGATTTCTTGCGGGGTTTTTTTCACAACGTCGTCCAAAGTGATCTTTCCCGCAAATATGTCATTGGTGAAGTGTTTCTTCAACACAAACAATACCCTTCGACTTTCATCCGTGTACTTCACTTTAGCGGTTTTGGCAGGAAATTCACGATCAATAATACTCTCAACTTCCAATGCCAATGATGCAGCTTTGTTGTCCTTAGTTTCTTCATCCACACCTTCCCCGTCCTTAACTGGGTATGCCTTTTTGAAAAAATTGTAAAATGCCTTTGCAATACTAATTCGAGTAGCATCACTTAAAGCTGCAAGGATTTTGGAAGGTCCGTCATTGGCAGTGGGGGCTGGTGACTGAGTTTTGGAATTTTTGCCACTTGCGGGACTCTGAGCACCAGTTGAACTTTTCTTTCTTTTGGCACTAGGCTCTCCATTTGTGGCAGTAGTAGCTGTCAGGTTTCTTTTTCTAATCTTGGGTCTTGGAACTCCAGAACATTGATCACAGTTGTAGTTGTCTGGTATCGACTTTTTCTTCAAACCCATACACTTTATATGTTGCCAGGTGTTGCACTTGTCACACTGAACCATATCTCCATATGGATCAAAATCTTCGTCAAAATTCTCAGTAGTGGTTCCACATGGCCCGCAGTTTATCTCGTCATGATCCGCATCATCGTCATTGTCAACCACATGATCTTCTTCTTCATCGTTTCCATCAGCTTGACCATCTTCAACGTATTCAGGATCAATTCGTGATTTGTTGCTTGTGGTGGCAGTGTCCGTAGTTGTGGCTAAGGTGGTGTCTGAATCCTTCTCACTTGATACAGTATGTTTGTTATCACGGTCGCCATGTTCATAGAAGAACTCATCACCATGGCCCCGGTGCGTTCCTTTGTTACTCCTAGCTGACACTCTAGGCATGTTTTCAGCAGATGTAATAATTAACACTTTCGATGGATCGAGGGCGAGAAGTACACAAGAGTAACTGAGTGCTGCGTGTGTGTGTGTGTGTGTGTGTGTGTGTGTGTTCGTAATTGTAAGTTTAATTCCGGTGATTTCAGTGTACCTTTTCCTCTCTTTATTTGCAAGCAGAGCTGATAGTTTCTAGATAATAGCAGTAAAGATACAGGCCTGCTTTCGATAGTTACGTAGAGACGTTGTTTGTCCAGTTCCCAATACTCTATAGTGGCTTGGAGTTAAGTCACACTCCCTTTGGTTGTAAATCTATTCTTTTTTTATTTTTTTTTTATTTTTTTTTTTGCCTTCTTTACAGAGACAGAGACACTCAAAGCATCAAATGTCTTTGGTTTCACTCACACTACCTCTAACTTGCGCACGACCTTGTCTTTGCCTTTCCAAATTTGCAATCAAAAAGAACAAACCCAGACATTTGCAATCAGTATTAACTAGATGCTACAAATCAAACAACTATCATTAAATGCTTCAATTCCCTCTATTCTATGCTATAGATGCAATATATATATATATATATATAAAACCATAAACATCACTACCATTGTCTCCTCCAATAATTCTTCTTAATCACTCCACACCAATCCAGATATCACCCAAATAATCAAACATTGCCCGCTCTTTAGGCCCATATTCAATCACCAACCCTTCCATCGTATTATCCTCATGATCATTAACCTTCCCACCAATAGACAGATACCCGCACCAAAGATACTTTTGACAATAGTTCTGGTCCATTAACCAACCATGCGTAGGTTCGTCTTGAATGTTTCTTCGATGGTGGATCTCGGGGTCTTGTGGAGGTACAATCGCCGTCTTGATTCTCAATGGACTGTAGTAGAACGCTCTGAAGGCTTCTATTGTCTGAGGAAGTGATTTCAATCTACTGCCAAATGTAATCTCCTTGTTGAAATTGACCATTGGTGCTTGATGGCAGAACCTGAAACCGGAATTGATCCATAGTAAAGTATGATTGTTTTCTTCACTAATGTGTCCCGGGTGTGGCGAACACAATTCTTTCGAATTGTGCAATGTGCCATCTGGTCTTGGTCGTTCATGAGGATTAGTCATTTCGCCAATGGCAGCAGCGCCATGTTTGTTGAAATGGTAATTTTCATCACCAGCAAGCGCAAAACCAAGCCAGTAAAGTTCCTTGTCCCCATACGATAAGCGTTTCAATGGATGCATGAAATTCATATGGACAACCATCAAGATGGAGTTGAAGTGCAATGGACGATTGATTAAAACCATTCCTGATTCCATTGTGTGTAGTAATCCTCGGAAATAATCACGACGTAATGTGAAGTCGGTAAGCAACGGAACATCAAACATGAGTGAGTCAACGGTAGATTGGCTAATCTTGTGGAAGAATTGACCATCCAGTAAATGACGATTTTGAATAACAGCACGATCACGAAAGAAAAAAGTACCGGTATCTTTATACCCCTGGAGTTGGAAATACTTTTTTGGGTCCTGCATCATCACAGTATCAGCATCAATCACCATCATCTCATTAAAAGAATTGAAAAAAGTCGCCAATAACTTATTGGCAAACCCACCAAATTGCAGCTTGTACCGTTCATTAATCACACTGGCCGTATTGACAAACCATACTTCCTGTTTGGGTAACCCTTTTGACTTAGGATCAAGATAATCCAGGGGGAACAAGTGGGCTATCTTTTGGAAGGATTGGGGTAAATGGGAGAAATCCTCACGGGCAGCAGTAACAATTTGTCTCTTTGTGTCATCGTTCAAATTGTCATGATAGACAATCTGGATGGGTAATTTGTTGTTCAATGCTCGAAGCAAATGGATGAGACTGACAGTATACTCAACGTGCTTATCAGCAATGGACAAAACTATACCCTTTCCTTGACAAGCATGTTTAAAGTTTCGGAGGAAATTGTTTGACTGTTTCAATGATGTTGGCCATGATGCCGATGACGATGATGACGAGGAGGAATAAGATTTGGCCAATGGCTGAGTGGGGTCATTGAGAATGTCACGGTAATTTGGTGGCGAGTTGAAAATTTCACCCGTCCATCGTTCAAACACAGGTAACTCATAAGAAAGCCAAGGATACACACGACGCTGGAAAACTTCACTAAAGTCAACATCAGCAATGCGCTGTTCAGGTTCAGATGTAACGAATTTGGGAATTTGTGACCTATCATCGTCAATTTGCCGTATTACTGATTTCTGCTGCTTGATAAATTTTGCAGTTTGTTGTTGTTGTTTAGGTTCGTCATTGCTCAAGTAGCATTTGTTGTATAATCGCAACACACTGACATTGTCAACTATTTTCTGATCCAGTTCGTGCGATTTCCATTTGGTGTATGAGCTGCGCTGGAATTCTTTGTAGTCGGGAGTGTCAACAAACAGAGCAACAACGTCTCTAGGGTTCAAATTGTTTTGGAGAGGTCCATATTGATTTTGTTGTTGTACTGGCAGATTCTGACCGCCTTGTTGCTGTTTTTGATTCTGTTGATTCTGTTGATTCTGTTGTTTCATGGGCTGGGCATTCTGCACCTTCAAAGCTTGTTCCTTTTGACGTTCAAGACGCTGAAGTCTCTGCAACTTTAGATGCAATTCCACTTCAGTTGGTTCCTTTATCGGCACCTGCTGCTGCTTCAACTGTAACTGTTTCGCGTACGCCTTTTCCAATTCTTCCTTGTGCATCTTCTTGTACGTTTCAAAGGGAGCACCCCAAACCACATTATAGTTCTCAGTAGGGTCGAATATCCAATTTGGGTTATTCAAAAAGATGTGTTTGAAAAACAAGTCACATCGTTGTTGGAAATTCAAATTCCCCAATACAGAATCCATGGAATGATGTTGGAAAATTGAGTCGTATACCGTTGAGTGGAAATCAATTTGTTTGGAAAGGTTGTAATCATCAAGTAGGTTTTGGTATACTGTTGTGTTTTTGAAATTAGGGAATAGCAAGTCATCTCCATCAACAGCATCATCTCCATTTTCAGCTAATGAATCGGTTTCTGTGGCTGTGTCTGCTAGTGATGGTGGGAATTTTTTCCCTGTGTTGGAAGTTCCGGATAGCTTTGGACTCGATGGTTGTTGGTTATTATAATGGTCGTCATACATGTCATATATTGAGTGGTTGAGTAAAGTTTCAGACTTGTAGTTGTAGTTGTAGTTGTAGTGGTACCACGTGAGAATCAATAGTGCCCATAGTGCTACTGAAGCATAATATATGGTTACTTTCTTTCTTGATCTTGACAGTAGCTTAATCATGGTGAATGTGAGGGGGAGGGGAGGGATGCTGAGGTTGTGTGAGCAGGTGCTGGTGCTGGTGGATGCAAAGGGACCGAATTGATTGCTATGTTTGTTCTTTTTGGCCGCAAATATATGCCTATGGGGCAAGGTGCAATTGGTGGTAACTGGTGATAGTTGAAATGTACTGATTAATAAAGAGAGACAGAGAAGAGAAGAAAAAGAAGAAGAAGTAAAGGGAGAAAGAAGGGACGGATGGTTAGTTATAGACCTTTGAATTGAAGGTTTCAGGGCTTTTTCGTTTGAAAAAAAAAATGGTTTTGTATAGAAGACACAATGCATTGTATTGTGCTGTATTGTATGTGTGTTTGGATGTGTGTAGCCTACGGTTGTCAATTTATACTTTTTGTGTTACAAAAGAAATTTTATTTATTTTTTTTTTTGTTCACATAATATTACACAAACCTAGACATGCAATTTTCATTACGGGTGATATTGATGATGATGACGCAATAATGACTACTGAGCTAATTGCAACGTTTCCCAAATTAGGTCTCAGATATATTAGGCGGTTGCATTTAGGTGGGATAGTCAACAAGGGTGTTAGAAATAAGGAAAAACGAACATATGGAAGGGATAAAAAAGAGAAATCAGAGAGATCAGCACGTGGCTTAGACAATTAAAAAAAATGCCCAACTTGGGAAAACATTGAGTGGGCAAAGTACTGGAATGTGGGTATATATAACCATGGAAGGTAGAAGCCACAATGAAACTCACAGGAGGGGTCTTTTATTTAACGCCTTGTTACGGAGATATAGAGAGAAAGGATACTATTCCCGAAACAAAAAGTAAAGATAACCATTTGACGACTTATAAATCTTCTGGGCATCATCAATTACTATTACTTTGCCCTAAACTAACACACACACACACACACACACACACACGCACTCCCTCGCGCATCCTCTCCACCCGCTCAGAATAAAAGAGGAGAACGTTTTCCTTTTTTGCTTGCAGATCCTTTTCTGTCGGTTATTTTACTTTTCAAGAGCGAGAGATTACGAATACGAATGAGCATTGTAATCCTTTTTAGAGGAAATTGTGCATATACAGACCCTTAGATGAAATTCATACCCATATGGTAGTTACGTTGAAACATTGATGGGTTTAGACCAGTTGCTTTTCTTAGTAATCTCACTTAGGCATACACGTAAAGAAATACGTCAGGAGTAAGATAACGTCCACTTGTGAACAATGTAACACGATAGTTTTACCTATTACGTTAGTTATTGTTGTCCAAACTGTTTGTTGTCAAAGTAGATTGGTGGTGGACTAACCCTTTGTAAATACATCTATTATACTGCTACTAAATCCTTCTTCCACCTTCCTCCCTCTCCCCCCCCTTGAATCGCAGTGATACACAAACTGTAGATAAGCTATCTCAAACTCCATTTTTTTCTTGGCGATGGGACTCCTAAGGACTTCAATAACCTAAAAACGTATTCTTACCAACAGGGTTACATCGAGTATCATCATCATCATCATCATCACTCCTCTTTCTCTCTGAAGGAAGTTCGCACGAGCAGAAAGTGGTCTTACAACCAGTGTTCACCTCTCCTATCCCTTTCAACTGCGCCTCCCCTTTTCTCTCTCTCTCTCTATCTCACACACTATCCGACCTCAGACAATACTACCTGCATACAAATACCACCAACACTGTATACAGCAAGAGTACAAATACATCAACAATACAATCGACTCAGGCACACACTTTTATTGTTCTTCATTAAAACAATCATCCACGTTAATTATGAATAGATGATGTAATGGTTATACTCCCCCTACAACAGACATCAGACCATAAACGGTAAAATGTAAACACAACCTCTAGTACATCCTGTTCAAAGTAATCAACGGATGAAAGTAAATCAATGGGAACAACTTTGTGTTTCCGCATGAATGATAAATCAAGAAATTGCAACAAGCCTTGTCAATCAATGGCATGGCCATTTAAGGCTTGCTCTAAAAAGCTTTTACACGCAACTAACAAATTAGAATCCTTTCCAACTAGAATAAACTTAAATTGTAAAATACATTGAATACCTAAACAAGTCAAACAACACCTTTGAAACAAAACTGAAACACCCCACAAAATATAAAAATGGAAGCATGCAACGCATCTCTCTTAACACCTCATCCCACAACAACAACAACGGCCACAACCGCAACAGCTACATTCTTCTCTCTCTCTGTCTCTGTCTGTCTCCCCAATTACATCCGCTCAATCAAAGCCATCACGTCGTAATCATCGCCCAACATCTCTTCAACATTGGCCAACGCAGCTTCACTAAAAAGTCCCGATTTCGTAGATCTATACCCAGGTGTAACACTACCAACACCACCAACACCATTGTTACCACTGTTATCACCACTGCCTGCTCCAGCAGCCACCCCCAACGGTCCTAGTGACGACTTGCGCCTCTTTACATAAGCTGGACCCAGTGCTTGCTGTATTTGCGGTTGAGCAGCACTAGCACTATGCTTGTTTGCATATTGACTCTTCTGTCCTTGCAAGCTGCTACTGCGACGACGCTGAGATCTTTGTTGATGATGTTGATGATGATGAAAGTGATTCACATTCTCCTGCTGTCTTTGCTGCTGCTGCTGTTGCTGTTGCTGTTGTTGTCGGTGATGATGATTGTGAAGTATCGACTTATTCCTAAACGCACCCAAAGGAACCCTTGATTTCTGTGCATTGTTGAAATCCCGCCATATCCTCACATCGTTCTCATCATCGTTATCCAACTCACTCACATTGAGCAAATCATCCAACCCCAATACCAGAACCAGCAGCTCGTCTGAATTTACTTGTAGACCGTCCTGGCCAAAACCCAGACCCAGACCCAGGTTCATACTCACGCCCAGCACCATTTGTACTTGAGGTTGCAGCATATTTCCATGCCGTACATTATACCCAACGCTACTCCTCTTATTTGTCCCCGACGCTGTGGCTGCAGATGTTGCTGAAACCAATGCCGATCGCGAACCCGGAGAAAGAGATCTTTGACGATGTTGCCCACGATGACGTCCATCAGCAGTGGTAGTACTCATCCCCCGTGGTTCTTGTGACCTTTGACTCAGTTGCAATGTCCGTGTACTCATTCCATCAATAATTCCAAATGGCTTAGAATCTATAGTCACCCATGACCCCAACATTGGTGGACGGTAATCGGCAGTTTTCGACGAAAGCACCTCTGTAGCCTTTTTCGATCCAATCTGTGGTGAGGTATTGGCGTTTCTCGGTAATGATTCATCAACATCAGTCGATTCAGAACTATCGTAACCATTTTCGTCTTCGTAATCTACATATCCACCTTCATCATCTCCTAAATGACCGGCATACCCCGGTACCGATGCTGCTGCTGCTGCATCACCATTATCAACAGCAGCAGCAGAACCACCACCTATCCGATCAGCAAAGCCTCGTCCACTCTTGAATTTAAACTTGGTGGAATTGAAGTCTGGTTTCTTGGTCCTAAACGTCTTGTCACGATCAATTTCATCAAATAGTTCATCAACATTAGAATGCGTAGTTTTCAATTTCCGTTCTTTGTTATTATTGCCACTGCCACTGCCACTGCCACTGCCACTACTTCTCCTTCCTCTCCTCCTTTTCCTGCCAATGTTTTCATGTTGAACTAGAGTATCCTTTTCAACATCACTCGATGAATCATTATCTGAACTGAAAAAGTAATTCCACAAGTACGAATCGTCATCGTCATCATCGTCATCGTCGTCAAGTGCACCATTGCCCTTCTTGTGGACTCTTTTGCTTTTCTTACTTGGCGATGACAAAACACTGCCACTCTTGACTCTTCCATCATCACTTTCATCAAAAAATGGGACATCAAAGTCAATAAAGTCAATATAATCATCCTCATCGTACTCACTATCCTTAGAAGCACTGCTTTCATATTGGACAATTGGTTTACTACGATCTTCACCAATACCCTTGAACGAATTCACTATTCGTTTTGATGTCGAATACTCACTATCGCCAAAAGTAAAATCATCGTCCTCATCATCGTCCTCGTCATCGTCTTCTTCTTCATTATAGATATTTTGACTGTCGAATTTGTCATCACCATTGTCATCAAAGCCATTATTTTCAAACTCATTGACAAGAAACTTCTCCTCCTCTTTCAAAAAAGGGTCATTTTCATCGTCGTCGTCGTCATCGTCGTCGTTGTCGCGTTCATCTCCAGTGGCACCACTACCACCTTCAAGATCTGCATCAGCACCAGTAGATTCGTCCGCTCCTGCACTAATACTGCCAATTTTGCTCAAATTGGCGACAGACTTATCACCCGACGTTTCAATAACAGAATCATTCCCTGGCGGTAGCAAGAACTCATCAACATCATTTTCAGCCTGCAAAGTAGCCAACAACTCATTATCATCAATCTCATAATCCTCATCGGAATTCACATCACTGTCATTCATCTTGGGAACATGCAAAAGATCCTCATCAAATTCGAATTCAAAATGCAGCTGCAGCTGCAGCTGTTGTTGTTGACTCTGCTGTCCACTGGTATTGGTGTCTAATGGTATGGTTGGAGAATAGTCCACTTCCTCTCCTACATCCTCTTCCTCAGGAGGAACTTGGGTCTTGACAAAGCTATCCGATTTCGAATTTGTTGTGTTCCTCTCATCACCATCTTCTTCTTTCTCTTCGTCAATGTCATCAACATTATCAAACTCAAACTTGAAATTGATATCTGGTAAAATGACATCGGACTTTCGTCTCCCATACTTGACAGAACTTCTTCGACGTTTGGTGGTGCCTTTGCTCTTTGACTTGTCTGAGTTACTTGTCTCCCCATTACCAATTGAGATCAATAATGCATCTTTTCCAACCTTCTGTTTTTGCTCCTTCTTCAATCCCTTTCTGGCTCTAGCAGCCTGTAAGGAATTTGCCTTTTGCTGCTTTTGCAATCTAACGAAATCGACATCGGAATCATCATCAGATGAACTGTAAGTATCCCCGTCTGATCCATCATCGTCATCATCATCATCATTGGACTCCCCTGACTCCTCGGAATCGTCAGCACGTAACTGTTTTCCGTTCTGCAAAAGAGCATATAATCCAGCCACATGCTCTTTTTCCTCGTCATCTTCACTGTCATCGCCCTCATTGCCATCGTCATTGTCGTCGCTGTTGTCACTACCTCCATTCGAGGTTCTAGTGACGTCGGAAACTAAATCTGAGCGATCAACTTGACCATTATCGTCGTCATCATCCTCATCTGAACCAGATGTAATCTCAACTACTTCATTTTCAAAATTTTGTAAATCTTGTTTCGACAACCCAAGTGATTTCCTCGGTGTGGCTTTTCTTCCGTAAACACCCTTGCCCTTTTTGCCACCACCAACTACTTTCTTACCTTGGGATTTCTTGCCAGGCTGTGCCGTAGGATGGGTGTATTCGTGGTCGGAAATAGCAGTCAATGATGAGTCAGAATCTGAATCAAGATAATGGACATGCTTTGTGCCAGTCTTGTTGCCGTGTTGATTTGCTGTAGTAACCACTGCTGTAGTCCTGGTTTTATCTGATTCATCGTCGTCATCAGATAAATACTCCTGTGATGAGGATGAGCTTGTTGAATTGGCAATACTAAATCTTCGTTTGTTGTACGCTTTCAAGTTTTTACCACCATATTGATGTTGTGTTTGATGTGTTTGTGGCGCCAGGTAGACATTGTTGTTCTTGCTATAAGTAGCTTTCGCATTGTTTGAGTTGTTGCCATGATAGGCTTTACTTGTAGGACTTTTCGGCATTGTGAAATTGCGAATCTCTTTGTCTGAAATTTCTCTCTTTCTCTCTCTTTCTTGTTGTTGTAGTGAATGAATATAGCTTCCCCTATCTCCTCCGCTGTAGCAAAACTCTTTCTATAGCAAAGTAGTGTTAAAGAATATGGGTACAGCACTAATTCTCTGTCTCAATCTCCTCCTTTCCCTGAATAAATCAATAGTTTAAAAAAAAAAAAGAAGAAGAAGAAGCACACTATACTGAATAATGATGCTGCGCTTCTTTCTATAATCAAAGTAATTCTGTTTATCGACTTCTCTTTCTTCCCAAATGATATTTCCTTTATTTATGCGATATAATGAAATGATTGGTAAAATAGATGTATATAAGTGAAGTAGTCGTTTGTATATTTCGATAGTTGCACATAATACGGAAAACAACTCTATGTGTGTAAGAAAAACAACAACTGTCGAGTTATCTTGGGAGTATAGCTGTGGTTTTAGCTTGATGAAATGTCAGGTGTATTGGGAGTGGTATGTTGCTAAAAACTGAATAATCCCTTTGAACCTCCTGCTTTCTGCGTTATCTAATTCGTCTTTACTTGGTTAATTGGCGTAGGCTTATCTTTCGAATTATGCTTGTTGATTTAAGATAAGTTTAGTTATATATCTCACCTGATATAGGTATATATGTATTTCTTCTGTCTAAAGAATAGCTGGTATAAGAAGAAAAGAAGGAGTTTCTGCCCTGCTTCTGCTTCTGCTTCTGCTTCTGCTTCTGCTCTTCTCAGAAAGTTTTTTTCTTTTTCTTTGTTTGAAATTTTGATCTAAAGTACACTACCATTGGCTGTTTATCTCAGTCACACATTTAAAGGTCAAAGTAGTTTATAAGTATGAATAACTGTAAAGAAGGTGTCTTGGTAGATGTAAGTTCTGACGAAATACCTCGTATATATACAAATTGTATGTCGTTACATTGGCTGGTCGTTTCACCAATCTCTCCTCCCTCCCCTTCTTCCCTTTTTCCCTCCCCCCCCTTTTTTTTTTTGTTTTCTAATCGTATTGTCTTTGTGATAACTCCATCTCCAACTATTTTGTTGCATTGAATACAACCAGAAGACTTTTAGTCGCCAACAGTATTACCCGTTACTCAATACCATGCTATCTTCTCTCCCAAAGCATTATTACCAAACCATTTACTATCATTTCCAAGTGATTTATGTTACATTTATCTTGTATACCAAGTACTGTGTACATACACTGTGTGCATCTGAATCACAATATCTTTCTCTCCTATTTGTGGTTTGTTCTACTGGAATTACGTAATACAATAAGACCAAACCATCCAAAAATTGGATCCACAGTTTTCTTTATCACTTAAGCATAGCCATCAACTGGATACAATAATACACTGCATGACTCCCCACAATTACGCAAGTGTCCATCAAGTAGCTATATACCATGCCCCCTTTTGAGTTGGAAATCAAGAGTCTCCTTCAGGAAATGACAAACATTGGAATAAAAACACTGACTAGCAGATCACCGCTTATCTAACTCTCACGAGACATATTACCAAATATATACCGTGTGCAATGGTTTCACTAATTAGTATACAATTTTATATATTATTCCTTCTAACCATAAAGTAGAAGCCTCTGAAAGAGTTGCAATCTGCTACTTCCCTATACTAATCTATAACTAAGTGTCAGGGCTATTTCAAAACTATTGATTTTCCATCCCTCTTCTCTTCTTCGCCACATAACCCCCTTTCCCCCTTTCCCCCGCCTCCCCTCCAGTACTGCATTTAATTTCTCTTGTCAGCTTCTGAACTAGCAGTCAATCTTGCACTCAACTCAATTTGGTCCTTAACAGCCTTGGTCAAATACTCAATCATTATAACATCTTGATTGAAATTATCAAACAACTTGTTCAATTCTTCGACATCAGTCAACACTGGTGGTTTAGTCAATAATGTATTGCTCAATTTTCTCAACAAATCAAGATTTTCATCTGACTGGTTCTTACTGGCATTTTCATCAATGTATGCAATCAAATTGGCAACATTGTGTTGCACCTGTTGTAAGTTATGAGTGAAAAACGGATGTCTACCATCAATAATTGATGAAATATCCGAAGAAGAGCTATCGACGACCGAGTCTTGCAATGACTTATACCCAAGCTTTTCAGTATTTGTTCCATCAACAACTTCATTGGGAATAGGTGTGAAAATATACGAGTTATTCACACTGCTAGCGGCCTTGTTCCATCCTATTTGCACATTGGTTTTGGAAGCTGGTTTGCCCACAGCAGCACCAATATACGTTATTATCTTTGGGGTCGTAATCTGTCCTTGCTCATTAATATACTCAACGTTCAAATAAATGGCAGGATAGGGGAACGCACGATCAACTCCTTTGGAATAGAAATCATGAATCAAAGAAGTAGTATCATCAATCACATTCATACTACCAAACCATCCCAAAACACTTTCCTTGGGGTGTGACTTTTTGTATAAATGAAACAAAGATTTATGAGCTTGATCTTCAATAGCAATGGAATCACCAGTCTCATCACATGGAACAATAAAAGCATCCCTGATTTCTACTTCTAGTCCGTTGTCTGATCTTATTCCCAACAAAGTCCCGATTATTCTCTTGTTCAATACTTGTTTGGCAACAATTTCTAAAATGGTGAGCAATGCCGACGCGTGAATCTTGACATTGGCCGGTCCGTTGGCTGATCCTGCTGCAGGCGCAAGCACATTTGGTCTTACCAAGTGCATGAATGAGTTGCTGCTGCTGCTGCTGCTGCTGCTGGTAGTACTGGTAGTGGTGGCAGCCATATTTGGTGTTGTATTTCTGTTTGCAAGAGTATGAAGGCTCTCTCTTCTGAATAAAAATTTTCCAATGGGGCCTTCACTCACTCACTGAGGTTAGGGTTGAAATTTTTTTTTTTTTTTACCTCTCTAACCTGTATGCAGGATGGAGCACTTGCATAGTATGCATTTTGCAATCACCACAAGTAAAAGCAGACTACTGTGAATGGTTATGAAGATAGAATGGTCTTCACACCTTTACTTATGGATATGACAAAGTCAGACTAGAGGAAGACAATACAATGTTTGCACTTCTTGTGCTCCTCGTATAAAACAGAGAGGTCAATCTAAAACACAAAGTTTCCGGTCCACTGCTGGTACCTTAATTTACGCTCAAATTTGGAGGTATACAGTGGATCACTTCAGCAAGGAAGAGCTATGTATTGCCCCGATCCCGCTCATTTCTAGTAACCGCAATCGAAAGCAAAACTTCACAGATTCTCGTTATGGATGTTGTAAAGCAAATAACGAAGACGCTACCATTCCTAATTAGAGAGAAAGAAGAGAAAAAACCTTACAATAAACCCCCCTCCTCAATAAAAAAACAGAAAAGAACAAAAATAAGAATATCAATAGAAAAAGCGATCTTATAATAAAAGCTTATGGGTAAGGTGCTCCTCAGTATCGACTAGCAACGTTATCCACCTGAGTCTCACCAGGAAACTGCCCTTTTTTTACCCATGTATAAGAGTGATACAAGTCTACCTTCTAGCAGGGGCGGGAATGTACTTACACAATCCAGAGACTCCTCCATCGGCACAGTCACAACCAATAAGACGGCACCAGCTGTGTCAGATACAGCATCTGCATCTTCCACAAATACTAACAACAACAACAACAATAACAGCGACAAAGGAAACAGCAACAATGGTGGACCAAAACAAATTCATTCTCATTCCAAAAGCATATGGATATTTCCCGAATCAGTGGTGCTATATCGTACCCCAAGTCGACTACAAGCCAAAATAACCTTACTGCAAGAACTCAGGATTAAAGAATCAATGCACGAATTTATTATACGACTAGGCACCAAGCTCAAAGTTGACGGACCGACATTACTCGCAACAACAGTCTACTTGCACCGATACTATATGCGATTACCACTTTCATCTTCGAAATATTTTGTGGCGTCAGCAGCGTTGACCATTGCTTGTAAATTGAATGATACTTACCGCCAACCTGACAAAGTCAGCTTGTATGCATGTAATGTGAAGAACCCCAGACCTCCAATAATCAAAGACAATGTGAAACAACCACCACCACCAATTGATGAACAAAGTGAATACTATTGGAAATGGAGAGATCAGTTACTCTATCGAGAAGAATTGATTTTGCGCAAATTGCAATTTGACTTGAACTTTACATCACCATACTTGCTCCATTTCAAAATCTTGAACAAGATACATCTCGGCATGGGCCAATTATTCTACTCGAAAAGAAAAGAGATTTTGAAAATGACAGTAACGTTGATCGAATTGACGTCAAGTTTACCAATTATTCTATGCTACGACATGAAGGAAATATTCGCCACGTGTTTCGTGATCACCATAGTGGAGGGCAAATCGAAATTTGATAAAGAGTTGAAATCACCCGACCTGTTTTTACCACTGGTCATTGGCGTCGATGTCGACGTTGCTTTGCATTGTTTCCAATTTTTGAAAAAGTTGTTGCAATGCTCACAGGGGGATCCCCATGTTGTTAGTAACAAGGCGGCCGCTAAACGGTTGTTGCCGATAAAGTCACGTTATTTCGAAGATGTTGCCAGGGGAAAATGAAGTGCCGGGCAGAGAAGGGGATTTAGCTTAGTTGTGTGTAGTGTATAGGGGGTAAGCCACTATTGCAGAAGTGGAATGGGTTTTGCTCCTTTTTATCGAATAAATGTAATCGGCCACCGTTCTTCAATAGAGACAAAATTCTGTAGCTTTGCTTGTTTCCGTTGAGATTCTTCTCCTCTTGATTACCACTCATATGTTTTACCGTGGAATCCTACGTGTTTATCTGCTTCACAGATTTTAAAGACTTTCTGTGATCTTTTTGCTTACTCTCCGTCTTTCGATGTGGTAGAGCCTGTAGTCTACCACGTGACCAATTTGACAGAAAAAGAGAAATTGGTATGCCATGAATCCGCGATACACACATTTACCAAGCAAGTCCTTTCCACTTCATCATGGATCCCAATCATGATATTTTTGCACAACTAGATACCGCGTTGTTGGACATCTTTCATCAAAACCACACTATTCAGCATGATTTCAACAGCTTACCAGAACACGAACGACAACGAGTGCTAGATGAGATGGAAGACTACGTTCGACAAAGTTCATTAAACTCCACCAGACACGGTCGTATCCGTCGGAATCCACGCACAATCAGACGATTTTACGAAATTACGTGGTATTGGACCTATCTCCCCCTCTTTACCATCCGGTTTGATCGCATTTTCCAACAACTTACAATGAGCAATTTCCAAAGAGCCGTGACTAATGCAGCATTTTATCTTGTCAATATGATCCAAGCGGGATTGCGAAGCTTAATCTTCTTGTTTGTGTTGCAAACGTACTTGCACAATGTCACCAATATGATATTTGTCTTTTCCAACATCATCACCTTCAGTTCCAATTTCATCAAGGATGGGTTCACGTATTGCTTCCAAGACAGGGCAGATATACTACACGATCATGCATTATTAGCAACGCACAATTACGATTGCTTCTACTACTTGAATCTACCCCAATATGCAAATGCGCTGATTTGGAAACACGCCGAGCTCATTTTCAAGAACCATCGTGCATACTTATTGAGAACCTCATGCGTCATTGCAAAAGACGGCGCACCGTCAAATTGTCACTTGATCACTGATTCATTGGTGTATAAATTCTCAGACGCAATTGCAAAATCATGCCCGCTGTTGTCAACAAGTATAGTTCGATTGTGCACGGTCGGGATATATTTGGTCTATGCTATGCTTGGTAATTTCGTTTGTTTGAATATTTTGTTCTTTTTGCTGTACAATATCATGAGACGGATTGCAGGGTATGCCAACATTGTCAAGAATTTGAGCCAGGTCATTGGTTCCACTTTTGTTGAGTACATAGCATAGTTTCCTAATAGAATGATCTGGTTTGTGAGAAATCTTTAACCAATTTGAAGAGCACAATCTGTACTTCTAATTTTATGAGACGGTGCAAAAATTTTCGCAACAACTAGAATACAAAATTTGTCCCAATTGGGAAATAGCGCTTATTAGTAAACAAGTGTAACCTCGGAGATACGCTTACTTCCCATTATAGTTCCCGGACACGATCAACAGCCCATTATACACATTAGAAAGAGTGATGACTCAATTTTACAAGTTTCGACTGTTACATTGCAGATTATTGACGATTGCTATTGTCCGCTAATACCGGATAATGTTAGTTGCAATTTTTTTCTTTTTCTTTTTTTTTTTTTTTTTAATTTTTTCGTCCGCTTACAAAACACGCCATCCCCCACAATTCCGCTTAAGCGAAGTGCAAAAAATAAAAGAAAAAAAAATTAAAAAGAAAAAGACGACTATAACTACCAACCAGATCCTCTCGAATGCATCAGAACACTTTACGTTCATTTTAGTTCTTTGCAATTTCTGAACACTACAACATCTCATTACATCATGTCCTTCGAACTTCCCGCCACAATGAAAGCGGTTGTTTTCCGTGGACCCTTGGATGTCCAAGTTGAACAAAAGCCAACCCCCAGAATAGAAAACCCCACCGACGCAATAGTCAAAGTTGAATATGCCGGTTTATGTGGATCAGATATGCATACGTATAGGGGCCACATAAAGGGTAAACCGGGCACCATAGTCGGCCACGAATTCACGGGCACTGTCGTTGCAGTAGGTGCAGACGTTTCAAAATTCAAGCCCGGTGACGACGTCTTGAGTTGTTTCTCTATCCAATGTGGAGAATGCTTCTACTGTCAACATGGCTTGACTGGACAATGTGTCAAGACTAATACTTTTGGTAAGCCTGGTTTGGATGGTGGACAAGCTGAGTATGTACGTGTTCCATTTGCGGATCATGTACTTGTTAAAAAACCAGCAAGCTCCAGCACTGATGACATTGACGACTCGGTGTACTTGCTCATGGCTGATATTTTTGTTACTGGGTATTTCGGGGTGAAGAAGATTGTCGATTTTTTCAAAATGCAACCTGCTCAGGGATACAAGACACAACTGATTGAAGAAGTGTCGGTTTTGCAAATTGGTGCTGGACCAGTGGGTCTTTGTGCATTACACGTATTGAAGTACTTTGGCTTTAAGAAAATTGTTGTTGTTGATAGTATACCATCACGATTAGAAGCAGCCAAGAAAATTGGCGCATACAAGACGATCAATTTTGAAACGGAGGCCAATGGAGTAGCTGATTTCGTTGCCCAAGACTTGAATGGAGTAGGATTCGATGCCGTATTGGAAGTAGTGGGTGCGGAATCGTCAATGAAGTCGGCGTTTGATGCTGTACGTGGAAACGGATTCATTTCAGCATTGGGTATGGGACACGGTCCATTCCCCTTTGATGCGTTGCAGGCGTATTTGAAAAACCTCAATCTTTCATGTGGAAGATGTCATGGGTATGCATTGTTTCCTGAGGCGTTGAACATTTTTGAGACGATGAAGGATAAGTTGACTGATTTCATCGATCACAAGACTTCAATCGATAATGCCAAGGAGGCATTTAAGTTGTTTGATGAGCACAAGGTTAATAAAGTGGCGTTTGATTTTAGAAGTAAGGAATAAAGGATAGATGGGGATGTTATACGGAGTATATATGCGTTGATATGAATGATGTGTGATGTATGTGATGGTTGTGTATGGCTATGAGTAAATACTGCAGATGCTTAAGTGGTGTCTGTGTGGTAATTAATATGCTAAAACAAAAGCTTTTGCTTTCATCTGTAGTCATGGAGGGTATTCAAAAGTTCATTTAGTTCGAGATAGTGCAATAGATGCAAATACGATGTCTATGGAAAGGTCGTGCAGAACAGATCTAAGTATATTTCTGTAACTGGCCACAAACCCGATCCGATTGATAATTTTTTTTTTTCTTCTCTTCCTTACCGCCGTACTCAGTCATCAGTAAAAAGCGATCTCTCAATTAACCTCATCGTTTGGAAGGGAGGGAAAACAAAAACCAAGACCTGCAGCCATACGTATGTCAGATAGCAATAACAACAATTCCGAACTACCTCGGATGAATCTTCGTGATTCTCGAAATCCAAACTCAGGAGTGACTACTCCGAATACCGGCTTTTCTCCTTATGGGTCAGTACAACTACCACCAGTCTACTCATACCGTCAATCTCAACAACAACAGCAGCAGCAACAGCAACAGCAGCAGCAGCAGCAGCAGCAGCAACAGCAGCCACAACAGTCACAACAGTCACTGAACCTGACGTATTCAAGCTCACCGAATCCAATTGCCCGACCCTTGCAACCTGCAATCTTAGCTCAGCCTCATCAAACGGTTGATAACAGACCTCGTATGCGAGTTAGCAAAGCTTGTGACCGATGCAGGACGCATAAGATCAAGTGTTCAGGTTCGGACCCATGTGCCACCTGTGTGCGACAGAAGAAGGAATGTACATTCTCAAATTCTTCGGCTGGTGGTGTCGGTTCGCAAAGTAAACCCAATGGGTATTCACCGCAAGCTGCAGCAGACTCAAACAAAAAGCGCAAATTCAGCACTCTCAACTCAGAGCCGTTTGGTTTACCTGTTGTTGACAAGTCAAATGACAAGGAGTACATTACCCACTTGGAAAATCGAGTACAGTATCTCGAAAATTTATTGTCAAGAAACACCATGGAGGATTTCAAAAGTGCCCGCAATGAAGAGCCCGAAAGCGAAGGTGTTATCGAAACTTTGTACACAACGAGTTCCAAATGGAGGTTTTCTCGTCGTCATCAAAATTTGCTTATTGCTGAATTGTGCAAGTCAATGTATTCAAACTTGTCAGAAGAGCTGAAGGAGAAAGTCACTATCCCACGTATGCAATATTTCGGATGGAACATGTCTGGAGTCAATTACCTCACGCCAGAAAACTTGCCCCCTTTACCCCAGCTCGATATCGAATTTGATGAGCGACACTTGATTGATTTCTTCTTCAAGGAAGTGAATCCGTTGTTTGCGATTATTCACGAGACGGTTTTCCGCGAGCAATATGAAGCCTACGACAAGCTCATGAAGGAGGAGAAGGCAATGATGAGCGAGCACAAGCATGACTCCAAGTCAAACCAAACAAAACTCTATTCCGCCATTTTGTACCTTATATTCGCCTTGGCTATTCGATTCAGTGAGTTTCAAAAAACTAAAAGCCCTGATTTGGAAATGTTGAAGCTCGAGGAGAAATTGTTCAAGTATGGATACAAGATTGTTTCAATATTGAGTTTTGAATGGGAATCATTCGAGTTGATCCAGAGTTGGCTTTTGATTGCATTGTATTTACGAGTTGCTCACAGACAAACGTCATCTTCGCACGCACTTGGGCAAGCCATCACAATGACGAAATCAATGGGGCTAGGTTTCAGTGAGGAAAACTACAATATCTTGATGTGTACCGGGTACGAGCGATTGAAAGCCAAACGAATCTTTTGGTGTGTTTTCACATTTGATCGGGTTTTTGGGTTACAAACTGGTCGATATTGTGGTATTCGAGAAGAGGATTTTGGCCGGGGGTTTCCTGGATTTAATTTCGAGGAGGAGACGGTCAAGGATGATTGGTTGACGTTGCCAGCATTGGCTTTATTGCATATTGCACGAATTTCGAATTTCGTTCATACTGCGCCAACTGATAATCCACATTTGATCAAGTACCAGCAAATCAATGCCGAGTTGGTCAAATTGCATCAATGGCTCAACGAAATTGGGTTCAGGAATGATTTATTGTTTAATAAACATATTGGTTCTCGGGACAAGAAAGAGGTGAGCTCGTTGATCAAGGCACAGGTGAAGTTGCATTATTACGATTTGGTACTATGTGTACATGGGAAAGTTCTTTTCAACTACATTGGTAGAAGGATTGTGAGTCATGGATTGAAAGTGGAGATGGTGTTGGACGCATGTCACGGAGTAATAGAGGTGTTGGACAAGGTTAACAAAGCGGGATTGTTATATACTCCATGGTATTCAGTGCTACTACTACTATTCAATATTGGTGTCAATGCACTTTGTTTAATCAATGGGGGTGTATTTATTCTGCAATCAAGAGATCTTTTGAAGAACACAATCAAGTTGTTTACAATTTTAAAAAAGTCCCCAATCAGGAACAAGCAAAACAAGTTGGTTTTCCGAGAACGATTCAAAATGGTTAGAGAATGTACATGGGCTTTGAAAATGGCGAATAAAATACTTACATTGAGACTTGAGGAGGATATGAATGCATTGAATAACATTGGTATCGACCATGGTTCGTCGGATGTGAATAAACAATATTTCACACAATTGGGCTTCAATGAGAGTGCAATAGGCGGATCGAAGGATAATATAGCGACCGCGCTGAAAGATGTCAATCGGAATCAGCAGTCGTTTGCATCCAAAGCAAATACCAACGAGTTTAACAAAGTGTTTGAACAACAATTGTATCGAAATGAAACCACAAATTCAAATGTATCGCATCACATTTCACAACAAGCTGATCAAACACAAGGACAAGCAGGTACGGTGTCTCCATCTTTGCAAGACCCCAATGCCGAAAATCAAACACCACGACAAGTGGTTGCGGAAGAAGGAGGCTCATCTTATATCAATTCATTCAACACTCCATCTTCAGACAATCACGACAACGGCAGTGCTGCTGATCCATATCCGTCGACTGAGATTGACCATATGTTGAGCAACTTGCAGTGGTTTGACCAATGGGTTGATTTTACGTATGACTTTTAAAGAGCTGGAAAAAGACGTGGGGTGTTGCACGATTTTGTATGTTAGAATCAAGCATCTTTGTTCTTGTGAACGAAACATTGTTGAATATAGTTGATTGTAGGTGCATATTGTATGCCCATGTAGACCATTTTTTTTTAGATACCAATATTGAGAATGAGTGAGAAGCATGCACATCATTTCTATATTGTTTACCTAAGTGCCTGCATATCAAACTTTTTGCAACCAAATTGAACAGACAACACGACTACAGTATTGTCTCCTTAGTGCTTAACACACCAAATGCATACCGGAAATGCACCCAATAGATTGCATATCGTGAGGATACCCTTCTTGCTTCTTTCATATTCCCTACTTCCTCACCCACACAAGTTTCCTCAATCGATGAGCGTGTTATATCCCAATTTTCAAAAGTTATTTCCAGAATCATCGAAGGTCTATTGTACCGCGTTTTGAAAACCTAATCTCTAGTGATGTAATGAATATCAATCCCGTGCCTTTTCCAATATGGAGATTAAGTCGTTGTCAAGTTCATCGCGGTGTTACAAGTTCCCCTCCACCCCCCTCCTTCCAGGATTTGGTGGTGACGTAGTCAAACAAAACACTTCTGTGTGAAAGAGAAGTGAGTATCGACAATCCACTTGTTGTTCCTGTTTAGGCAGATTAAGTGATCAAGAGGGAGCAAGCACAGGTAGTCAATGAGTTTCTTCTTTGGATAACATTGAAAGTCAGTGAAGGAGTAGTTGTCAAAAATGAGCTGTCTCGATGAGTCATCAGTGTGGACAACAAAGCAGTTTGCCAAAATGATGTGTTTCACTCACCACTCACAGATGTCAGCGACAACTCAATGGAACAGATAATCGGTCAGGTTGATGCATATTCAATGTGGATGGAAAGTAAAACAAATGGCAACGAGTCTGCAGAGCATGTGCCAACACACCAATTCAAACAACATTCAGTCAATTTATGAAGCAACCACACGACCTCTCTCGTGGCTGAAAGTACATAGCTATTGAATATATTGCCAATGTGTATCCATGTATATATATGTATGCTGCGCAAAGTACAAACCCTATACTTCCCCATATTTGTGTTTGTAGTTAGATAGCAACATTGGTTTTGCGAGGCGCGTATATGCACAAAGGGTTATGCAAGCACAGGATAATCGGGAAAAACACTATAGACACACTACGAAGGGTGGTGTTGTTGTGACGATATGTATTGATTTGGTTTTGTTGGGGGTTAACACGCTGTTCTTTTGATTCTGTGTCAAAGGATACGTCATTGAGAGACATAAATGACCGTTACATGGCTTAAAGAGACATACGCTTAGTTCGGAATGACGTAGTGCCAAGTATTTTCACAACAACAACAACAACAACAACAGTAAAGCTGAGGTCCGCTCAGAATATTTCTGGGGGAGGGCTAATAGGAGACAAATGACAATATGAGAAAAGAAATTTAATGAGAGATCTACCTGCATCGGGTGTATATTCCCCGTGCGTTGTATAAATAATACCGGGGGAGATACAAAACTGAATAAAACAAAGACAAAAACAACAAAGACAAAGAGAAGCTACGAATGTTTATACCGGGTGTTTGTGTGACCCCACTTTATAAAAACCATAAAAACCCAACCGTTTGCTTATGAGAGTTCTTTTGTCCTACTGTTTTCTCTCGGTAGCTGTAAGGAGGGCTATAGAATATAGTTGTCTAGGTTTAGGCTCCTAGTTGCTCCGGAAGAATAAAACTGCAGCTGGCATATTATCATTATGAGTTTGTGCTGAAGCAGTTTCAATTTCTCGGATAAATTATTTTTGTCACTGTGTGTAAATTTCTTTTTTTTTTATTCTTATTGTTTATTGTTCTCTGTACGTATACTACTATATGTGTTATTGTTCTTTGGACGTTGGGGGAGGGGGGGGGAGGAGGAAGGAGGAAGGAAAAGAGTGGGTCGTGTACAAGTGTCCGTTACATACAAGAAAATTAAAAATAAAAATTAGAGCAATAGAGTGCTGTGAATCTACCTCGGTTCAAAGTATCTGGCGAAGTATCTCCTTTACCCTTTATTACCATTAAAAGGATGTAATTTGTTTTCTCCCAAGGTCTGCGGACTCATTTGAAATCTCACTTTCTTTTTCTTATACTTTTCTCTACCATTGAGCGTATAAAATCTTCGTTAATCTTTTTCTTATTGTTTTCAAAAGTGGTGGATCAATCTCTCTTTAAGAACAGTGTGCTTTTGTTTCACAATCTAGTGTTACTACTAATACTACTACTACTACTGCGTATGTACTGTGTATTGTGTAGTCTATGTATGTGTTATATAATAATATCTATAGACTATTGTGTTGTAGGCTTAGCGGTTAGTATTTGAAAACCTGCACAAAACAATTTAAAACAGTGAATAATAGCGAAGATCTCTTTCTCTTGCTCTGCCTTCCATCTTGAATAATTATTAATCCCATCAGCTATAAACTATCATTAAACTGAAAAGAACAAGTGAGCGAAGAGAGCCAAACTTCACATAACTATCACCACCATCAACGTACATATTCCTATCACTTAGTCTTAAAGGTTGCTTTATTGTTTGTTTGTCTGTTTGTTTTTCCTTTCTTTTCTGGCTCAGAGTTATTCACCGGCGATAACCTTAATTTATTTTTTTTTTTATTTTTTTTTTCTTTTCTTTTTCCAAACCTTAGAGAGGACTTTAGTATATTGCTTCACCCTTAATCATCAAAGTCAAACTAAATTATCTTCTATACTCATCTTCCTTAGTTCATATTCTGTCAACTGCCGAAACCACCCAACACTTTTTTTGCTTCCACTACAAAAGATGTCGTCACCGTCACCATCACCATCACCATCTCTATCACCGTCACCACTGCCAGCAAAGGAACAGAAGAACAAAGACGATAGACCATACAAATGTACATTCTGCGACAAGGCTTTCCATCGATTAGAACACCAAACTAGACATATCAGAACCCACACGGGAGAAAAACCACACCCTTGTACTTTCCCTGGATGTACCAAACGTTTCAGTCGATCCGACGAATTAACAAGACATTTGAGAATCCACACGAATCCTTCATCACGAAAGAGAAAAAGCAAGAATGATGCTAGTGCAAACACTACTGGACACACTTTCCCAGCTACTCACATGGTGCAACCTATACCTATAAGCGTACATTCTGGTCTACAGCAACCGCTACATCAACAATCGCAACAACAACCACAACCATTTATAATCGGTACCAATGGACAGTATCCAGCTACTGCTCCTCCTCCTGTACTGGTTTCAGTTGATAGCAATGGTAACACAATTTACCATCAACCTTATCCTGTTTACTTGATACCACATTCAAATGGATTTGTGCAACCAGTACTACCCCAATCAAACCCACATCAACAAAATCAATTTACCCCTGAGTCATCAGCTTCACCAGCGCAGCCAATACATTCGAATAATTTGTCTACACGTGATGCTGCTATGGTACCATCACACCATCAACAACAAGGCTCAGCTATATTTTCACTCCCTTCGTCACCAACAAACTTGCACCATAATGCAGTATTCGCTCAGCAACAGCAACAGCAACAGCAACAGCAACAATCAGCACAGACCACCACTGTGCACAACAACAGCTCGCAGGCAGCACATGCGCAACATTTAAACCACCACCAGCGTCCTGTCTTGAGTGCAAGAACCATCTCTTCCGATGCTATCAGATCATACAATATGAGCCATAGTAATGATCCTGTGAATATATCGCCACCATTCCCACAGCGCCATTACCAATTACAACAACAACAGCAGCAGCAGCACCAACTACAGAATGACATTCAAAAATCGCAATCCTCATCTAGTATATTGTCGGAAAACCAACGAATTTTCAGTAATCCAGAATCATCTATACAATCATTGGGCACTTCTCCAGAGAGTGATACTTCATTTACATCAAGTTCTATGCCACCACCTTTGCTACCAAAACAACCACAACAACAGCTTCAACAACACCCACAACCGTCTGCAACTACGGGTGGTGCTTCCATAACTACTGCCGTTCCCTCTTTTAGCAACTTACACGAGTATTTTCAACAAAAAAACCAAAACGGAGGAAGAACATTGAACCGAGACTCTTCATCAACAACCTCGCTTTCTTCATTGAATGGTAAATTAAAATCATCCAACAATTCTTCATCGTCATCATCATCATCAACAACAAACTTGTCCAATCTCTCCAATTTGACGAGAATGACACCGCTAAAATTCCCCTCTAGTGCAACAATAACCAAATCACAAAGCAGATCCAATTTGAGCAACTTGCCAAAACAAGTGTCATCAACATCGCTAAATTTGGAATTTTATAATAGCCAAAATGCTAACAACAACAACAACAACTACATCAGTAACGGCAGCATTGGTAATGGATTGAGCCACGTATCCAAGAAATCAAGACCCAATTCACCTGTGCTTTTATCCACTACTCCCAACCATCCATCATCCATCCATTTGTCTAATAATGCACGCAAATTTAATTCAAGCTTTATAATATCGCCCAATGAAACCCCATTGCAAACACCTAGTCAATCACCACAATTACAAGCTGAATCAGGAAATGGCGATTTGGGTGCACAAGCTAATTCCTTCTCATTGCAAGATCACAATGAGACCAAGGGTCAAACTTACAATGGTGACGACACTAACGCAAATACAAAGTTGGATAACACAGGGGCCATGAAACTGGATGATAGTATCGCCACTACTGGTACGCAATTACCACCAATCCGATCAGTAATGAGTTTCACTTCATTGAAGAATATGCCACCACCGCCACAACAACAGACTGATCATGGCAATGGGACAACTTTTGGGGGAGACAATACTCTGCTTCGGAGCTCAAGTGGGCAAAACAGCAGTCAAGAGACTGTAGTCACGGAAGTTGTTGTTGTTGCTGCTGGCGCCAAGAACAACAGTAGTGACGTCAGACAAGAAAGCGCGGATAGAGGAGCTCCACCTACAATGAGTGTCAGTAGTTTGTTGAGTTGATGTACGTGTGTAGATTTTTTTCCCTTTGTGTGTGTGTATATATGTATACGTGAATGATGGCTTTAAGAGAATTGTTTCGTACATGCAATAGGGGTCAGCTCTGTATTCAAGTAGTGAAGAGGAGCACTGTCAACGCAACGGCTGACAGTGCTCCAATGCTAAGAGGCTAGCGTACTGTTTGTATGTGGCGTTTTATAGAGTACAGTATGAATAACCGATAATGAATAAGTAAATGCAAACGTTTTAATCATGGATCCTTTTCTTATAGGATCAGTGGAGAAATCGGAGTGGCTGCATGTTGTAGTTTTAGTTGCAATTCTGATTCATGGGTATTAAAGATTACCAGAGATAGCAGATCTTTGCAACAGGTGTACTTGTTTAATTCTCTATTTGGTTATATACTTTACTAAATCTAGTCTCTGTATATATCGAATAGTTAAAACAAAGAAAAAAAAATGAAAAAACAATTTGAACATAGTTTCAAGAGTGAATGGTTACTGAATATGAATTATTTAGCTACAAAGCACAGTTCAAGGGTGTGTAGGTGTGACATGATTTGCCCGTGTTGTTGCTGTTGTTGCTGTTGTTGCTGTTGCTGTTGCTGTTGTTGTCGGTTGGTTGGTTGGTTGGTTGTATAATTACTCCGAAGTGGTACACAAAGCACAAAAAAACATCTTCAACATTGTTGCCTCCCTCCCCCACTCTCACCCCACTTTTGTTCTAGCTACAACTTCTGTTGGTCCTTTACTTCTTCTTTACTCTTGTGTGAGCAATCAGCTTGTATGTGTAACGTAGACACATTATGTGCATGTGCTACTACTCTGAGTTTTGCAAAGTCTACTGTGTCTTCTTACAATGGAGTAAGTTACGTGGTTTACATCATTCTTCCGATACACAGCAAACACAACATTGAGTTCTCTTTTTTGTGTAAGTCCATTCGTGTCCTGTTTTGAGTAAAATTGACTTTTTGTATACCAAACAAAGTGAAAAAAAATTTCACCATCCTTTCTATCCATCCCCACTCCCACCTCTCTGACTCAATTGAAAAGATCCCACCTTATTGTTATTACATTGCATTCAACATTATAAATACCAGATCAATTTTCCTATCTTCATCCACTTGCTCTCAGATTCATCAACTCAGACAACCGTCAATACAGTATTATTACTACTACACCACCACCACCACCCTCCATCATGAGTATTAAATTAAATTCAGGACATGAAATGCCAATTGTTGGCTTTGGATGCTGGAAAGTCACCAACGATACCGCCGCTGACCAAATCTACAACGCCATCAAAGTAGGTTACAGATTATTTGACGGTGCTCAAGATTATGGCAACGAGAAAGAAGTGGGCCAAGGAATCAATCGCGCAATTGATGAAGGCTTGGTCTCTCGTGATGAGTTATTTGTTGTGTCCAAATTATGGAACAATTTTCATGACCCCAAAAATGTTGAAACTGCATTGAACAAGACTTTATCCGATTTGAACTTGGAGTATCTTGACTTGTTTTTGATCCATTTCCCAATTGCGTTCAAGTTCGTGCCTATTGAGGAGAAATACCCACCGGGGTTCTATTGTGGCGACGGTGATAAATTCCATTACGAAAATGTGCCATTGTTGGATACTTGGAAAGCGTTGGAATCGTTGGTTGCAAAGGGCAAGATTAGATCAATTGGTATTTCAAATTTCAATGGTGGGTTGATTTACGACTTGTTGCGCGGTGCCAAGATCCCTCCTGCAGTTTTGCAAATTGAACATCATCCATACTTGCAACAACCTAGATTGATTGAGTATGTTCAATCTCAAGGTATTGCAGTCACGGGGTACTCGTCATTTGGTCCACAATCATTTTTGGAATTGCAGAGTCAAAAGGCATTGGATACTCCAACCTTGTTTGATCATGCAACTATCAAGTCAATTGCTTCGAAGCATAAAAAGACCCCGGCTCAAGTGTTGTTGAGATGGGCTACTCAACGTGGGATTGCGGTGATTCCTAAATCAAATAACCCTGATCGGTTGAATCAGAACTTGAATGTGAATGATTTCGATTTGAGTAAAGAGGATTTGCAAGAGATAAGTAAGTTAGATAAGGGATTGAGATTTAATGACCCTTGGGACTGGGACCACATTCCAATCTTTGTTTAGGTAAAAACTGCTCGAGATATACTAAATATCAACTTTTCTGTTTTTTATTTATTTAATTTTTTTTTTAAAAAAAAAAAGAAAGAAAAAGAGAATAAACAATATCACATTCTCCTTCTTTCAAATGGCATCCAATACTGCTTCTCTACCCAATGTCAACAATTTCAAACGTGATACAAAATCATCTCTTTCAAAGTACGCTCCACATAACCGTCTTTTCCCCGTAAATTCGCTCCTTGAATGCAATACTCGCCAATTATCAAAAATCAAACATTGTCCCGGTTTCATTTGATACCACAACTCATTTTCGGGATCATTGATAATCAGAACCCAATCTTTGATAGCTTGGTAAAACTTGACTACATCCTCGGGATCATCTTGCCATAAATCCATCGTTGATCGATCACTTTGATTCCACCTGACTTGGATAAGCTCACCCTGTGCATCCAACTTGAAAACAGGTTGGGCCATATCAGGCTGGATGCATACTTTTGGCTCGCCTGCAGAATGAGCTGGGACTGGAACTCGTGTAAAGATATCATAACTTTGGGGATATTTGGCCTTCATAATCTCAGCACACTTGAAAGCGTCAACAAGCGAAGTAGTTCCACCAGCACCATCATGATAGAGCAAGTGGAATAGCTGTAATCCGGGAGAATTCAGCCAATACGTCCCGTCAGTATGATTGCTAATATCGAAATTGGTATATGCGGTGTCGGCCTTAGCTAGATCCGAAGTGAAGTCCCAAAACCCTCCGTAATGAGTGGGTCTAATGTAATTCAACTGCTGACAGAGTTGTTCAGTGTCCTCTGGTGTCACTGGCACATTATCAATCAAACAGAATCCAAATTGCCAAATCTTCAAACACCAATCTCTAATGGCATCTTCATTATCACTCTCATCTGATGATTTCATAACTGTGTTGTAGTCAACACGGGGTAAATCCAGTTCAATGTCCTTCACTTGCCACTTGTGCTGGGCCAATTTCAGTTTGGCTCCAGATAACTTGTCTTCAACGGCGATCAATCTAGGATTATATGAATGGATGCGTAACCAATGTGCATCATATTTCGATTCGTGTTCAGTGTCCCACACTATAGTCACAATTTCACCATTGTGAGTGATCAGTTTGGTCTTGATGTCAAGGTCAATGGTTGCCGAATTGAGCAATCGTTGTTTTGTCAATGGGTAGTAACATTTGGAGCAGTGACAATTATCACGTAACCAAATGTTGTGATATGTAGAAGCTACGGATGACGTATTTCTTTCTTCACTTGTATTCTCCGCCCATGTTATCTCAACTTTGTTTGATACTGGTTTCACTTGTGCAATTGACATCTCTATCCCAACGTTTGGTGGTGAATGATCAATGATTTGTATTGAAAATTTGTTTTGTATGCAGGATATGGTTTGGTTCCTTTTATCAAAAAAATTGTCGACTCTCTGTTTCTGTTCATTTCTTTATCGCAGACAGAATATAAGTCATCTCTCTGATAAACTATTAATCACTGAGTACACTTGCAGTGACTGTACTACAACATACAATTGCCAACTTCAACTAATAGCAAAACCATTATTACCACAATCAATACCAATTGAAAAATCCTCCATATTTGAACTCCCGTCTCCACAGTTTTACCCTTTAGCTCTCTTTGGATTGATGACTTGCTAAATCAAATTCCCACCAACACTTCCCCCCTCCCCCTCCTCCCCTTCCAACGCAAGCATTAATAAGTAGTCATCAAAATGAGTGGTAATTCAGAAATCTCGGTTGAGTCATACTCCACCACACCCCTCGTCTCATCAAGGACGTCCTCGACATCCAGTTCACAGAATGATAACTGGGTACATATGAATGATGATGATGATGATGCAGAAGCTGCATTGAAACTATTACAAGGTCCCTTGGAGGAATCGTTCGTACAAGAAATCAGACAAGGAAAGATTAAAACGTTGCAACGAATAGAGGAAGGCAAGAAACGAGAAGAGGTTATCGTAGATGCATTGGGGATTGAAGATGTACTGATGTTGAGTGAAATTGACCCAAGTGTTAACCAAACAAATGAATGTCAACAGTCAAAGGCAACAGAAGAGGAAGAGAAAGAGAAAGAGGCCGGCGATGACGACAGAGTTGATGCATGGTGTCGATACTTGAGAGTTGCTCTACAGGGTACGGCAGCCCCTTCCACCTCACTTTTATCAAGTCCTGCATGCCCCACGGTGTCTACTTTTTCACCAGAGTCATTGTTGGAAAATCTAGATAATATGGACTTGCCACCCCACAAGGACGAAGATCAAGTAAAGTTGGACATACAAAGGTCATTCACTATACTAAACCATATACAATCGGTTGTTCACAACACGTCTATTCCAGCAATGACCTCATCGTCATATTCGTCTTTGGTGACGTCATCGGCTGAATTTAATGAACAGTTGGAAAAGGGGTCATCTTTTGCAACCATCCTCAGCACCTCTGATATCAACTCATTAAAAAAGATCTTGTCTAATTTGATTATCAAGGTGTTGAGGAAATATCCCTGTTTGAATTATTACCAAGGATACCATGACATTGCTAGTATTGTGTTGCTTGTATGCTACAAAGCAAATCATAATGAGCTAATTGAAGAGGATATTAATCAAGACTTGGCCTTCAAAATACTCGAGAAGTTAACTGTGTTGCATCTAAGAGACTTTATGGTGACTGATATCAATTTATCAGTTGATCATTTGCGGTTAATCCCGGCGATTATAGAGTCAATTGATGCACAATTGTTCCAGCTAATTAAGCAGACGTCAGCCTCATACCAAACATTGAATGGACACTTTGATTTCAAATTTTTTCAACCATTGTCATCCATTTTGACATTTTATGCCCACGACTTGACAAATTTATCTCATATTTTACATGTTTGGGATACGGTATTGAGTTATAATACAATGCTTATGAACGTGTACATTTACGCGTCGTCGCTATTGACTTTGAAACCCAAGATTTGGGATGCTTTGAGTTTGGATCCCGAACAGGAGGAGTTTACACTGATTGATGCGGATTTAGTCCACGCCCATCTTTCACCAACCCGATTGTTTGAGGAATTGACTGATTCAGATTTGGAAAAGATTCTCAACAAAGCAAAAGAAATGTATCAAGATGTTCCCATTGAAAAGGTGGCCAGTTGTGATCGAACGTGGGGTAAATGGTTTGAAAATTACAACCAACACTCGGTATTACAAACAACCTCATCACCCAAACTCGATTCAAATGAAATTGATGAAAAGTATCGGTCACTTTTCTCTGATGCTGAAGAACTAACAGAACTCGTGCGCACCCAAGACAATGAAATACATACACAAATACTTGATGAATTACAAGAGCAACAACAATTACTCAAACAACAGCAGGAGGAAGAAGAGCTACTACATAACTCTCTCCTGTCTTCATATGATGACGAATCTGACATTGAAAGCTCCAACTTGGACTCCCTCAGCTCGTCATTGACTCTCAACACGTCCCAATCAATACACAAATTCACTTCATCGAGACTATTCAAATCAATCTTTGCGTCACCACCACCTGGTGGTGGTAGTGGTGAGGGTGCCGCTGATGACAATGAAAAAAAAGCTACAGTAAGCAGATCCTGGACTTGGCTCAAATGGAGCAATATTTACAAAGTGTCAATCACTGTGGGCGTAATTGGGGTTTTCATTCATTTGCTAATAATCAAACACTACAGCTATAAGCAAATCTTGAATGGTGAGGTAGTGAATGATTTAAGGGAAAACGTGGTCCATGCTGGCTCTTACATTAGCAAGTTGTTGACAGGTGCTACAACCATTACCACCACCACCACCACCATCCCACCAAAGAATATACTTCAAGTTGGAACAGGAGGGTTACACAACACGATATATCGATTTGATTAGCAGATAAAGTCCTCTTTTTTTTTTTTTTTTTTTTTTTTTTTTTTTTTTTTTTTTCTAATTTTTTTTTTTTTTTTTTTTTTTTTTTTGTTTTTTTTTACATTTGGAAAATTCTTTGTTATTTTCCTCCCCCCCCCCCC